CTCTACCCATTGTTAATAGTTCTCCAGCCATTCCAGAGTCACACATGACTTGCTGATTACGCTCCGAGCGTACAAGACTCTTGATTACTTCTGCTACGTAAATCTGAAGAGCCAGGGCGTATTCTGGTTTTGTTCGCTCAGTTATTGAAGGCAATAGGTGAAGCATACCTACAACAATACCTGGATGAACTATAATTGGTTCTGGTGCAGGGGGATTTAAATTGAGTGAATTAACAGTTGAACGTTTTCCGCTCACTGGTGAGTCTACTGATCTTTGATTTTCCAAGCTGGATTGCTTATGACACGGTGATCTTGTACCAATTACGGCCATGTTTGGTTTCTCAAAGACGTCGAGTGCAACGTCGTAAAGTAATCTGAGCAACAAACATGCATAAGATAAACTTTTAGGTATTTCACTGGGAAATGCGGGCTCTAAAACGTTTCCGTTGAATAAACCTTGCCAGGTATTGTGATAATTTGATGGCACTGGGTGATTACACTCCGTAAGTGTAGTTTGAGATGAAAAACAGCCGAGTAGTCGTAGAGTATCACATAAACTTGATTGACATATTTCAAGATGGAAAAATTTGGCATTTGCCGGTTCAAATCTCATAGCAGTACATATTGTTTGAAATACAAGGTGTAGAAGATTAAGAAGCTGTGATTCATTTTGAGGACTTCTCTGTGGAATGTTATCGTTACAAGGTTCTGAAGATTTATGAGGCAGTGGTCCAAGTTGTCCTTCAAGAGAAACGAGTACTGACATGACATAAACAAAGCCTCCAACTTTACGAAAAACAGTCCTTGTACGATGAGATTCTCGCAAACATGTCAGAAGTGCCAGGAGTATGTGAGACTTGAGAACCAAAGCGCTTGCGGGTGCTGAGTGCATTATACCAAGTAATGTTGCCATATCATCATCTCCACCGGCGCTGACAATAAGTTCTCTTACAATACCCAGCGCTTGAAACCGACAGTCCACATAGGGAACAAGATTATGAGCACACCGGGCTCCTGTGCACTCTCTGAAGACATTTGCGTTCTGTACATTACCTGCCAGTAAAGTTGTGAGAGCTTCCATTACTAGTTGACCGAGACGCTCCTGATCAGGACACATTTTGTACTCCAAGCCTTGATCAGTTGCTGACTGTTTATCCTTCAACAAGGTCGCATAGCGATGTAAACAAGTAACAAAAACTTCTAACATTCCTACTTCTCGGTATACATCCTTGAATATTACATTGTGTCGGAGTATGTTCAACAGTGTTTCCATTGCCAGTATACTACAACTGACAGAGTTATTTGACTTGAGTAGAATTGAAAGGGATATGAGTTCTTTGCAAGGCACAAAGTTAAGCTGAAACACTATAAACTCTAATAATTGAAAGAACTTTTTTTGTATTTCAGGATTTTTTAAATGTATTTTTTCAGCAAACTGTGATAAGGTATTCTGTCCTTCTAGTATAAAATAATTAGCGTTATCGCTGTGATAAACGCTGGATATGGCGTCAAGTATAGTGCAGCACAAAAGTGACGAATTTGACTTAACAAATACGGACTGAAGTACTTGGAATGCTTGAATATTTCTAACACTACCGCCTCGATTGCTGGGTTGGGGTAAAGAAAACCCAAGCATCTGGAATAACGAGCCCATACTTGCTTGGCTCGGTTTTAATTCAGTATGTCCACACATTGTCAGCGAAGCTAACATCAGCACTAAATTTCTAATAGCGTCTTGCGCTTCAGCATTCCCCTCCTGCTCTAATCGTGAAGGTGCGTGTTTCAGCAGAAATTCCGATAAGAAAATATATCCTTGACAAACGCGAAAGTCATCCAAAAGCATTTGTGATACTTCGCTAGAGTCTTTTAAAAAACAAAATACCGTTACAAACATTTCAACAACTTCAAGCGGCGCTAGCTCAGGTACACGTTGCATATTGTCAATGCAAAGCGCTATACATCCTTTATTATGAATATAAGATACTACATTTTGAGTGAGTCCATGTCGAGATAGTGTCATCAATACTTCAGCAGCACTCTTACGCCACATTACATTGTACTGTGGGCACCAGCTGGTTATCGCTGAGAACAACAATGTCAAATCGTCTTTTCTTGCAAGCTCTTCTGCTGGATACGGATGACTGCAAAGTCTTACAAGCAATTGGACGAATATTTTTTGGAGTAATATTCTTCGCTCTCGAGGTGTGAATTCACTATTAACATCAGTTATATCCGCTTCTGCGTCATTCATTTCTGGTAAATCAAAAAACAAATACAAACACTTGACAAGTGTCGATGGCACTGAAGCTGTTGTCATTGCTTGTATCAGCAATGCGTCACCAGCTGCTAATAAATTTAACGTTGACAATAACATCCAACCATTACTAGACTCTTCACTATTTTCAATCTCTAATAATTTAACTATCGCACAGCTGGCTGTCTCTGTGCTCTGATTACTCGCTCGTCTTCTTATCTCAGATACCATCAGCTTGGACACTTGCTGTGTAAAAGCCAGGATATCTCGAAATTTTTCACTCATATCTCCAGCAGGACTAGATCCGAATACCTATAAAATAATCAATAAATAAGTAAATGCATTATGTATGCTCCTACCCTTATCATATTAATTAAATAACTTGAAAATATAATTTACAAACACAATAGCGATGTTATTATTATTATTATACCTTGCAAAATAGTGGTAACATATTATAAAGCTTATCATCCTTCTCGGCCTCTGACAGTGGATGTGGTGGATGTGTATACTCGGAAAATAACTTCTTTAGGTGCATCAGACCTAGTTCCGTATGTTGAGGATTGCTAGCTCCCCCACAATCATCAACACTTCCAGTACCACTGAAACCCATTCCTCCAACTGCACTGGCCCCTCGCAATTTCCGCATTATATTCATTGTTTAAAATATTACTCTGTAAAAAAATTTAGCAATATTTAGCTAAACAATCACCGTATACATTATCATTATTATCGTTATCATATCTTTGAATAAATCGAATCAATATTATATAGTACATAATGACTAATAATAAATTGCTACTTGAATGTTTATGATAACTTAAGTAATATTAATTTAATATCTACTGAAAGAATATGATAATTAGAATCAAATAAGGAAAATTGTTTTTTTTTTTTTTTTTGTAGCCTATGATTTACGATGCACAAATGTCACACATCACAGCTGTCGTTGCATAATATATATACACTAGATAAATGATTTATAAAATCAAAACCGCATTTATCATCTCGATTGTTATATAAAATATTAATTAGTCAATTGTTTATAGATGAGGAATAATCACATCTATGCAAATTAAACATAACAATGATAATTATTAACAATATAATAATGGAGTAAAAATAACAATAATAAGTGACGAAATTAAAAAGAAATCGAGTTGACGACGACTTTATAATAATAGTATTTGGTCAGCGAAATTAATCAATGAAACAATCAAAAATAGTGCCCTCTCATTGATGAATTCTAGAATAATATAAAATATGTAACACTTTCTCAAATATGACATTTCTTTTATGAATGAATGATAATAGTAAAAATAGATATAAAATGCGCACCTTACTTTTCCGTAAACTCCTAAATAATTAACTGTCACAAAAAAAATATATCATTGAACGACGCACGTAAATAATCGCGCGCCGTTCTGCGTTCATTATATTATTCACGTAGAATAATCTTCAGCGGCTCAATATTTACTTTTCTCTATGCACAGCACTCTCTTTTCTCTCCCAACGACCAATCTAAATCAAAGCGACATCAACGATCGAGCAAGTGTCATTCAGAGTCAGAAACGTCACAGGTAACCGCCCACGAGCAAGTCGTAATTTAATAAATCTTTGTACCTATTTTTTTCCTCGCACCTCTCTCTTCATGCTCCTGTTTAATAAATTAAACTTGTTTTTATTATTTATTTAAATATACACATACATATACATATATGTTTATGCATATGTATATCAATTGATCAAGATTGCAATAACGCAATTAATTTAAATTACGCACTCCAATTGTCGAGTTTTATTATCCCGGGTTTTTTAATTTTTCAAATCACTACATTTTAGCGAATTTTAAAAAATATCACACTAGTGTAGGACATAATTTTTATTGGTCGTAGCCATTTAACTTTGACAGGTATATTTTTGTGATGCCCGAGATAAATATACATGGACCGAATGCGATACGTCGATATGATGATCACGTGGTACAACGACAAGCTGAGCAACACAAATTACAACAAAACCATTCTACAGCACTTTAGACTTTTCTTTCTAATGAATATAATAATAATAGTTTTTTCATAATAATGCGCGCTCCATCAATCGGTCATTTGTTGTAACTAACTATTACAACAATTTATTGCTTAAATTGCAGGTACAATAGTTTTCTAGTTATCAACATGAAAAACTTGTAAATTTTTTTTCTCACTATAATAATTTTTTTATTGAATTTTTTCATTTATTATAATTAAAAAAAAAATTTTTTTATAAATTCAGATAATTGTCACTTTCATTTTTTGATAAAACACTTATGACATTAAAGTTAGCAGTCACTTTATATATATATATATATATATATATATATATATATATATATATATATATATATTTTTTTTGCCATAATTTATTTGTTATAAAAACTCTTTAAATTGTCAAATATCTGCTAAATTAATTTTAATAATACACTTTAAATTTAATAATTAAAAAAAAAATACCGCAGCGCTCCTACAGTAAGCGGTCAGAATAGCAACTAGGTTTGTTTTGACAATTAAAGATAACCTCTAGAGTGTTGTAACTTTCAAGTTTTTCTGCTGCGCTATCACATTTCCCGCCAACTACCGATTGTTGTGTAGCATTAAGTGGTTATAAACGACAAGTTAGTTTGTATTAGTTTATATTTAAGTTAAATAATCAAAACTTACTGTTAAAAATTAAAACAATTATCCAAAGTTACTAAGTGATTATCATCATGAATGATTTTGACGCACCTCAAGTATTTTTTTCGGATAATTTTGCGTCTGACGAGCAACGCGATGACCAACTAAAGCTCCAAACGTACAAAAAAAAATTCAAAGAGTTTATAAGGCAATTTCATGAAGGAAATTTTAATTATAAATATCGTGATGCACTTAAACGTAATTACAACTTGGGACGGTATTGGGTTGAAATTAATCTCGAAGATTTGGGAGCATTCGACGAGCCCTTGGCGGAAAAATTATACAAACAGCCTACTGAATATTTGCCAGTGTTTGAGGAAGCAGCCAGAGATGTTGCCGACGAGTTGACTGCTCCGAGACCGTTGGGCGAGAAAAAAGTTGAGGATATTCAGATATTGCTGTCTTCTGATGGAAACCCAACCTCGCTCAGAGGCATGAAGGTAAATTGTTAATTTATATTTATAAAAAACAATGATAATTAATATTATTTTATTTTTCTAGCCTGATATTGTCTCCAAGTTGATCAAAATCCCCGGAATTATTGTATCTGCCTCAGGAATCAGGTCCAAAGCGACTAAAATTTCGATCCAATGCAGATCTTGTAGAACAATTCAGAGTAACATCCCAATAAAACCTGGCTTAGAAGGCTACGCGTTACCAAGAAAGTGTACAACGTATGTATTTTTATTATTTATTTAAAAAATTTTTTTTCTGCCCTCCGGCCGGAAAGTGGCAACTTTCTGGCCGCTGCGCTAAACAAAGTTGCCACATTCCGGCTACGTCGAGCAGAAAAATAGTATACACACCTTGGCCAGTAAAAAGTAAAGCCTCAGACCACATGTTTGTCAACCTCGGCTTTGCCTCGGCCAACAATTACATGTGGTCTGAGACTTTTCTTATTTTACTGGCCTAGGTATGTAATATACTATTTATCTGCATAATAATCAATGATACTTAAATTAGCAGATATTTAACAATTTTTGGAATTTTTATAAACAATAAATTACTATAAAAATTATATTTTTAAAAATTTGCACTTATCATTTTTTGAAATTTCTACATGTGGATTTTTTTTACCAAATTTTTTTTATTGTAATTTAATTGTTATAATACTAAAGTTAGCTGACGATTTTAATTTTTTGATTTTTTTTTTAATCATTAAATTAGAATAAAAAAATATTTTTTAAAAATTGCACTTACAGTTTTTAAAGTTTTCTACACGTGAAATTTTTTTTCTATTTTTTTTTTAATCATTTTTTCAATAAAAAAAAATTCTAAAAATTTTTAAATGTCGGCTAACTTAATTTTCATAAAATTGTTAGATGTCCGTTAAAAGCAGTATCATAATAATCAATTTTATTTTAATTTATAAAGAGAGCAAGCTGGAAGACCGAAATGTCAACTGGATCCTTTCTTTGTGATGCCCGACATGTGTCGCTGCGTCGACTTCCAAGTATTGAAGCTTCAGGAACTACCTGACAACATTCCTCAGGGAGAAATGCCGAGGCATTTGCAACTCTACTGTGACCGCTACCTGTGTGATCGAGTCGTACCGGGTAACAGAGTTCTTATTCTAGGAATTTATTCCATCAAAAAGGTATCAGGAACCGGAGGTAGACGAGGAGGACGAGAAAAAACGTTAGTCGGTGTACGAGCTCCTTACATCCGTGTGATTGGTATCTCTGTCGATGGCGAAAACACTGGACGTGGTACCCAACCAATTATCACCAACGAGGAGGAAGATATGTTCAAACGTCTAGCAGCTGATCCATTGATTTATGAAAAAATAGCAAAAAGTATAGCGCCTAGTATTTTTGGTGCTTTTGATATTAAAAAGTCTATTGCATGCTTGCTGTTTGGAGGCTCGAGGAAACGTATGCCTGATGGGTTATGCAGAAGAGGTGACATCAATGTGTTGATGTTGGGAGATCCAGGTACCGCTAAATCGCAGTTGCTAAAATTCGTAGAGACAGTAGCTCCAATTGGAATTTATACTTCGGGTAAGGGAAGTTCTGCTGCTGGTTTAACTGCTTCTGTGACTCGTGACCCGACTTCAAGGAATTTCGTTATGGAAGGAGGTGCCATGGTACTGGCTGATGGTGGTGTTGTTTGTATCGACGAGTTTGATAAAATGAAAGAAGATGACAGAGTTGCTATTCACGAAGCCATGGAACAGCAAACTATCTCAATAGCTAAAGCTGGAATTACCACGACTTTAAATACTCGTTGCTCTGTACTAGCAGCAGCTAACTCAATCTTTGGACGTTGGGATGATATTAAAGGCGATGATAATATTGATTTTATGCCTACGATTCTTTCACGTTTTGACATGATTTTCATTGTCAAGGATGAGCATGAACAGTCACGAGATATCACTCTCGCTAAACACGTTATGAATATTCACGCAAACGCTGGTCAAGTTACTGATCAATCTACGGAAGGCGAACTACCACTGGCTGTGTTGAAAAAATACATTCAATACTGCAGATCACGCTGTGGCCCGAGATTGAGCAAAGAGGCGGGTGAAAAATTGCAAAATCGTTACGTTATGATGCGTGCTGGTACTCACGAGCATGAAAAAGATACTGAAAAACGTCTTTCAATTCCAATAACTGTGAGACAATTAGAAGCTATTATAAGAATATCGGAATCTTTGGCTAAAATGCGTTTGCTCCCATTCGCCACAGAAGTTCATGTCAATGAGGCTCTTCGACTTTTCCAAGTATCAACACTCGACGCAGCGGTATCTGGATCTCTTGCTGGCGCCGAAGGTTTCACATCAGAAGAAGATCACGAAATGCTTGCTCAAATTGAGAAACAGCTGAAACGTCGGTTTGCTGTTGGCTCTCAAGTGTCTGAACAGAATATTGTCAACGATTTTACGAGGCAAAAATTCCCTGAGCGTGCTATTTTCAAAGTTATTCACACAATGATCCGTCGGGGTGAATTACAGCACCGTATGCAACGCAAAATGTTATACAGACTTATGTAAATTATTAATAATGCCAATTTAATAAATTAATCATAAACGCTTAGTTATTTAACGGTCGTAAATATTTTTTTTTTATTTTTATAACAGCTAGAAAATGCGCGAATAATAAAATTAAATTTTTTGTGCCAATTTAAGAAGTGGATGTTTTTTATAAAAATAATTTGAATAAATTTTTTTTACTTAGCAGCTGCGACCTTTTTTTCCTGAAAATTATAATTATAATATTAGTATAGTTATATTTTTAATTAAAAAGTATAAAAACAGCTTACCTCTCTGAGTAGATATTTGAAAGGATATTGTGGATGATTTTCAACTCTGAAAAATAAGATTTATATTGATATTAAATTGAAAGTGAATGCAAGTCAAATCAGGTAATGAATCAATTACCCTTTGAAGAATAAAAATGTAAAGATCCGTCCCTCAGGCTCTTGATTTAATGCTTCCATTTCTTTCATTTCATCATTTGTTAACTCAAAGTCAAGAATATCAATATTAGCTTTTATTCTATCATAATCAGTACTCTTAGGAATAACTATTACACCCATCTGCACTGAGTATCGCAACAAAACTTGTCCCGTTGATTTATTATGATTGTTTGCAATTTTTTGAACTGTTGGGTGTCGCAATAAGTCTGGAAATTGGTCGGGACTGTAATTGTATTTTGATTGAAAGTATTCTTTAGATCCAGGAGATCCCAACGGACTGTAAGCAGTTACCGCAATGTTAAGTTTTTTGCAAAATTGTCTCAGTGCTTTTTGTTGAAAATACGCATGTAATTCCACCTAATAAATTTCAGCGGTTTTTAATTATTCACTTAATAAATTATTAAATTTTCTTAAAATTTTTTTACCTGTACATTACTTGGTTTTATTTCAGAATTATTGTACACGTCAAGTATTTGATCCTCGTTAAAGTTACTCATTCCAATAGATCTTATTCTACCAGCTTTGACTTGTTTCTCCATTTCCTGAAATTTGTTTATTGGTATGTATAACAAAAAATTATTCACAGGAAAATTTATTATTGTTGAATAGATTAAAAAATTTTAAACCTTCCAAACAGAGACAGGATCAGTATCCAAGTCCAATTCATAACTTCCATCTTCATTAATTACAGGTGCAAGGCCAGTTTTATCACAGACAAAGGCAAAAGGCATATGAATTAAAAACATATCTATGTAATCCAGTCCAAGATTTTGCAATGACATTTTGACATACTTTTCAACATCTGATGGTCGGTTTCCAAAATGAGGTAACTAAAATAAAAATTGTTATTAATTTAAAAATAAATTTAAGGTAATTATTTACAAGTGGGGTCTATCATTTTAATTTTAATTTTTTTGAACGAAATCTCTATTTGATTTTATTGATATACTTTTTTGAAAAATACATAAAAAAAAATGAACAATTAAAAAAAAAATTGATTATTACAATTTTAACAAATTTTCAAAAAAATTACTTAAAGATAATATAATACTCTTTTTTTTTTTTTTTTTTTTTTAATTGTTCGTTTTTTTATGTACTTTTCAAAAAAAGATATAATAGAAATTTTATCCAAAAATATGAGAGCCAAAATTTTTTCCAATATTTGAAGGTAAAAAATCTATCGAAATATTAATTTTTTGATATTTTCGATATCCACCGTAAAAAACAAGCAGAATAAAAAAAAATTAAAAAATGTTAATTTTTCACCTAGATATATGACCCCACTTGTAAATAATTATTAAATTTAATTAAAATTTAAATAATTAATTACCTTAGAAGTAACAAATACATCTTCTCTTTTTCCACCTTCAGCAAACCACTTTTTTAAACCATTACCAACAATTTCTTCGTTCCTGTAATTGAATGCAGTATCAAAGTGTCGATATCCAAAATGCAGAGCCGTAGTGACAGCATAAGCAACTTCTTCTGGTTTGGTCTAAATGTAGAACACAACACAAATTTATTATTGATTTTTTATTAATGTAATAATTAATGACTTTATTGTTTAAAATAATTATAGTTTGCAATCACCTGCCAAGTTCCAAGGCCAACCATTGGCATATCATAACCTGATGACAATTTAATAGATTTCATTGTAAATATCCCGCGAGTTATTCCCAATAGTTGAAACTTGTAATTTTTCCCGGTCGCAATAGCACCGAGGCTACAATTGCACAAGCATTATTTATAGAATTAAATTTTCAACGCCAAGTATACACTGATAAATCAAATTTATTTATAAAGCACACATCAATGCCAATATTTTTCGAGTAATTATCATTTAATTGAAGACATGTAAGTATTAATAATTTAATCAACGGTTGTCAAAGTCGCTGAGCATGATAATTATATTAAAATCTAATAATTCAAGGAATGGAACAGGTATTGCATTGCAACAGAGTGCAATAACTATTTTCGGAGCACCAAAGCGCATGCACACTAGTTCTTTGAATTGAGAATGTTCAAACTGATCGATGCAAACTTTAATAGCAAAAAATTTATTATGCTTTACTTTTTTTATAAAAGCAAATCAAATATTGGATATCGAATTTACCAAGGATATGTGGCTTAATGTACAAGAAAAAAAAATTCAAGGGTTTTACATGAAAAATTTATCAGGCAAAAAAAAATAAAGAAGTAAATAAACATACGAAATAGTTGAATGTTTGGAGTTAATTCGTAAAACATATGAAATAATAGAAAACATTTTGTAAAATTAATTAAATATAAAAACGGTTAAAAATTAATTGTAGTAATTAAAAGAAGTTGTCGATGCTGAGGAAGATCAGTGACTGATTTAAGCGACTAGACTATTTAAATCATGAGATCTCAAAACCGATGGGTATTTAATTTTTTTTATTGTTTATTTTTTTTACATCAACTTCAGTCTGTTAGATGAAGCATTGTTAGCGATACAAATTACTTTACAGCTTATTTTTAGAAGACTAAATAGTTTGTTAATAAAACTTTATATAACTGAATTATAAATGTACTTTATAATAAATATTTCATCGTTTAATTGTTATCAATTTATTCAAATAAATATGATAGTAATAAATAAAAAAATAAATAATAATTGTTAAATTATTGGATTAAATAGACGAAGAAATAAGTACATTGAGAAAAATTAATTATACAGTTTTTTACAGTTAAAAATGGACAGTATATTACAATAACTTATTTAGTACCAAGACTAATTACATCCACGAATAGTAGGTAAATGATCAAAGTCTTGATGTTGCTGGACAGACGAACTTTTTGGACGGCTTTCCTGATGAAGTCCTCCACCTTTGGAAGTTAGTTGCGGCAGCACCATTTGATTGTAATTGGAATTCTGTAAAAAGTTTAATTTTATTTTTTTTATTAAATTAATTAATTACTAGCAACCTTGCAGTCACTATGTAACTGCCGTGACTTGTAAACTATAAATAAATAAAATTTTGCTTTATTAGAGATAATGACTTTTGTTAAATTGCACTGTACTTTTCTAACTATTGACGTTTTTAAAGATATAAGCTTATCCTGATGTTACACTCATCGAGAGCTTTCATTTGAGTACCCACATGCATTTTCATATATTTTTCATACATACATATATATATAATATATATAAATATATGAAAAATTGATGTGGGTACTCAAATGAAAGGTCTTGATGAGTGTAACATCGGGATGAGTTTATATCTTTAAAAATGTCAATAGCTCAACAGATACAAGGTCATTTCTTAATTATTTGAAATTGCACTGTACTTTCTTAACTATCGGCGTATTTAAAGATATAAGCTTATCCTGATGTTACACTCATGAAGAGCTTTCATTTGAGTACCCACATGCATTTTCATATATTTTTCATATATATAAATATATATAAGTATATGAAAAATTGATGTGGGTACTCAAATGAAAGGTCTTGATGAGTGTAACATCGGGATGAGTTTATATCTTTAAAAATGTCAATAGTTCACAAGGTACAAGATCATTTCTTAATTATGTATCTAGATATAGAGAATTTTTGAATACAGCCTAAATACTTATTAATTTATCATCTTCATCATAAATTGACTATTGGTGAGAATGATATGTAGCCATAAAAAGGCACAACTTCAGGTTAATACATTATAAATACATTGGCCACAAAATTTTATAGTCTTAATAATATAGATAAAATTTTCCTCCAATAAACTTACTCGTGATCGATCTCGATACTTCCGATTCTTTTCATATTCTTCAACTTCGCCATTAGGCAATATATAATGGAAGTTTTCAAAGTATACATGTTGTAATAATTGATCACAAGTCCACCTGTGATCTGGGTCTTTTTCTAGGCATTTTTTCAGAAAATCAATCTGTAAAAAAAATTATAGTTATTTTTACACTATTTTATTTCATAAATTTATTACAAAATATGAATTTAATTTATCTTACTTGTACAGGTGTACTAGTAGTCATGGGGAGAACAGCTTCTAGAGGCATTACTGACTGAGGCGTGGGCAGAGTAACACCAGCGAAGAATTCATTTTGTTGAAAAATTATCATGTGGCGAGGTAAAAGATCACCTAGGGTTCTTCTGATTAAATACAGTTGATCAACGTCGGATTTACCTGGCCAAAGTGCTTCTCCTCGAATTAACTCGGCAAACACACACCCAATTGCCCAAACATCTACGGGAGTTCCATACTGAGTATCGCCGACCTGATTTCGAGAAGAAAAGTCATTTAAATTCTGAAGAATAAATTAAAATCTTTCAAGTAAATTTTTTTTTACTTACCAAAAGCTCTGGCGCTCGATACCACCTGGTCGCAACGTACTCTGTGTAATTTTCCCCAGGACTTAGCATTCTCGCGAACCCGAAGTCGCAGAGTTTAACAACACCGTCGCCTGTGATGAGAATATTTTCCGGCTTTACGTCTCTGTGAACACAGCCGAGTCTGTGACAATAAGCAACACCCTGAAGAATTTGCCAGGTGAGTTGTCTTGTCATCTGCTCTGGGCATCCTCGCGGATACTTTTCCATCTCATTGAGCAGCGTGTGCTCACAGTACTCAAATACTAAGTGAAGTTTTCTTTTTCTTCTGAAGACTTCTAATAAATTCACTAAGTTTGGATGCTTGAGATTCTGCAATACAGTTAAATTTAATTTTTATTATATTATTTATTAAAATAACATTTTATTTTTCCAGACATACACTAAAAGAAATTAATTTGAATCAAGAAAAAAATTCTTAAACCAAGAAAATAATTGGTAATTATTTACAAGTACGGTCCATCTTATTTTTGACCATATCTAGGTAAAAAATTAACTTTTTTTTTTTATTATGCTTGTTTTTACGGCGCATTTATGATAAAAAATATCATGAAAGAAAAAAATAAAGATTTTGATAACTTTTTTATCTTCAAAAGGGGGAAAAAATTTTAGCTCTCATGTTTTTGGATAAAATTTCTATTTTATCTTTTTTTGATGTTTTTGATATATATTTTTTTGAAAAGTACATAAAAAAAGAACAATTAAAAAAAAAGTTAGAATATAACAATTTTTTTAAAGGGGAAAAAATTTTAGCTCTCATGTTTTTGGATAAAATTTCTATTTTATCTTTTTTTGATGTTTTTGATATATATTTTTTTGAAAAGTACATAAAAAAAGAACAATTAAAAAAAAAAAGTTGAATATAACAATTTTTTTTAAATTTATAAATTTTTTTAAAAATTTGGTAAAATTGTGATAATCAATTTTTTTTTTTTAATTGTTTATTTTTTTAAGTATTTTTCAAAAAACATATATCAATAAAATCAAATAGAAATTTCGTTCCAAAAAATGAAAATTAAAATGATGGACTCCACTTGTAAATAATTACCAAATAATTTTGAAGAGTTTCATTATTTTGAATCAAGAAAAAAAATTGACTTAAATAAAAAAAAAAATTCTTAATTTAAAAATTTTTTTACTTAAATCAAGAAGATGAAATTCTTCAAAATTATTCACTTGATTCAAGTCAATTTTTTTTTTTTCCTGTGTATAAAATATAACACCAGAGTTATTACAAAGGAATATAATTTCTCAAAAAATGAAAAAAATTGATAAGAATCTAAGTGGTGAATATTCAAAAGCAAGTATGTATATAAAGCATTGTTAACATGAGGTGTACGCTATAATATATATTAATGATTCACGCGGAATATTTATATTCATGAAGAGAGAAAACCTTGAAGAAAATTCACGTAAACTTGCATATCAAGTTAGAAAAGGTCACAAGTTACAAATATTAAATAAGTTTACTGGTAAATTAACGGGGAATTATTTGTACATACATGATATATTATACTACAGGAGAAAGAACCGATTATAGATAAGACGGTATGGAGAATATTTACACGGCAAGGTATTGACCGGGGACGATATTGACCACCGTCCGCCTTCACCATAACAAGTAGGAACACTATATTAGTGTACCATGTGTGTTCACCCTCCAATATAAATCCACACAGAGGTACAAAATAATAGTCGCAGTAAAAAGAGGATTGATTTGCTGCATGCGAGGCTTCTGGTCTCTTTTAATACAGCAACGTCGCTTGCAAAAGAAATTCACCGTAGCTCTTACTCTGTATATAGTATGTCTGGCAGCGATAAGGTCTTTAACTTCCGGCGCAGAGCTTCCGGAGCACGAAACTGCTGAGCAGATCTTAAAGACGCTTTCACGATAGCAAGCTTTTTGAAGATTCTTTTAATATATTACAAAATACGTAAGTACCCTCTGAAGATATATACCTGTACTATCTATGAATAAGTATAGAAAATTTATATTTTATTACAGATAAAATATTGATGCCCTGAAAAGATAAAATGAAGATAAGTAGTATGAAAAAAAAAAAATACCTTAAGCAGCCGTATTTCTCTGAGGGCGATTTTTCTTATAAGAGGGTCGTCTTCAGTCTGTTGAAACTTCTTAACAGCTACCAGTCTTCCTGTTTGCCTGTCTCTGCACTGGAACACCACTCCATAGCTACCTTCACCAAGTCTTCCCAGCCTCTCGTATCTCTCCATTGTTTTACTCGGTGCCCGAGACCTGGTCACACAAAACATTACGACCACTCAAATATAATTCAGCAATAATAATAATTTAATAATCAACAGTTAGATTTATGGTATGGAATGATGAACCATGCTCCACAAACTAGTGCAGCATCCGAAGAATACATTTAAAATAATTTATGTTAATAACTATTTAGACTACCGACTTTTTGTTAAGCCTTCCTAGGCAGGGAAGAGCGAACTGCTGCGTAAATAGCATTCCGTTCCGCTGGAGACTGCAGTTAAGACTGTGTCCTTTTTACCATTGACCAGAGGTCAAACTCCTGAGAGAGCCAAGGGAAGCCTGCTGGACAAGGGTTCGCGCCCGCGCATTATTCTGACCGTACCGAGTGTGTAACACGCAAAGTCTCGATTTCAAAAATTCATAATAGATAATTTAAATACAACACACTAGATGTTGGATGTTATGAAGGGTAAAATTTAAATTGCGTGCACAGACTATCACAATCGTAAAACGCAAGTTTTTTTTTATGTATGACGACTTTAGTACAATATTTTTTCATTTATCTGATGGTTTTTTATGTGTTTTAGCCAACTTTGGTGACTTTGCGAGAAGCGGATAAATTATTTCAAACCTGAAGCAAGCAGGAAGGCATCCTGCCATTTATAAAGCGTTGAACTCTTATCTTTATACACACTTTATACAGTGGTTAATTTAAAACAATGACGTGAAGATGATCGTATAATGACAGTGATATGTCACTTACAAAAGTTCCATCATAAAATTCATTAGGACGTGTTATCACCTACACACAATGGCACCTGCACTCAGCGAGTTGTCATGTAGTACTAATTTACCTGGGTATATTAAATATGTACCTACGTCCATATAATATAATATAGAATAGAAATATGCTGCTTGATTATTGACAATCGATATAAACTACCATGCATTAACGCGACCATCAAGGTTGATATCATATCATACAACCTTTTTTATTAATTTTATCGAAAATCAACTCATATATTGACATCAGCTAAATATGTACTTGTTGTTTCTTCAATTATTACGTCTGAAGAAATAATAAATGAAGGATTCAAGGCTAAACCAATTAGGATTAATATCCTATATAGAAATATTGTTATCTTAATAACTTATTCGATCTATAATTACGAGTATGATGTGTGGAGCAAACACAGAATAGCGTGTTACAGGTTTAAACGTCATAGATCATCGATTTGCTTCTCTAGAGGTCACGAAAGAAGATTATTTTGATATTTCTCGGATCTGCAAATTGTTAAAATTATCCCAAGATAGTTTGATACACTGATAAAAGGATTTCTTAACATTTAAGAAGATTTCTTTGTGTTTAAAAAAAATCATTTCTTAGTATTTAAAAAATATTTCTCAGTATTTAAGAAATATTTCTTAAATACTAAAAAATATATATATTTCTTAAATACTAAGAAATGATTTCTTAAATACAAAAAAATCTATGACACTGAAGTTAGCAGACGTCTAAAAATTTTTGATTTTTTTTATTAATTAAATTACAACTAAAAAAATATTTCTAAAAAATTGCACTTATAGTTTTTCAAGTTTTTTACATGTGAAATTATTTTTTTTTTTAATTGTTTAATTGAAATTTTTCCAATAAAAAATTTCTGAAAATTTTGAAATGTCGGCTAACTTTATTTTCATAAAAATCTTCTTAAATACTAACAAATCCTTCTATCAGTGTAGAACATTAATAAATTTTAATTAGAGTTTCAGACCGCAAAAATGGACGATGTATGTCGCAAATATTAGGTCAATATTTCTTCATATGTATGTTTACTTCTTTAGTCTATTATTAAGTTCTTTTATGACTTTACGCCCACGTATCATTGCTAAAAGGAAATGTGCTGATATATTTTTGTTGTATAGATTGTTTACATTGACATAGATAATATATAAAGCTTATACCTTCACAACAGAGATCCACGCTCAGATACTTAACACGTGTTTTATCAAAGAAACGTGGCGAAATAATCGGATTACCGCCGATGACACAATAGCGGTATCGATTAAATAAAGTCTACTTGTGATGATAGATAGCAAAAAAGCATCAAAATAAAGTATTGATGGGTTAATAGCTGGAATATTGGAAGAAAATAAACAAACCTTCGAGGCAGCAACGGCAAAGTATTGCCAAAGAGCCAGAGCTTTCCGTCTTGGAGCCATTTGTCCATGCGAAGGCTTCACTGAAATACGTAGAAAATGTTGCTTTTAACTTTAGTAAATCGCATAGCGCTTAATTTTTATCCCCACAATTATTACCGGTGCTAATTTCAGCAAACAATTCACAATTAACATTATTAACAGAGACCTGTTCTTACTACTGAAATCTGCGGTGTAGTTATTGGCATAGGCCGGAGCGTAACACCGAAGAGCCTTCATTGCTATATACTTTCAAAACAACTGCGTCACGTGAGATCGATAGTTAGTAAAGAGAACCAAGTCTTGATAGTAATATACATTATAATGCTTTTATTATTATAAAAGCAGCACGACTTTGACTTAACTAAAAAATTCTACGTCAAACTTATATCAGAGCTGATCATAAATTCAATTTAGGTTGATGAATATTTACATTATTTTTTTTATTCCCCACAAAGGAAACTATTTTTTTAATCATAGATGAAGGGTTTTACGTGAATAGTAAACAAGTCTATCGATCACTACAATAAATTCAACAATTTTAATTTTAATTCAAGATTAATTATTATACACAAGTTATTTATTTTTGCTTATTAATTTTACATTGACGCTTTACTTGGACGGATAAATGGTCCGGTTTTTTTTTTTTTTTTTTTTTTTTTTTTTGCGGGTGACCTTATAAACAACGTCGCTCAGTTTTATTAATTAATTTCATACAGTACATACATATATTTTGTTTTCTTACAATAACACAATTTATATTAAATATCCTAGATTTGTAAAGTTATTCCTCTGGCAGTTTTCAAATTTCACACGCTTTTGGTCGCTCTTTGTGCGTTATTGCGCGGAGTCTTGATATCACTTTCATCGTTATCACCCCTCACAGTAAACGTGACAAAGTATCTTTTTGTGCGATCTAATTTTTCAGCTGGCAAGGCTATAATTTGCTTCTCTTCACCTCTTGTTACTTCGACCTGCAAATAGTAAACTTTTACTAAAAAAAATTCTTTAAATTAAACAAATTAATGACTATAGTAATATAAATTGATTAAGGAGAAAGATTATGAAAAATGATTAATTGTCAAATGATCTGCGGTGCTTGAAAAAAGCCAGAATGATGAAAAGTTTTGTCGATTTTGATAAAAAAAAAATATATTTCTAATTTTTAACAATCACTACCGTCATTTGACCCTTTCCCCGACTCTCTATTCTTGGAAAAAGAGACCCCTCGTCTCGTTCTTGGCTTCCTCCGCCCACTGTAATTATAATCTACTATCAAACTACGCAGATCAGTTCTAACTACTCTAATTACCTAATTCCCAATCTAAAAAAATCATTTCTATTATTAAAAGGTTTATCCTTACGGTAAGTGAATACAGGCACTGAAGTGTAAGCGCTTGTTGCATGATGACAGCGGTGGGTTTTCTTTGTGCATTGTTTTGGGTCAGTACACTTGTCTGATGACGGTGGTCTTCTTTGTAAACGTCGCAATTGTTCATAAAGAAAAGTTTCAAAGTCTCTGAAAAATTATTTATTTATAAAAATGATTATTCATTAATTTCTATTGCCATAAATATTAAAATACAAACTTGAATGTGTAAGCTTGATCATATTTAGCGACTCCCAAAGCTGGGCCAGACATTCCAGCTTTATGAAACATTTCAACCTAAAATAAGAAAATAAATTTATTAAAGTCTAGTATAAACATATTTTTTATTTAGATAATAAAAATTACTTGTCGTTTCACTAAAACTTGTTCATTAGCTCTCCCATGCCGTATCTGCAGTCTCTTAAGTTCCATTAATTGAAAAAATATTTTTCTTTCCAAATGATACCTCCGTAAGCTTATTTGTACATCGCGGGTAATAGTGTCAATATTCAGTGCTTGTTGCTTCTCAGTATTGGGATAGCATTTAAGAGTTCTCTTCGGTATCTTAGAAACCCTTGGACTAGGCTCTATTCCACTATCTCTTCCTCCGCTGTCTCGACGTTGTTTAGTTTGTATACGAAGACCTCGCGGACTGCCGATGCTTTTCCTCTCAACCTAAAATCAATATCATTAAATTATAACAATTATTATTTAAATGTCTAAAACAACTTACTCGAGGTAATTTATCTCTCTTTGATTCTCTTAAAATTTTTTTCAATCGCCTTGGAGATTCTTCTTCACTCGTGCTCGGTATAACTCTGAGAACTCCCAAACTATCTTCGTCTTCTGCATCAGAATCTTCTTCTGGCTCAGCGTCGCCAACAACATCGCGAATTTCTTTGGCGACTTCTTCATCCTCCTCATCCCACTCTGGACTCTCAATGACCGCAACAATGGCACTTCGATCGGGGGAACGTTCTTCTGAACTTTCGAAAAGACTTTTTTTCGATGAAGACTTTGAGCTAGCTCTTCTGCTCTTGCCAGTAGACGGTCGTGAATGTGATAATTTTCTTGATGACTTTGCTGAACTCGACGAACTATCAATGTGGCGTAAATTATCAGAAGCCGATCCTTCTGGTTCTTGTTTGTCAACAGACTTTGGTGCTGACGGTGAGCTTTCTTGAGGCACTGTCTCTTGGGCCGATTTTACTTTCATCGATTCCACTTTTTCAGAGTGCTCATCATGTTCTGCTTTTTCATCTAATTTTTCCTTTTTATCTTCAGCTAAAGTTTTTTCTTTGTCATTACCTTCAACTTCTTGTACAACATTCATCTCTTCTTTTTTATCTTCCACCTCAGTATTTTTTTTAACCTCTTCTGTTTCTTTTTTCTCCCCATCAACCAAATTTCTACTTTCGTCTTCACTCTTCTTATCATCCGCTTTTTCTGTTTGAATCACAGATTCTTTATCAGATTCACTAACCTGAGAACCCGACTCAATCGATCTTTTGCTTCTAACCGACACCTCATCTCTGCTAGAACTGCGATCTTCCTCCGTCGCAGACTCATCTCTAGTCTTCTCTTTAATCTCTTCTTCACTTTTCTGCAGATTTTGACTTTTGGTCTCATTTTTAACATCCTCAACTTTCTCACCTTCCACTGCAGTTGACTCTTTAGTCATACCATCATCTTTCTCCTCATGCTGACTCTGTAATTTTGAAAGTTCCGATTGGGAATCTTGTGAAGCAGCCTTCACCTCACTTTTACTATCTTTCCTACCTTTTGACGCAGACTTTTTCCTATGTTTACCATCAGCCTCGTCTTTTTCGGAACTAGACTTCTTGTCAGACATCTGACGGCGTATTTCATCAACATCTTTCTTAAGGTCAGCCGCCTTGGCCATCAAAGCGTTCTGCATTTCATCAGCTTTCTCTAAAATATCATCAATTTTATTTTTCGAAAATTCATCATCTATTTTAAAGTCTTCATGTTTAGATTCACTACCGTGTGTCCGATGAGCAGATCTAGGAGTATCTTGATCCTTGTGAACCATAGCAGTTACAGTAACCCTCTCAACAGCTTCTTGGCTCGTACTATCAGTTGTGTCCTTCCGAAGACGTTTTTCCGGTTTGGTTTTTCCGTTTTTTCTTTCAGTAGAACCTTCACTTACAGACTCACGACTCTTATTTTTTTCCGTAGCTCCGTTTTCTTCTTTACTACTCGAAGAAACTGTTTTTGTTTTTCTTCTCGAACTTTTACGTTTAGTCTCTGTCATTTTAGTTTCTCTCGACGTTTCCCTGGGAGTTTTTGAACTTCTTCCCGAATATTGAACCTTTTCAGATTTTTTTTCAAGCGACCGTCGAACTACAACAACTTCTAAGCTATCATCACTTAGACTGCGTTCGTCATCTTGACTTCCATGGCATTTACTTTTTTTCTCTATTTCACACTCAACAACATCATCGGAAGTATAACCGTCAGATTCACTCGACGACTCTCCATATTCGTGTTTAGAGTGTTTTTTACTACAACTCTTCTTACGGTCTCTCTTTTCAGGCTCACTCTCTTCATAACGAGCCGACTCACTGCGAGCTCTACGACGACGATCGCGACGTGAAGATTTCGACAATCTAACTTCTTCTTCACTGAAACTTCTGCTGCCTCGTCGGTCTTCGTGTTTTCTCGGAGTATTTCTTCTTCGAGTGCGTTTTTCCACCCAATGTTCTTCTATATAAACATCTGGCTCTCGATGATTTCTTCCAGAGTCACTTTCGCTTTCAGAACTTGATCCCCGACGTTTAACTTTCAACTTGGCAGCAAAAACTATAAACAACATTGATAAAATTACAATTATATACAATTAAAACTTTTGGAACTGTTTACAGTACAAAGTTATAACGATCATTAATTAAACATACAGTGTAAGTAATTAATAATTAAAGTGATTTTGTTAAAGTGCAAATTTAATTTTCTAATAATTTAACTACGCACAACTTCGAGTCTTCCTCGATGCTACAAGCGCACAAGTTACTTTAGAATTGCAGTCTCTAGAGTACAAAACTCTTAATTTCCTTATTTTGGATCCCATCTCATTTGTGATTGGTTTATTGTTGGTTGTCTCTAATAAATTTACATATATACTAATTACATTTAAATTGAATACACTGAATCTATTAAATGACTTAGTTATACAGTATTAGAAATTAAGTACTTTTCTTCTCATCAGTTTTCATTTTCCCGGATTACAATTTCAAAGTAACTTTTATAAAAAAAATGCAATCATTAAAAAAATTAAATTTTTTATAAATAATCATAAATTATTTCATTAATATTGATAAATAAATTCACCTCTATTAGGAGCTGTCCTGTGAGTTCGCAAATGTTGTGCAGTCGTCCCACCGTGCATTTGAATAAGCTTCGCACAGTCTCGATGACCCCGATACAAAGCAGCATCAAGCGGAGTCATTGGACCACTTTTACTGGTCCGAAAAACAGAATTTATCCTGGCTCCATGATCAAGAAGTACTTTGCAAGCATCCAAGTACCCATGAAGCGCAGCAACATGCAACGGAGTCCTACCATCGTGTGTCGCTACATCAAGAGTCGCGGGTTTCTTCCTCGCCAGCCATTCTATAAGCTCTATTCTTCCGGACAATACAGCTTCATGAGCTACTCCAGTTCCACGAACAGTTCTTGCATGCAGCGAGCCTCCATGTAGCGCAAGTATCTTCAGAGTCTCAAGTTGCCCTTTGGCAGCAGCACACAAAGCAGGTCTGTGTATTTATTTTAAAATTAATACTTATTATCAAGAAACATATTTTGCAATATTATTAATAACACTGTTAATTTTTTCTAGGCATCATTAAATAAATTTATTTTTGTGCAATTTTCGAGCCAAAATTTCAGAATTTCAAAATTTATAATTTAAGGAATATACAAATTGTTGTATAAACCCGATTGGCGTTCAAATAAATAAATAAATAAATTATTTATTTATGATTGCTGAAACTCACGTTCTTCCTTTTCGATCCTGCCGGTTTGGATCAGCTCCAAGCCTGAGAAGAAGCGCAGTAGCATCTGCATGACCCAGAGTAGCTGCATAATGAAGCGCGGAGCATCCATTATCATCAACATGATCCGGTTGAGCGCCACAAAAATTAACCAACGCTTCTACACACCTCGCGTGACCTCTAGAAGCTGCGCAATGCAACGCAGTCAAGCCATCCTTGTCCGTAGCTCCTGCAGCCGCTGATCCTCCTGTTCTGAAATTATCAATAATGATTGGATTATAATTATGATTATTCGTTAATTACTGAGTATATAGTATACACGCGATCACGGTAACGTTGTTTTTCATAAAATAATTAAATATTTACCTAGCTAGAGCCAATACTGCTTCTACACTTCCAGCACTAGCTGCCCACAAAATTGGTTGTCGACCATCCTCGTCTTTTGCGTTTACATTTGCACCAAACTCAAGAAGAGTATGCAATACCTTCAACCCGATTTTCTTGGGAACAGATAGCTCTGCTGTGACCGCTGCACCACAACATTGAGCAGCGTAATGCAAAGGTGATCCGCCTCTTAAATCTGGCGTAGAAGGTCTGGCTCCAGCAGCTAGCACCAATCTTACACATTCTGCTTCTCCACAAACTGCAAAAAATATTTCATAAGAAGACAAGTACAATGTTGATGTTGATGGATGATTTATGATCCTTTGATGTCATATTTCTAGCTCTTAAATAAAAACCAAGGACACTGGGTCGGAGTAAGAATTTAACGTAGACGCGTGGCTGTTCTCGCGTGATCCGTCGTCACAAACTCGACGTGTCTCGTTATTAGTGACCTACTGACCTTAACTGACCAAACAGTGTTACTCGATTACTTCGAGGAGATTAAACCTCCCTGATAACTCCTTCTCTCCCTAGATCGTTATTTACTGTTAAGAATTCATGACATAATACTTGATTATTTTTTATCGTTGAAACAATTATACATTTTATGTTTCACGCGAAACTAAACAAATAATTTCTAAATAATTATTGACTTTGTTTTCTTGTGTATAAAATTTTTTTTTTTGCAGGAAAACATCAATATAGATGATTGGAGAAGCGGTCGATAGAAATCTAAATATGTTAACAGGAAAAGGTAACATACCAGTGGCCCAGTGAAGTACACTGTGTCCTTCCAAGTCTTTCGCGTTGACATCCGCTCCATTAGCTAGCAAAACTGCCACTAATTGCGTGTCTCCAGCTATAACTGCGAGATGAAGGGGAGTATGTCCTTCAGCGTCGACAGCGTTAACGAGTTCCGGTGCAGTAGAAGCTACTGCACCTCCTGTTGCCGCGTCCATGCAGTAGTGGAGTGCGTTCCTCAGGGTACGATCACGATATCCTATTGTTTCTTCTTGTTCCTTTAATAATCTTAACACGCGTGATCTGTCACCTTGCTGGCAGGCGTGCATTAATGGAGTTGCTCCAATTTGAAGTACTCTAAAAGTTATTTTTATTTTATAAAAAAATTTTGAAATTATTTTGTATACATTTTTTAAAATTTCATTATTTACTTTTTTTTTAATTACAGATAAATAAAAAATAATAAATAACTCATTCATAAGTATTTAGATGATCATAATTTTTCATTCTATTTTTTAAACAATATTCAGCAGTTTAATGTAAATTATTGTAAGTATTAATCATTGCTAAATTTAGATTAATAATGAAAGATTAATAAATTATTTAAAAGCATATATACTTTTTTTATCAATTAATATTTTATTTTCTTCTAGAAGTTGATGAAATCACTGCATCTACGCACTGTTGGATAGAAATGAAAAGTTATAATCTATAAACTTATGAATTATTTCATGACATGAAAGTTAGCCGACATTCAAACATTTTTAATTTTTTTTTATTAATTCATTTAAGACTAAAACAATTTTTTTAAAAAATTGCACGTGTAATTTTTAAAATTTTCTTTCAACTTTTTTTTAAATAATTTTTTAATAAAACAAGTTATAAAAATTTTAAGATGTCGGCTAATTTAACTTTCATATTATTTCTTATTTTTTATACTGAGAAAAAAATTTACTTTAGAAAATTTATGTTTTTGACAATAATGCACTTTTTTATCTGAAAAATTAATTGAATTGATTAAAATAATTTTTATATCATTCAACTGAAGCTATTAGTTTGTTATAAAAATGAATTTTGCAGAAATCTGACAATTTTTATGATTTTTCTTATTAAAAAAATTATTTTTAAAAAATCTTTAGAAAAATTTCACTTGTAAAAGATTTAAAAAACTTAAAGTGCAATTTTTTAAAAATATTTTCTTAGTTTTAATTTAATTAAAAAAAAAAAAATCAAAAAATTGTTGTCTGCTGATTTCAGTATCATAGTTTGATGCTAATAATAATAAAAATAGAAATTAATATCCAATTCTCAAAAAATTAATATATTAAATTGTTTTTTAAAAAAATCTTGTTTGAACATAATTTTTATTTCTTCTCAGTATTTAATAAAAAAAATCAACAATTAAGTAAATTACCTGTAAGGCCGTTTCTTGGTCCGTTCCTGGCTCTTATCAACACAAGGTACCCGTTTATTCCATTGTACACCAAAAATTGCAGACTTATTTTTAGCACTTCCGTTTGGCAGTGGCGTAAGGGGAGGCAATGATAGATCTCCAGCTTTAGCGGTCCTGTCAGCTCTGCAAGCTTGGACCTTCTTCTCCTGATGCTTGAACGCTATCGGTGGAGTCTTAGTATCCATACCAGCCTGACAACCGGCCACCGGCTTCCTGATCTCAGCGTCCAGCAGGACTGCCAGGACGGCATGACGCTCCGTCGCTGTCGGCCGCCTTCATCGCACAACTCCCGGCAGCTGACTATTCCGTGACCTAAGAAAAGACTCTGGAATTATCGTACCGCTCAAGCGTCACTTCCGACCTAATTTCTGGAAATCTGGAGCACGAATACAACACTCAAATCATAGCAGACAATCTCGGGGGGTCTATTCTACCCTTCCTTCTGTGATATCTCAAATCAGTGGTGCCGAATCCAGAGCTCCGGTTACTGACCACGTGCTCTCAATTGACCTGGTCACTCAGGTTGTCATGGATACCCGACAGCACAACAATCCCACTCGATAAAGAAATTTTTTATAGTTGATTACTCGACAAGGTCGCCACGTGATGAATTGTCATTAATTAACGCGATAATATGTAACCTGATACTATTCAAGCTTACAATCTATCACCCTAATTCCAGCGGTGACCCTAAAAATTAATTTCAAATCTAAATAACAACTTGGAGATCCAATCAAGAGATAAAAATTATAAAAAAACCTTAATGGTTTTTTTTTTAAGTTTACTTCAAAAAGTTTTCTTCGCTTTCTTCAATCGACCTAAATTAAAAAACTGAAACTATATTTAATGACTATAGCTTCATTTAAAAATACTGTGATATAATTTATAATTAATGAAGAATATAGACATTTCCATTCACTCTTCGTTAAACTTTCAAACAAAAAACATCTCTGCGTTGTAGAGCTCCTGTCTGTCAGACATCACGCTACATCATACTGCGCGCATTTTAGTTCGCCTGTACATTTACTTCTTCACTTATTAGCAAAGTTCTAATCTTTTCTTCTTAATTTTTATAAAAAAACAGGAGCAGCTTCTTGCATTAAAGTCTCCAAAATAAGTAATTCATGTTTACAAATGAATAGAAAATAAGGACATGGCTCAGCAATATTAGTAAACATTCGTGACTTAGAGTAACGCACGTGATATAAGCATTGAGGACATTATATTTCACTGGATCAGGTTTTATGCATACAGGTAACTTTGTAGTACATATTATTGTGTATATAGTTCAAATGTATGTACACAAAGAGCTGTCCAACGAACCCACGTGCATATGTTATTGGAACTTTACACCAGCGGTGACTGAAAATCGTTATTTCCATTAATTCAACCCTACCCGCCATACCTTTTACGGACATTACTGAATCCGATGAACCGAGCATCATTGTAATGAATTTATGGATATTCAAACTGCGTATATTTATTCATTACTGTTTTCATAATAATTATTATTATTGTTATAGAATCATTAATTCAAATATTGTTTTTTATACTTACAGAAGTGACAAGTGAAGCTTCAATGTTGATCTACAACACACTGGACACATGTTACTCAACTATATCAATAACAGCATTGTTTTCTTCTTTTGTAAAAAAATATTGCACGTAAGTATTGGATGGCTATAGTTTTTTTACATTATTTATAAAAATTATTTTTTATTTAAATTGTAGGAATGGATAAATAAATGTTCAAGTCAACCGACCACGAGGAAATTGCAGTCGCGAAGAAATTGAAGAGCTTCTAACGCCGGTTGGACATACACTACTGTGCTTTTATACAGTTCTCCAAGCAGCGCAGTTAATGCTAAGGTTGCTATTGGAAACCAACCCCCTGGTGACGTATTTACTCGTAATCCTCATACATTTATATATTTACCAAAGTCGTCGAGGAAATGACACTTGCTATCGTGCCAAGCGTCACTTCATTAATTCAAATTGTCTGCAGTAATATTCTTCTTTAAGAAATACAAATATTTCTATTTTCAAATACATATAAATAAATATCGCACGCTAGAAAACAATAATATAATAGAGCTTGTTAAGTAAATTGGATAAAATTAGAATTTAAATTATGCGAGAGAATAATTTATGTTTTAAATGAATTCATTTATCTTTTTAGTGACAATTTAAAATTTTTCTTGGTATTTTAAGCTTAAATACTAAATTAGATTTTCTACTTTCATCAATTCGGGGGTATAGCTCAGTGGTAGAGCATTCGACTGCAGATCGAGAGGTCCCCGGTTCAAACCCGGGTGCCCCCTTGTTTTTTTTTAGTTTTCATTTTTGCTAAAGTTCATGTTAAAATTTTTATTGATTTTTTTTTCTACTAAAATTTATTAATTAATATTTAAAAATTATCTTTAAACTTATTTAAAAATTAAAAGGTGTAAATAAAATTTAAATTATGAGGTAATTTATAAAATTATTAAAAAATATTTAATTTACAAGAAAACAATAATAATAAACAAAGGGAAAATATTTTCTACAGCTTTTATTACAATTGTTTAAATAATAATAATAAAAAAAATAAATAATTTCACTGAATTCTAACCGATAAATAAATTGTAATATATAAAAAATCAACTATCAATGATAAAAGCAAATCCTCTATTGAGGAGTGATTGAAAGAGACGATTAAAATGTCAAAATTACAGACTTGTAATAATTTAGAGATGTAATTTGATATAAACATCTGTCAAAATCATACGGTTTGCCACGAGCTAAAAGATGACGAAGGCTCAGCGTAAAATATAGGCGCAATGAATGACGGGACATGGCGACGTACAAGTTGACTTATTTTCAATATACTGTATAATAATAAATAAGAATAAATAACGACGGGTGGACCCAAAATATTATTATTTTTTGGAGTTAAATAATAATTAACAATTATTATTACAGTAAGATTGGAAAATAAATTTATTAAAATAAAACGTCAACATGAATTATAATCATTCGGGAGCTCGAAGAGGTAAATTTAGTTTTTTTTTTTAATAATAAACTATTATAAGTGCAAATAATTTATTTTTTTGTTTGTAATTTGAATATTAATTTGTGAAATTTAATTTTATAATTTTTATTATTTAGTAGAATTAATAATAACCTGAAATTTCAAGAAAAAATAAAAAGAGAGGTTAAGTTTACTCCAAAGTATCAATACTCGATAAATAAAATTATAATAAGTCATAATAAGACTCTTGTTGTGCATTATTAGTGATACTCATGATGATTAATTTTTCAGGCAAGCCTAAAAGGATATTAGATCCTTCGGCAGGATTTCCAGCACCAGCATCTCCGCCAAATTCGTATATGTATCAGCAGGTAAAAATTTTAACATGACGTAACGTAGAAGTGTAATTAAAAAATACACCAGTTTATTCATTAAAATAATTTCAGGTTCCTATGAACAATGGAATTCAGCCAGATTACGGTTTTAATATACCAGAACAGCCTTCACCAGCGTATGGATTTAACCAGCAAGGCATGGCTCCTCCAATGCAACCAGCGATGAATACTGGGTCACCGATGCCTCCCTACCCTTCAGAGACACCACAAAGTTCTTTTCCGACTCCACAGTTCGCAGCTAATATTCTCGCTGAACCAATGGTAGCTAATATGGCTATGCAGTATGGAGACGCTCTTGTTGGTTCTGGAAAACAGCATTTGCAAAAATATGTACCCGTTAGTGCATTGAAATACTACTTTGCTGTAGACACAGACTACGTTTTTTTAAAATTAGCACTTCTTTTTTTCCCATTTACGCATAAGGTAATTAACAAGTCGATAAAATTTTTTACAAAGTGATTGATTGTTAATTTTTTATTTTCTAGGATTGGTCAGTAAAGTACGAGCAAGATGTACCTTTACAGCCACGTTACGAAAAGAATGCCCCAGACATGTATATTCCAACGATGGCATTTTTAACTTATGTTGTAATAGCAGGATTGTCACTGGGCACTCAAGAACGTTTCACACCCGAACAGCTAGGAATAATTGCAAGCACAGCACTCGCTTGGGGTATCATCGAATTGGTTGTTCACACAATAACGCTTTATGTGATGAATTTAGACACGAGCTTAAGGACTCTCGATATGGTAGCTTATGGTGGTTACAAATACGTTGGAATAAATCTTGCGATATTGCTGTCATTGATTTTCGGGCGAGTTGGTTACTATGGTGTTTTAATGTACTTCAGTATATCACTTGCCTTTTTCCTAATAAGATCATTAAAATTGCGCGTTATTCCTGAAGGACACTCTTCTTACTCTGCTACTGGCAACAAGAGACGATTGTACTTTATTTTATTTTTTGCCGCGCTCCAGCCTCTCCTCATGTGGTGGCTCTCTTATCATCTTATTTCATAAGTTAATTAGTTATTTAATTAATATTTTGTAATTGTGATCTTAAGTGAATCAATGAGCAAGAAAAGCAGACAACTAAATTAAATATGTAAGGCAATTTAATTATTGGCTAATTTTTGTATAAAAATACATCAGAATATATTATATTCATCGCTACGCTATTTTCTATCAAATTCGACTATGATTTTCGTTTATTCAATACCTAATAATATTTTTTTTTAAGTTAATTTTATTTAACAAATATTATTAAGTAAAAGACCTAGTTATTGACACTGGCCTAGTTGTTTGACACTAGCAACTTTATTCTAATTAAAAAAACAAAATAATTTCAAAAAACCAATTATCTTAAAAATTTATAATCAAAAAATTATATTTATTAATTTATCAGAGTTGATTTGTTTTTTTTTTTTTAATTAAAATAAAATTGCAAGTGTCAATAACTGAGTCTTTTACCTTCTATAAAAAGAATTCAAGAATCAGAATTAAATTGTAAATTTTATTTTTAATTCTTGAAATCTCAAAAAAATACATGATTGCTCCGAATTATTTAAAGTGAGCTTGATAAATATTTTTGACACTTATTAATAATTATATACATAAGATAAAAGAATAATTTAAAAAAAAAAATTAATTAATTAAAATAAACATTTTCATTAAAATTATTTTTTTTTTATTTGTTATTTCAGCAAAATAAATACAAGTGTTTATACAAATTTAAAATTTGCCGCAATAATAACAATCTGAAAATAGATGGCGTTAGTAATACCAAAAAGATGGTGAAAACATACGCCCGCTCACTAAAGTCCTCTAGCATTAGCTTGTACTGGCTGACCGGGTCTTAGCTGTTTTATTTCACAGATTACAGATCAGTTCGCCGTGGAGTGCGGCAGTGTGTAGGTGCGGTGTGTGTAATTGGTGGTAGGCCGCACGGCCAAATAATGGCGGAACGGACAAAAGTGACGGCTCCAACGAGCCGGCCAGTGCCAATGAAGCTCTTTGCTACCTGGGAAGTTGATCGCACACCACCGAATTGCATACCCAGGTAATAACCCCCAAGCATTATTGTCATAATTGTAAAGATTCGCGTCGTCTTGTATCATCATCCGGTGTGAACGACATCGCGCTCAGTCAACTATCAGAGAGAAGCACGACGGACGCCAAAATATATATGCGTTGCTAGTAGGAAATACATTATACGTGTGACCGATCATTTATTCTCCAGCAAATATTATTATTTTAATTTATCTTTCTTTTAGCCTCCGTGTCTGCGGACTATTGATTCTGTGATGATTCCCTCTTACTCACAGATGCTCTGCTGTGTGGAGATAACTCCAAAATTATAAGTTAAATAAATCCGAGATAGCTCCAATAAATTGTATATAATGGAAAATGTATTTTATTGGAAGCAAAGGTAGAGTAGGCATGACGAGCCAGGATAATGCGTAGCTGTCTCAGGAGCACAAACGGATGCGAGCTGTCAATTCTCTCAGCTTGACAGATCTCCCTCATTTAATACGCAAATCGTGTCTCTCTCACACGTGCTTATTCTCAATGACAATTGATCAATCATCGAGTCACGTTGGATTCATTGAGACCTAAATTCTATCAAGATTTAATTTATTATTCAATTAAATCAAATTAACGTTACTCACTAATATGTGAGATTCTATCGATGGGTTAGTTTAACACGCCAACTTTCTCACCTATTTTGTATTTATATTTATTTATTTGTTTGTTTATATTTCCCTTATATTATTATAATTATATATTATTATCATCATCATCATCAACAGAATTATTATTTTGTTTCAGTTAAAATGATCTTGCTATTTTGTTGCTGTTTTATCGAGTTTAATGACCATTCAAAAATGCTCATAAACTTTCATCACGCGCATTTTCGGCTGCTGTTGACACGCCAGAATTTTGATCCCGATGGGAAAATTCATTTACATTTAATGTCCATCCCACATAAACTCTCCGGTTCTGTATGATTCATTTAAATGATTGATTGTCATGTAATTATTAATTATGTGTCACTGTCATTCAAATTCCAAGCTCATCTACTTGGTTAAATTTTATAAATTAATATTAAGATTTATTCGATTTAATTAAACGAATTAAAAACTACGATTTATTAAAGAGCTGCGCCGTAAAAAAAAGCTAAAACAATTGGCCCCGTTGTTTTGGTAAGAGTGATGACGATGCTTAAAAAAAAGTTTCTTTTAACTCTTAATCAAGATCGGAAGCTCTTAATGAAGAGCATATTGAAATATACGCCAGTGCAGACAGATAAGGTTTCCATGTATACGATACGTGTAATATAATTCGATCCTGTAGCACTTGACGTGTGTGTTATTATGTTGTGAGTGTGTTTTAAAAACATGGCAGCATCACAATCTAATAAATCGATTAAAAATAATTTTTTTTTTCTTTTTTATCACAGCTAAACATATAATATTCAGGCTGCTTGTAAAATGACTCATATTCATATCATGGTATGCTTTTGCTTTAGCTGCTGCTCTACTGCTGCTGATACATACTAAAACCTCGGCTCTTGTAAATAAATTTTAATGACACGCTAATTTATTTAAAGCGTTCTGTCAAGTAAAAAGTATTCCACGAAAATTATAAATATAAATGATTATTTTGTGTTTTACATGAATCGTTTCAAATCTTAAATAAATTTCTAAGAATAATACACAAATATGTTTGGCTCTTTCATAAGCCAACAATGCAAAGCAATTAGATAATATACGGACAATATACTTTTTAGCACGTGATTTGCTGTGGGTGAAGGTATCTTTGCAAGAAAAACAGCAATAAAGTGCCTGACTACCCAAAAATAGACGTAATAGCTAGAAAATTTATGTATTGCCGTATTTTATCATTTAAAAGTCTTATCTTTTTCTTATCTCGAGAATAAAAAAAAATCTTCTACTAATCTTAGAGGTAACGAGTACAGTACAATCGCTGGCGATAGAAAGAAAAATATAATTCAGCAATACTAGTTATTGTTATTGAATTTTATTTGTTGCGTTGAGTAGAAGTTGAAGTAGAATTATCGATTGAGAAACACCCCATGATCATAAAAATGTGACCGTGCTTATGATAATGATAGTTATTTGAATAAATTTATCAATCAATCGATGACGTATAAAAGAAATCATATAAAACGAAAAAGATAAAAGAAATAGATGGCTCTGAACAGAGGACTATTCTCCCCTAAAAATCCATCAAATTAACTAGCAATTGGATCTATACTAGTTTCATTCGAGTTGACATATCCCATGTGAGGTTTTTGATTTTCTCTTTTACTCTGAAATCTTATCTTAACTTATCAGGACATATAAACAATCTGATGGAGATATATCCCCTGTGTGTAATATTATTTTTATTTTAGACTCGTGCGTAAACAATCAAGGTTTCAAGGAAACCCTAAAATTTTAATGTGCATCGAAAATAGAAGACCATTCTGTGTATTTTTGCAGAAAAAGAAAAATAAGGAAAAGACTTGAGAGAAGAAGCAGAAGAAAAAAAAACAAGAAGAACTAAGCTGGCTGAATAAATAAATAAGCAGAAAGAAAAATAAGCAGTGAAACAAATTAATTTATTTTTAAATCAATTATTAACTAAGTCGATTTATAATTGCACGCCTGAAGAGACAAACCATTTAGGATTTGGCGTACGCTTGTTGCATTTGTCTGACGTAATACTGGGAGCTGGTGCAATGCGGGATTTGAGGGCCAAAAGAATAAACGTGCTCTCTCATATTCAGTTTACAATATAATACACAGTTTTAATAATATTTGCCTTTAATTGTATTATACTGTAACGACGACAATGATGAGCGAGAAAGAGGATCAAAGCGCGTTAGAGCAGCCAATCAAATACAAATGTCATGAACATTTGATCCTAATGTAGATTATCCAGGCTTTGTGGTATCTATTATGTATACATATAATATATACGTTAATTAATCAAAGGGATCATCGGTATGAACACAAGGTACTAGTTTAATCTATAACCAGCAAACCACGACCTTGAAAATATATTATTTTTTTGGACTTATACTGATACTCGATTGACGCTGGACTACGTTCTCTCATATCAATCGATACTTCATTAACTCGTCTTGTTCTTCAGTGGTTCAATTAAAATTCACCGTTTTTATATTCTTTTTTTAGGTCTTCTTTGTTGTAAAAAAAAATTATTTCTACTGCTGCTGCTATTGCTAGTGCTGCTATTGGTCCCGCTGAAAAAATGGTAAAAAAGTGATGAAAAATCTAGTATAAAAGTGGAAGAGTTGAGAAAAAAGAGGACATCGGTGTAAAAGGTATAAAAAAAAAAAAAATGCAAAATAAAATAAAAAGAACGACCTCGACAAAGAGCCGTGAGAGGGAATGAAAGACATTGCAAAGCGTGAATACAAAGAAGATTTCTCGAAACTGATCGACCTTCCTTCCAACAACAACTGTACAGTACAACTGTATGTACAATTCTCTTTGCTCGTACTTTTCAACACTAATAAACCTGGAAAATTGCATAAAATTCAAACCAACCACGGGCTAGTGTTTCTCATCTACTTCGTATACACACAATTAGTCTACTAATATAATAAGTTGAACAAATAATCGCGAAATGTAAGGTAAATAAAATAATGAAAACGAAATGGATAAAGTGGTTGGAACAACAGACGTATTTTTATCAAAAGCTCTATTATTACAAAAATCTTGGAAAAATGTTATTAAATTTTCGTAATTTAGTTTTTTTTATTGCTCGACTCTTATATTACTATTTATTTTTTAATTCTGTCTCCAGCACGTTTTACTAGATGTTCCAAAGCTATATAGCTGCATGCTCTTGGAATGCTGAAGAGCAACCCAATGTCAGTTTCTTCGATCTCGACACAAGAAAAGACGACGAGGAAAAGAAGATGGAGATGGAAATGGTAGAGGTGAAAGAAGTGGAGGCAAACTCATGCACTCAAGACTGAAAGAACTAATGTAGAGAAAGAAGAGTAAAAAATTCTAAGAGGAAAGAGAGTGAGGATAAAAAGCTCACGAGTGGTTGTATACGTATGCACATACATACCCGGAATCGAGGCCAACATTCAACCCCCGTGAATTTATTTACCAGTTCATATTTTTAGTGAGAAAAATAAAGATAAGTTCTATAAGATGTTATTGGAATTTATGCATATGAAATAAATTATCAACACAGCTGTCATTACGTCAAGAGATTTAGCTTCAAGATGAATTTTTAAAAGTATACACATATTATTCTTTTTGCTTTATACTATTTACTTTAGCAACCACTTGACTTTTCATTACGTGGGTCTTTTATTATTTACTCCCATCGCAATTTTTCTTAACTTTTTTTAATTTTCTTCTTCATTTCAGTAAGTTCCAGACTGCGTATAATACCGTCGCACTGGTTGGGCGTATTTAGGGCTTATTGTACCTCGAATTTTCACCTAAAATCCTAATATAAATTGCTGCTCGTATATTGTATTCTTACGACCATTAGCCTTAATGGCGTATACTTTTTTATATTTTTTTACAAGGTTTGCTTCTCTAGTTTATTATAATTTATTACCTCTAATGACCTATTATACATTCTTTAATATTCTAGCCTACTCATTTAATTAACGGTAAAACAATAACAGACTAAGAAGAGCGATATTTTCTCATATTCTATTACTTCATAAAGAAGAGCCACGTGCTGGTCGTGTCGTGCCAAAAGACTAAACGTCGAGACACATTTTAGTTTCGCAAAATGTTTATCTGGCTAACTATTACTTCACGTGTGACTGTCTATCACGTTTTGTATGCCAAAAATTCTTCAAACACATCCATCAATTATCACACATATCACGTATCCTTGACACACTCCATTTCATTTAATACTTCCTCGATATATTATCATTATATATACATGTGCCCTCTATCACACAACATTTACATATCATACATATATCATTCGCTACAATTTTACAATAATCATTATACACGGTCTCAATATTAATATCAAAATGAACATTGGCTGACCAAGAATAGCTGATAGATATTAAAATCGATTCTACGGCATATTATTACACTTAAATCAAACAATAAAAAATAATTTAAGCATTTCGAGGTAACGGGTCCAGTGAATAATTTACTTAAAATAAATAATAAACCAGCATGTACGTCATTGCGACGAAACGAATGAGGGTTTCGAATAAAAGAAACATACACCTGTTCGTTCGAGCTAGCTCAACTACTCCTAACTCTTACATTTTATACGTTAGAAAGAGAGTAGTATTAAAGACTGTGTCTATATGTCTTTCTCTTATTCAGTCTCTCGGCTGGTAGTTGTGCTAGTATCAACACCACTGATTCTTATAATAGTAGAAGTAGTAGTAGTAGTAGTAGTAGTAGTAGTAGTAGATAGAAAAAGTAATAGTAGTAGTAGTAATATGTAGTAGTGAATCGATATTCCATTTTCAGACACAAACCCAAACGTCATAAGCGTCACAAGTCAACGGTAAATATGAAACCTCGCATCCTTCCATCTATAGTTGCATTTGTATCTGATGTTAATCAAACTAGTGGTTTTGTAGGGTATCTATACATACCAATCTATTATAGTTACTCTGTATCACTCACGTTTTCATTATTACGTATTACTTTGTGTGCTTATAACTTTACACACATGTGTATATTACAACAATATCGATAGAATTTGTGGGTGGTTAAAAGCAGTGGGCTTTTACCAGGAAATCATGACCACTTGATTCATCAAACTTCTCATTATCTTCACTTTACCTTTGTCGCAATATATCTGTCGTACCTGTATCATACTCTTCAGGTGATCTATTATCTTTTAATTTAATTAAATACGAATATATGTCGGTGCTATTTCTATTAAAAATTTTTTATTTTATTTTAGATTCTAGTTTCATACAATTTTAGAGGATCAAGAATCAATTGTTGAGTAAATGAGAGCTGAGTATTCTGCGCAAATCAAATAAAAAAGCGGAGATTCACTTAACTACTGGATATATATTCATTCTCAGCTCGGATTCTCGTGTATTTCATTCACCGTCTACGAGTGATTTATACGGTTCTCATGTTAAGAAATCAAGCTAAGAGTATATACATATAAATGTACACATTATATATAGAAGAGCCAAGTGTGGATGAAAGACTGCAAGTACACGTTAAAAAAAAAAAATTTATATGATATGTATCAAGCTTAGTTGTGCTGTTATATTTGTAAAGTTTGTACGCCCACACAGGATAAAATTCTCAGAGAAATAACCATCGGAAACGTCCGGTGACGAATAAAGTGAGATAGCACAAGATTATGTTTTAGAGATACGAGCAGGTAGCAGGTGCGTGCGAATATGCTAGCAAATGTGTAAACTCCAACGCAAACCACTGGATCGATTTGATGTCTCCGCGGCTAGAACCAACTAGCAACAGCAATAGTAACATTGTAAAATTGCACAAGTACAACTAGACATCCAACAAAACATCTTATATGCAGTATATTATGTTTCTGCGGGTTAAAAATAGCCTAGTACAGAGTTTACCGGCGATGATAGTGATAAACGTGTGAAAATGCTCATGAACAATTCACTGCAAACAAAAGCAACACTTGCCACAGTCATTGCTTAAAGATAAAGCTTATGAATTAAGTCTATCGTATATTTAAGTTCCTTATTGTTCTATTCACTGGACAATAAACTTGCCATTCAAGTTATCTCAACACTAAAACTCAATGGATAAGCTGGCCGTAAAACAAATTCGATTAATTTTCATCCAACATAAAGTTTAAACGATAAAGTAGTTGGTGCTTTTAAAAAAAGTAAAATGACGGTAGTGTAATTAATTGTACAAGCAATCTTCTCTATAACTATCCACATAATGTACAATACACCTGTTATAATTCCAAGTGTATGGGGTTTTTTCATTGGCTATCACGACAACGGGAGCCTCATCGGCGTAGCCGACCCCCTGGAGCCACACGCACACCTTCATTGTCAATTACCTCTGTTTTACCCTTACATATACATAAACGATCAATATAGCTAGCTGTTCATCTATATTCCATGCATCACCATTGTAGCAACAACATGGCAAATTGTTTTATGACTATTCGTTTTGTTGCTAATACCAACAATCGATTGTATAACAATTTTGCCTGGTTTCCTTGGACAGAAATATACTGTACTGTACTTGTGCTCCCGTTATTCTGCTTTAAACTCTATTTGGGTATGCAAAAATTATTGCGAGAATGGGAATTTAAAATCAAAAAATAAAGAAGGCGAGTCAAGACGTAGACCCTCTCGGGCTTGGGTTTAATCACGACTCGTTCATCGCGTGCCGACTAAGCTAAAGTTCACTCTTTTCGTCTCGCCTTTATTACTATGTATGTTTATATATGTGTATAAATGGATATAAGTATGTGAACACCGACAAACTGTAGTCTATAGATATTGATGTCGTTTATCTGAGTGTAGTAGCTTTACCACCTGTAGTTACTAGCAGTGGTTATATTTAGAAACCACCCCCTCTGTAGAAATAAAAGTTGTCATGGATAAAAACTGCCAGTTGGAGACTCATATCCATTATATAAGTTCAATTCCCTCTTAATGTATTACTGATTAATTTTTCAGAGTAATGATCTTCCTTAAATCCATATTTCATAAAAAAAAAAAATCCATTTGCAATTGTTAATTAAAATTAATTAAAAATAGTTATTATTTCAAATTAATCGATTTCAAATATTGAATAGTAAACTTTTAAATGTTTTATTTTTTTTTTTAATTTAAACTTCCAATATTGGATCCGCTCTTTTGAATTTCAAAACTTTTACTTCTGAATTAAAATCAGTGACCTATATCTCCATGAGTATTAATTGTCAATATTAAAATTTTATTGGCAAATATAAATTTAGTTTTCAATAAAAACTTTAAAATCTTTATTATAATGTTAATAATACTAGTTATTATTATTATTTTTTTTCTGTTTTTATTTTAGATTGTGCACATTGACCCTTACTCGGCTTGTGATTCTCCGGCCTTTGGGCGCAGATCTGGCTTCCATCAGCATCGCAGTTAAGATGCAAAGCTCCAAAAGGACATTACGTTCCAACGAAATGGCTATTCCATCGGGCGGAATTCTCGACACTGAACTGGAACTGCAGTTTGCCCTTCAATACCCGCACTTTCTCAAACGCGAAGGCAATAAATTGCTGATACTCCTGCAGAGAAGAAAGAGATACAAGAACCGTACAATGCTGGGGTACAAAACATTAGCAGAGGGTGTAATAAATATGGCTCAAGTCCTGCAGAAGCAAATGGATCTTGAGTTAGAGCTAGTGTCAGATAAAGCGGAAAAATATGGCGGGCATTCAGTGGTATTGGCTAAAGTAAATGTTATTGCATTGAGCTCACAGCCGGTTGATCAGGACAAAAGACTGCTCAACGATCCAAGCGAGCGACTTGGTCCAGAATACAGCGACGAGGAAGAAGAATTCAGCTCTGAAGGTGAAGCCGAGGGCAGTGACAGCGAGCCTACTTTAGAAGTCCACAGGCGGAAAAATAGAAATAAAATTCCTCCGAATGCTCGAGTATGTTCATTCAAGTTTATAAATTTTTAAACTTTTATTTATACTTCAATAATATAATATTATTCATGATTTTATAGCAAAGAAACTTGAAGCAAAAGTTTATTGCTCTACTCAAGCGGTTCCGAGTTTCAGAAGAGCTGGAACACGACCAGGAAGAGATTGGACAAAAGTTATCGGGTAAGTGGAACACAACGGCGTGTTCAAGAACAATACTTGTTGAGTAAAATGGTTAAATTAATTTTATAAGTGTTGATTCCAGGCGGTGACATGGAAATTGAAGAACTCTTTGATGAGTTAGAGGACTTGTCGGATAGTGGGCCTGAGTTGGATACGATGTCTGTTAGCAGTACTCCAAAGCCATCACTGAGGCCGTTCTTCAGCTCTAGTCGTTCACTTTTAGCACCACCTCACCCCGGTGAGTTATTTTCCTTTCTCCGATAACACATATTACTTTCCATTCGTATATCGTATCTGTAGAATTTGAGGCACGTTGAGCGCCGAGCTTTCGAATCTTGTTACATTTTATTATTTATTTTGTATCCTCATTTTTATTTACACATACGCGAGCCTCACAATCTTATCATGAAAGATGAACCGAAGCATGATTTTGTTATTCTTTATCATTTTCTTAAAGCAAATCTATAAGAAAAATATTTTAAAAGCTTTGTGACGATACATTTTATTCAGTATCTGGTTTTTTTGTCAATAATGTAAATCGTATCATCTTTCCCTTCGCATATAATAATAATAATAATAATAATAATAATAACAATATTCATTCATGAATTTAACAGTATAAAAAAGGTTTTATTTTATTAAATAAGCTTTGAAAGGCCAAAGGAAAAAAATATATTAAATTATCGTTCAATTCAAACGAATACTGCAAGTATAAATTATTATATATTTTAATAAATAAAAATAAATATCCCTGAATCGATATAACTATGAAAATTCATTAAACTAAATGAAAGTCTTGGTGGGCTGGCTTTGCACTGTTGCATGGTACAATTCAATAGTAGTTACCAGAGAGGAGAGTGCCACTAATACCACAACAGCAACAACAACGGCAGCAAATGTATGCCAGTCATCATCAGGCTCAACTGTCAAAGAGAAAACACGTGTGGGACATACAACCCCAGGTACGTAAATATATAAAGCATCACGTCCTTTATTATTCATTTGCTTTTCTCATTTCTTCTACGTTCTTTCACACACCCTCATTCACCATCATCGAGTAGTTTCATTGATTATTTAATCTTAATTAAAACACCATCTAGCATTGAGAGCATGAACGGTTTTAAAACCGAGCATGCAATCGCGTTTTTAATTTATATAATTTTTATTTTTTTTTTTTTTTTTTTTTTTTTTTAGTTATTCTGTAGCTGGCAATCATTTTTAGTTGTTGATTATTTATATCAATAACTTAGCGCATATTTTATAATTTAAAACAAAGTAAGACTGAGTTTATTTAAAAGAAAATGAATTTTATAGATTGGAGGCGCAACTCCAGCGCTTGAAGTTCTTTTGCATTTGACGTCGTGTCCTCATAAATAATACACTAGGCAAAGATTTGATTTAATTCGTAACTAAAACAAAGTTTATAATATGTATGTTTGTATTTTTTTTTTTGTATTATTTAATACTTTATATTTTTAAATTTTCATTTTTATTCTTTTCATTTTCTTTTTAATTCACACATAATTATGTACTTTATGTATTACTAAGCAGTAGTTTGAATAAATTACTATTTATTAGCTGAAAACAATTAAAATTGTATTTTATTTTTATTAAACACATTTGAGTAATTAACAATAAACTGCATGTACATTTACTCCTTATTTAATTTAACTATGTATGAAAGTGTATAAATTTTTTTTTATTATTTGTAATTTATTCATTAAATCTCCCTTATTTAAATTGGGATTTTAAGTATTGTATGTACGTGTGCGCGTACATATATATGTATTTAAATATTTGTTTTATTTTTTATTTTAAAATTACTATTTCATATTATCCAACTTGAACTGAAGTCTCTATTTTTCTACTCACATATATACGTACGTATTCTCTTCATTCTATAAAATCTTTTGTCTCTGTTAAATCTGTATGCCCACGTTTATAGTAATCCACTGTGTAAGTAATTCCTCGCTGCTTCACTTTGAATATCAATCAAATGTTTTTTATTGTTATTAAAGTAAAAAAAAGAAAAATTATATTTATAAATCAAATAACTATTTCAATCAAAGTTAAATAAAACTGACCAAGGCAGTAAAAAAACATGAAAAATAATATATAATAATAAAAAAAAAAATTAACATTATAAAATTTATATCCTAAGTGATAATTTATCTTGGCACGTAAAACTATAAATTATATTTTTTTTCTCAACAGTGTCTTCTTACTACTCACAAAGTAACTTATTATGTACCTTACTTATTTCACAATGTCGATTTATTTTCCGTCAATCTGATATAATACTACATAACGGCTAGCTAGAATGTATATCTACAGTCCGATAGTATGCCAACACCACCGAGTATTATTATTATTACGTAGAAAAAAGAGTAACGTCAATAAATTGCAGAAAGAGGCGGCGACAGACAAAGCGACGATAGCTCAAGAAGAGCTGACAGCGATTCGCATCCTGAAAATTGGACCGATCATGAAGCTAATGACGCACCAAGTACTGTAGCCGGATCACCTCCTAAATCTGAGCACCCGCAGCATCACCAGCACTCGAATAAAAATGAAAATTCTGATCGCCGGAGCAGGCTCTTTGCCAGAGACCGAGGTACGCCTGGAAGCAATAAATCTAAAAAGCAAAGCCTAAGCGTTGATCTTAAGCCGTCAGTAGAGCTGAATAATTCCGAGGTACGTTCATTTTTCATTTCAATTTTTTTTTCATATACATGATCTACAAAAAATGACTAATCCCCTTTCATTCAAACTCTAGCCGAGAAAAGCCCTTGTTGAGCAATTGAGCCGCGTACTGCCCGATGACTCATTACCGGAAGCAGTATCTTTAGTTTCTCTAGCAGATCCTGGCGGTGCTGTTCTAGCAGCCCGGCTTCAAGAACGCAATCTACGAGTTCTTACAACTGCCTCGCCAGCGGATATCCGCGCAACCTTCACCTGTCTAATCGCGAGGATACAAAAATTGTAAGAATTATTTTTTTACCTGGTGTTAATTGCGTTATTATTTTTAAATACATCCGCGAGTTGTATTGTGATTATTTGACATAATAATTATTTTCATCACAACTTAGTTAGTCATAGTTAGGTAATTGAACGATGAATAATTTTAGTAATTATTTACAAGTGGGATCGACCATTTTAATTTTCACTTTTTTGAACGAAATTTATATTTGATTTTATAGATATATATATTTTTTTTTTAAATACATAAAAAAATGAACAATTAAAAAAAAAACTTGATTATCACAATTTTAACAAATTTTTTAGAAAATTGTGTTGATACTAAAGTTAGCCGACGATTTTAATTTTTTGATTGTTTTTTAATAATTAAATTAGAACAAAAAAATATTTTTAAAAAATTGCACTCACAGTTTTTAAAATTTTTTACAGGTGAAATTTTTTTTTAATCATTTTTTCAATAAAAATAAAAATTCTAAAAATTTTTAAAATGTCGGCCAACTTAATTTTCATAAAATTGTGATATTCAACTTTTTTTTTTTTTTTTTTTTTTTTTTTAATTGTTCGTTTTTTTATGTAAGGTAAAAGACCCAGTTATTGACACTGGCCTAGTTATTTGACACTTGCAATTTTATTCTAAATTAAAAGAATAAAATTTTCTCAAAAAAACAATTATCTTGAAATTTATAATTCAAAAATTCTAGGTATTTATTAATTTATTAGAATTAATTTATTTTTTTTTTAATTAAAATAAAATTGCAAGTCTCGGCGATAACTGGGTATTTTACTTTACTTTTCAAAAAAAGAAATCAAAAAAAGATAAAATAGAAATTTTATCCAAAAACATGAGAGCCAAAATTTTTTCCAACTTTTGAAGACAATAAAGCTATCAAAATCTTTATTTTTTTCTTTCACGATATTTTTTATTATAAATGTGTTGTAAAAAAAAATTAAAAATTGTTAATTTTTCACCTCGATATGGTCAAAAATAGGATTGACCCCACTTGTAAATAATTACCAATATAGTAAATATTTATAAGTGGATTCAACCATTTTAATTTTCATTTTTTCAACGAAATTACTATTTGATTTTATTGATGTATTTTTTTTTAAATACATAAAAAAATGAACAATTAAAAAAAAAACTTGATTATCACAATTTTAACAAATTTTTTAGAAAATTGTGTTGATACTAAAGTTAGCCGACGATTTTAATTTTTTGATTGTTTTTTAATAATTAAATTAGAACAAAAAAATATTTTTAAAAAATTGCACTCACAGTTTTTAAAATTTTTTACAGGTGAAATTTTTTTTTAATCATTTTTTCAATAAAAATAAAAATTCTAAAAATTTTTAAAATGTCGGCCAACTTAATTTTCATAAAATTGTGATATTCAACTTTTTTTTTTTTTTTTTTTTTTCAATTGTTCGTTTTTTTATGTAAGGTAAAAGACCCAGTTATTGACACTGGCCTAGTTATTTGACACTTGCAATTTTATTCTAAATTAAAAGAATAAAATTTTCTCAAAAAAACAATTATCTTGAAATTTATAATTCAAAAATTCTAGGTATTTATTAATTTATTAGAATTAATTTATTTTTTTTTTAATTAAAATAAAATTGCAAGTCTCGGCGATAACTGGGTATTTTACTTTACTTTTCAAAAAAAGAAATCAAAAAAAGATAAAATAGAAATTTTATTTAAAAACATGAGAGCCAAAATTTTTTCCAACTTTTGAAGACAAAAAAGCTATCGAAATGTTTTATTTTAATTTTTTACTTTAAAAAATGTTAATTTTTCACCTAATTAAAGCCAAAAATAGGTTTAACCCCACTTGTAAATAATTACCATAATTTTTTTTTTAATTATTTACAGTTGTAATAGTTCAGCGAAACCACCTGCGCCAATAAAAGTAGTAATAGCTGGTGGAGACAGTTTCGTAAACGCCGTTTTAAGGCATTACGTAGATTTGCTGAGCTTCAGACCTCCAGACTGGCAAAGTTATCTGCGTTTTTTGATAGTACCATTGGGTTCCAACTCGCTGGCCAAGTACCTTGGGTCTATCGACAGCAAGTACTCGATGCTGTTTGGGGAAGAATGGCGAGAGTTGCTGGAGCGTGAAGCCAGCGGAGCGAGTGAAGGCGCAGCTCGTGTGTCTGAATACTTATTAACAACTGGGCCTACTCTTTTACTACCAATCGCCGAGGCCATGGTCACATACAGGTACGATATTTATCCGCAGTCTCGTATGACGCGCTAGTCTTTCAAAATTGAAGAAAATAAATATATATTTATTTAAATAACTAAATGTCCTTATTGAATATTCATACCTTGGTGTCAACAGAGAGACAGACGACAGCAGTCAAATATTCATTCCATTTGTAAACGACGTGCGCGTCGGGTGTCCTGACAGCAGCACTTCCGCTTCAGTTGACCTTGAAGAAGGTGCAGCAGTGTCCTCGGGGTCGCCGCCATCCTTGCCGCCGCCCAGTCTGGCGATACCACCGCCCGGTAAATTAACTCCTCCGAGCAGTCCAAATGTCAGTCAGCCACGTGACGGCTGGGAGCCAGTTGAACTTCAACTTGACTACTGGAGCAAGCCATCATTGGGTGATAAAGGCAAGAGCACACTGCGTCAAGCTTTCAGGGCGTTACATGTCCAGAGATTACCAACAATGGGAGAGAATCCTGGACCGTATCTTTCTATGAATTACACGACTAAAGAGAAGAAACAGAAAAGTAATTTAGATAATTTAATTCTTATCCTGTTTTAAGTATTCTATTTTGCGTAACACGAGTATTTTTGCAGTAATGAGACTGGGTAAGAAAAAAGAGAAAGAGAAAGAGAACGAGCCCAAGAGCCAGGCAGTGGATGGCGTGACTCGACTCATTTGCTCCGCTAAAACTCACAACATTCCATGGAGAGGTGAGCTTATACTCCCAATTGATTTTTCACGATTAAACAAATGATATAATGATCGAAATATTGATTTTTATATTGCATATATTTATCTGCTCACATTATCATTTTTTATTATTACTTCATTTTCAGTTACTATTGACGGAACAGAGTGGTACGGCGTTAAATTCTTCCAACTCTCAGCGCAATGGCAAACGCATATTAAGACGTTCCCGGTAGCAATGCTTATATACAACCCGCTCCAACAAACCGCAAGTCTCACCTGAATTTCAAAGTCTCCCTATTAAATGCTTGAATTATTCCATAATTTATTTAGGATTGAAATTCGCTAGGATCGATTTAGCTGTTCGTCACGCTGATTAATTTAAGCCCTTGGGGATCAGCCCCGTGGTATTTTAATGATGAGTTTGTGACCTTTTTTTTTTCTTCTTTCCAATATCGAGTTTTATTAACACGTAATGTGGACTTTGAAGCTCTTAACTATTACTCGATAACGAGTTTTCCTAAGACTTCTTTTATGTTTATAACTCTCTTTGTTTTGTTTTCGTTTTCTTTGTTGTTTTTTTTTTCCATCGTTATGAATTATAAGTTAGCTAAAAGCTGTTTTTATAATACAATTATTGATTTTATTCAAATGTTTTCTTCCTAATATACTTTTAAAGTATTATTTTTTGATTAAAAAAGTTTTGTTTTTTATCTTAAGTATATATATATATTAATATTATAAATTCAAAATTTTCGCGATAGAAATTAGAATTTAAAAAAATATCATTCCTTCATAAAATTGAGTATCTAAAAAAGTAAATAATTTTACAATAGGTACGTCTATATTTTAAAGCAAATAATATTTAATAAAATAAAATTATTTGCTATAAATTCTTTCGAGCAACGTAGTAGGTTGCAATGACTGCCTAATGCCAAATTAATGAACAAAAATTAATAACGATCAACATAACATACCTAGCCCATCTTTTATATACTACCAATCGACTGTTGAAAAATTTTTATAAAAGACAGCAGATTTTTATTTTAACCCGGCTTGCAACAGCCTCGACTTTTTCTTTCATTGTTACTAGTCTTCATTTTATTATACACCAAGAAAAGTTTTAATTAATTCTTTGCTTAAGGTTCAGTTGGGCTTAATAATTTTAAATTATAAAAGTCATAGAACAAAATTTAATTAAAATATTAAATAGTTAAGTATATAAATAAAAAAAAAATATATATATATATATAAATACATATATTACTAAAATAATTGTGGAATTGATGTGAATAGATACAGAAAGGGCCATGATGTACTTGAGTGACTGCCTCATCGTTAAACAGAGCTTGCTGGGATAATTTTCAGCAACAAAACCTGCCATTTGACTTGTATGAATAAATACTCCATCGCCCTAATAATAACATATTCGTATATCTATATATTACTTATAATATATAAGTATAAAAATATGTATTAGATAAATGTGACGACGAACGTTGCTAAAATTATCGCACAAAAATTTTCAATTTGTACATTGAATAATTTTTTTTTTTTATATTAAATGTATATTATAGTATATCATCATTTTATATTATATTTTAAAAAAGGATCCTCATTTTATGGATTTGGCAATATCAATAATTTATGGTTAAAAAATATTTTGTTGAAAAAAAAGAAAATTTGATAAATTAATACTAAATTTATTTTTTTATATTGAAGTGTTGAATGTCAAGTATAAATTATTTTAATGAGGATTAACTTCATTTAATTAAAAAAAAAATTTCAATAATTTATTCATTTACATTCATTGATATTGATGATAAACAAAACAAAATTAATTGCTAGTTATATTATATACATATATCTAATCGCGTGCTCGACCCACTGTTAATGGTTAAGCGAACCATTTACCGAACGGATATTTCACCAGTTACAATAATAATTGTAATTTTAAATTACTCATTATTCTAGTCATAAATCAATAACCATGATTTTTTTTTTTTACAGATTCAATAACATTATTTAAATGTTAAACTAGAATGTTTTTTTTTTTGTCTTTAATTTACATTAAAGTTTGCAGAGTCTTGATGAGGTCGTTAGCACGTGAAGAGTCAAAAGACAAAGAATAATTAGAGGGAAAATAATAAAATGATTTCTATTTATAATAAAGCGAGTTTTATAGGGCTATAGAGGCAGGCCCAAGCTCAAAAGCCTACAATAATTAAAGACATAATGGTAATAATATATTTAAATGGAATTTTTAAGTTAATTTATTAATTAATATTTATTATTAATTAATAAACAAGTGAATATATCTACGATTAAAAAAAAAAAAGGATAATTGTTTATAGGACTAGACGTCTTTACTGTGTTTATAAAAGGATGTCAGCAGCTGTACATGTACAGATAATTATATAATAATATATTATCAAAAATATTAGAGAGTTTAATTAAAAAAAGGCTGTTAATATTTCGATTGATAAAAAAATTATGTAAAATTCATTTTTATTATTTTTATCAATTTTTAACTGAGTTAAAGCTCAAAGTTATGATAAAATGAAAAGCATATCTCGTGTTTATGTGAAAACTCTATGTGCACAATTGATGATACTGTCGCAATGTAATGAAAGAAATTAATGTGTGTTTATTATAATTATAAAAAAAAGAAATTTTAAAATATAAATTTAACGAGCTAAATAATTATAATGGAAAAATAATTAAATAGGTAATAGTAAATTACGATGGATTAAGTAATGATTGAAAAGTGTGAGTGGTCCCTTATCAATTGTCATCGATAGTGGGACAGAATATCTGAAAGTGCCTACTTAACAAACATTTTGCAATGTTACCAGCAACTCAAAGATCTTTATGTGTGAAGACTACCGCGAAAAAGAAGAAAATTAAGAACTCGAGTGTATGCGAGTGTATGAATGTAAAAAAAATGTATGAAAAAAGAGAAGGAAAATGAGTAGTGTTTGGTAGTAAATTTATCTAACAATTAATAATTAAAATAATGATAATTTTGTGCGAAGCCTGATTTAATTCAACTCCCCATTATTTGTATAATAAAATATGAAATACCTGTATGTGATACATAATTTTAAATTGTAATTTTCAAACTGCGAATATTATTAATTAGATTAGTTATTTCTTGTGCCCTGGGCTCGTAGGTAATCTAATTATTATTATTACTATAAATAATATTTTTTTTAGTCCGGTTAAATTTTTAGTATAAGTTACTATTTTTTTTTAATTAATAATTTGTAGAAAATTGTAATGTTTTAACATGTGATATTAATTAAAAATCATTTCTGATGATTTTGTTTGCTCTTTGGTTAAAGCTTTAATTATAAAAACAACTTTTTAAAAACTGATAAACTTTTCATTAATTATTGAATCAATTATAAACTAAGCTGAGGAATTTATTAAAATATCATTATGCTCAGGACACAAGTTGATGCAATTTAAAACAGAAATAATTAAAATATGTATTAAAATAAAAGTTAAAGAAAAAAAAAACAAAAAACCCAAAAGGAAATGAGCATCGGAAATGCTGTTTTAGTTATTAAATATTAATGATAAGAGGTACAGTAACCGAGGCGTAATGATAAATATAATTATAATAAAACAAAAAGCATATGTTGTTGATGTTTGTAAGCTTCTTGAAATAAAAATGTAACGCATTTTTTTGTACTACGTTTGTTACCTCTATTTCTTCACACTTAATTATTCATTATTTTTTATTTTTTTAGTTGAACACATATTTCATTCAAGTTATCGATTAATGTTAAACAGTGACACAAACAAGTATATTTGAATTAATTTATCATTTTTATTACATTACAATACTGAAAAAAATTTTAAATAATTTAATTATATTAAATTAATAATATTTGGTTTTATTATATATGTTTAAATAATTTTTAGTGTCTATAAAAATCAATTTTATTCGCTCTTTGGTTTACTTAAAGCCAATGAAATGTAATGACAAGCAATTGATATATTTTCAAAATTAAATAGACATTTTTCACTCTGATTTTTATAATTATCATTTCATTTAAACTATGATTATAATATCTATTGCTAATAATCTTGATTTTTGCGCTGTCGAGTCATTTTATTTTATAATTTAGTTACATTTTTTTCTGAATATTGGTAAGATTTTTTTTTTTTTTTTTTTTTTTTTTTTCAAGTACACATTTTTTTGCATAATTTTATTGATATTTTTAAATAATTTTCACATCATATACTCTTAAATTAAATTTAAAAATACAATAGCAAGATTATATAAATAATTTTCCAATTCGCTGAAAACACAATTGCATAACAAAAAGTTTTTTTTCACTGGTATCGCAATATTTTCCAATTTAAAACAGATATCATATATTTTTCATTCATTTACGAGTTATATATATATATATTTTTTTTTTCTCAATATAATTCTTTTAAAAACAATAGTCATAAAAACAAAACAAAACAAATTTCTTAAATTAAAAATACATAGAGCAGTTATGTAATATAAAAATGTAATCTTTAATAATCAGCAATAAAATTAAATACAATCACTGTAAATAAAAAATTTAGTACGGACAATTAATCATTACATTCATACTTTTTTTTTTTCTAAAAGTATTTTCTGTGATAATAAATCAATTTGTTCTGCTATCACAGTAAATCTGTGATAATAAAATAAATTTATCAATATAAAAACAATTATTTGAAAAACAAAAAGTTTTTTTTTTAAATAACAAATGCATAAATAAATATTTAAATAAAATAGCAGCGGTTCTACTACTTTAAAAATTGCACAAGCTTGACGAATCTCGTTACACCAAATAGAATAATTTATATACATAAATAGATTAAATATTAAATAGTGAGAGACAAAAGTACATAAAATTCATTTTTTGTTATCAAGAAATGACGATTATTCGTATTACAATAATTAAATATCTCTTTTTTTTTGTTATTGAATGTTATTTGGTTTTAGTTATAGTATTTTTACCGTAGTTGAAGCAAAATTACAGATTTCAATGATAGTGCTACTTACTATACTGATGCGTCGAGATCTATTTCTCACGATGATAACGAGCAGTAGTATGACGCATCATATTAACATTGTTTCATACATACGGATGAAGAGCTAACGCACGACCACGGAGGCCTCTTTGTCCTCCTACACCTCCTTTCGGAATGACGTAACCACCCGCATGCCTAGCTGTGCCTTCTTCCTCCAAATTACCATTGCTCTCAATTAAATCTCTTAGCGGCCAGCAAGCTAAATGCCGTGACTTGCCATGTCTTGCAAGAACATAATACCCTTGCCTGTAATTGGAAAAATATTTTATTAACGCTGACTAATAGCCTATTCTCTGTAATGTGATGTGATTTTTACCGAGATGATATCAAGCCGACGAGAAGAGCCCAGTGAGCTTTATGTCCTCTCTTCAAACACGGCGCATGATTAAAATCCGAATCGTACGGAATTAGCACCATGGCACCATGAGCTAATGCATGAGTCAACGTATCCGGGCAAGTCTGTAAATCCACAAGTACATCTGGTCGGTGATCTGGTAAATATTCAGCAGCCAACGTTCCCATAAAATCAACACTGTAAACCTCACCGTGTTGAGTAAAACCACGCACACGTGCTTCCGCCAGTAGCTGGGTTACAGATACAGGCTTAGTGTATTCTTGAGATGCCATTGACAGAGCCACCAACCCACATCTGTATAAACACATACATATATGTATTACTTATTTTACATTCATTAACTTGAAACTTTTAATAAATTCCTCAAACAAGCTAATTATTAGTTATTAATTAATTATAACTCCATTTTAGAGAATTTTCCATTTGTACGAAAAAAAAACAATTAGTTTAAAATTTATTATCACTTTAAAAAACCATTTAATATCTAATAAAGATATAATATTTTGGTTTGAATCATTCAAATAATTTATAATTAGACTATTTAATTGTTACATCAAAATGTTAAAAAATTACCCTCTAAAAAATAAGGAGTTAGACAAATTGCTAATTAGACCGTCGATATGTACACTGAAAAAAAAATTAACTTGATTCAAGAGAAAAATTCTTAAACCAAGAATATAATTTTGAAGAGGGTAATTTCCTTAAATCAAGAAAAATTTTTTTAAATCAAGAATTTTTCTACTCAAATCAAGAATATCAAGTTCTTCAAAATTATATACTTGATTCAAAAACATTTTTTTTTGTTTAAACGAAATAATTAGTTACTTACTGAGGTCCATCCTGCAGAATCGGTTCGACTTGTGAAAAATAGGTGACTTCAGCATCCTTAAGTGCGTGTCTTGCAATCAATTTTTCAATCTCCGCCTCAGATGATGTTAGAGTAATTTTAGCCCAAGGCGGTAAATTTTCTGATTCATTAGTTTCTGCTTTTTTCTTACAAGCTGGAGCTTGAGTCGGAGGAGCGGGCATCGTCGTATTGTACATTAATCGATGATTCTATTATTAAGTTCCCTTTAAATTTAATAGTGTAATTTAATAGTACAATTTTTAACTTTCCAGAAACTGTTAATAATACACTACTATTATATTTCTTTCTTTAATTACTCCTGAGCATTTTTATCTGTAATTCAACTATACTATTGCACTTTGCTCACATAAAACAATAATTAAACCGCTGGTTCACCAGTGACATCGCTCCATTTATCTGCAAATTGATAAACACTTTTATTTAAAAGAGTGATAAAAACAAGCTTATTGAAAAAAATAATAATTATAAATTATAAATATCATCAATAAAATTATTACTCCGATAAATAATCGTCCATTTTGCTCGCGAGTCAGGAATTTATAGAAAATTAATCCTTGACATTTTATTACTTTACTTATATTATTGAATGCTTTGACGTTTGATTGCGCTTTAAATTATTAAATTATTATTTAATAACATTATATTATATGACTCACGGAGTATCAAAGATTATATAATTTCTCGAACTAGTAATGACGGATCATTGACGTAAAAAAAATTAGCAATGATTAATTAAATTCTTGTGAACAAGCCCAAATGTCATTTTTTTTTTACAATTATTCAACTATTTATTTTTGTGTATATTATTGCAATTGATATTGTTAAATAATAATAATAAAATCATAAAGAAAAACATTTACAATTTTTTTTTTAATTTATATATCAAAAAGTGAATTCACATTAATTACCAAAACGAAACACTAACTGACACTGACATTACTTACGATTGCAATTATAGGCTTTTTTTTACAAGTGTATGTACACTTGTTAAATTTTATTTTATTTTTAAGGGCGCGGTTTATTGAATTTTAACTTATATAAAATAAAATAAAATTTTAAAAACAAAATTCTAATTATTTCAAAAATAAATCCTGTTTGTAATTAAATTTGTACTTTACTGCAACTGAAGAATAAAAAATATTTATTATTTAATTATTAAGTACAAGTGTCAAATGAACCGTAATCGAGAAAGAACTGCCATTTAATTTTTTTATCAGATGATTTAAAAAATGAAAAGTAAACAGAAATTACCTTACATATTCAAAAACTGAATAACATTTGTATGGTTTTTAAATCTATTGACAATTAATATAATATCAATTAAGAAGATAACACTAGTAGTATTGAAGTTTTAGTGTCACACAATAGAATAATAATAATAATAATTCAAGTTTGACGTCCTGGACATATGACTTGAAGAATCACTGAAATAATTCCTCTATCCCGACATCTAGTGGCCAACTTTTAAGTTATTTCCTCAGTCAGTAATTTTACGACACATAAGAAGTTTTTGATTTGAATTCGTTGAATGAAAATCCCTGAAATAAAAACGCAAAAATTAGTAAACAAATTTTGCATTACAATGTTATCTAAAAAAAAATTCAATAACACTTTTTTATACTTCTAATAATTGCAACCTTGCTTGTTTATTATCAATAACAAAAGAGAAGATATGTTACAAATTAACATATTTTTTTGGTACTTAAAAATAGACATAATTTTTATTTACTTATAGATTTATTAATTACATAATTAATTGAACCTGTAATTACTGCAAGGAATATATTACTATTTCTGTCAGTCAAGATCAATAACATGGTCACTGCGCTGATCATCGATATAATCCAGCCGAAGGAATAAGACTTATTCATATCAATGGCAAATTTTTTTGCATGCTGTCTGTACAAATATTGCATACCTGATTAAAGATCGAAGATCAACAACGATGGTACACCACTTTTCATCACATTAAATTGCAATTTCAATAATAATTAATGAAAAAAGTCCGACAAAAACATAATGACATACATGAATGCCAATTATAATAAGTTATGTATATACTTCAACGCCAGTTAGTCTATAATTTTTGATTTTTTTCAGATGCGGAATTAACGAGTTCTTGAAATTACCTTCAATATGTCAATCATTATTATGATTTCCTTCAATCAAATAAAACTAAGAATAAATTCTCAGTTCTCAGTTGTCTACTTAGTTCTATTGAGATTAGAAGACTATGTAGAGTATTTATCATCATCAAAATATATTTAATAATAACTCAAATTTATATTTTTCATATCAATTTTGTGAGATTTTTGTAAATCACTGATAATAGTATGTGATTTCTTTTAAATATAAGCTACAAAGTGAAGTAGTTTTCATTCAAAATGTTTTAGGAAATGAATAATTGAATTGAAAGTAATGAATATTCAATTCTTGCCCTTTAACTTTACACATAACATGAGCAGAGTAAGTGAATAAAAAAATAAACACAGTGGAATACTCGGTAAAATTATTTACCAAACAGTGATGATGGATAACTCAACGAGTTTAGATACCAGAGACGAAAATCTTGCTTTTTGGGAAATAATTGTTCTAGTGATAAATCTAATCATCACATTAATCGGTAATTGTTTTATTTTCTTCGCTCTTTACTTGCGCCGTTATCATGGACGCCAACGAAAATTAACTCGCATGTATTTCTTTATGATGCATCTCAGTATCGCGGATTTTATCACCGGAATTTTCAACATCTTACCTCAACTCAGTTGGGATATTACATTCAGGTTATTAGTTGTGTAATAAATAAATCCTTTCCAGTGACAATATAATACCTATAGATTTCAGGGGGGACCGGCAATGTGTAAAATTGTTAAATTTTTACAACCATTCGGAAATTACTTGAGTTCTTATGTACTCACCGCAACGGCTATTGATCGATATCAAGCGATCTGTAATCCCTTCAGTTATTGCCGCACATCTTCATTAAAGTCAAGAGTAATGGTTTACAGCGCCTGGGTTTTAGCGTTCATTCTCTGCATTCCTCAGGTAAATATTCAATTGAATAATTTATAAATTATCTTGATCACTATTAATTATAAGTATTTTAGGTGTTTGTTTTTTCTTATCAAAAAATTTCAACCGGCGTCTGGGACTGCTGGGCATCTTTTAGTCTACCGTATGGAGAACGAGCTTATGTTACTTGGTAATTTTTATTTTTTTGCTACCAATAAACAATTACAAGTTATTATAATTTTTTTTTTTTTTATTTTTAGGTACAGTATTTCTGTTTTTCTGTTGCCTTTCATAGTTCTTTTTTATACATACGCAAAAATTTGTCTGGATATAAGAAAAAATACGGAAATTTCTCAACGCTTTGATCATGTAAATGATACAAAAAGAATGAACTTGAACCACAAAAATCGTCAGCCATTGATATCACGTGCTAAAATAAAAACTATTAAGCAAATGATTACAGTTGTAAGTCTTTATATTATTACAAGCAGTCCGTTCATCGGGTGCCAATTATGGGCAACTTGGGATCCACAAGCTGCTAATTCGCCATTTATCAATGGTTTGTATCATAATACAGCTGCCCAATTTTAAAACACATTTTTTTAGTATTGCTGCATTTCTTATAACTTGTAGACCTTAATTTCAAGTATTTTTTCTTAAAAATATTTATATTCAAGTATTCTCTATTCATAAATCAAATTTTTTATCAGTTAGGCGCGCAAACTTTTTTTTAATAAGAAAAATTTTTAAAAATCTTAAAATTGTCAATTACTGTGTTTTAAAATTAGGCAGCCGAATATATCACATATATTCTCAAATTATTAATATTAACATTCATGATATTTATTTTCTGAACAGGACCAATTTTCACGATTCTTACCCTAATGAGTAGCCTTACCAGCTGCGTAAACCCTTGGATTTATTTATGGTTTAATCGTGAGCTTCGAATTATATTATTAAGCTATCTGAAGAAAATAATTTGCAATCAAAACATGATAAGCTACGGTAAAGATAATTTTTATTGAATGAATAAAATTTGTGATTAATACTTAAAATAAAAAAGAAAATAATAATAATTATTATTATTACTATTGTTATGATATAGATAACGATCCGTCTTATAATTCAAATGGCAGTTCAACAAAGTCATCGATAATAGTAACAATGTTTCGGTGTGCTGGATCAATATATCATCGGCAAACGTCTCAAGAACGCTCAACAGTAGATTTCATACTCATTCGAAGAGAGTCTTAGATATTAAAAATAGTTTTAAATAATATACTATTAAAAAAAAAAAAAAATAGAATTAAGCATTTAATATAGTTTAAAAATTTTATATTTTTTTAACTCTAAACTATCATCTATTACTTAAATGGAATATTATAACAAGTTATTGGGACGATAATAGTTCGATGCACTTTCACTTTATTCTGTGAATAAAACTGTTTCGCTTCATTAGTATTTCTATTCAGACCAAATAGAAGAATACTCTTATTGTCCGCAATGTTTGTATTCCAACTTTTATTCCGATCTCGATGACGAGTCCCACCACCACAAATACTTATGCTAATGCGTTGCTCACCAGGGATGCTTTATACCACTCAACAGTCTTACTATATTTTTAATAATTTAATACCACAATAGTTACTGTTTTTAATAACTCAATTTTTACATATATCAGCACAATGTAGACTAAAACGTATGGAGGTTTAATTTATATTAAAACAGATGTCTATAAAGAAGTATTAATAAGATTAGAGCGGTTGGAAAAGGGATCAAAAAGGGCACATCCATAGGTGGTCCCGATACTGTATTTTGATCAACTACAAACAATCGATGAAACCGACGGATTATGACGGTTAATATATGAGAACCTCTGGTATGAACACCTGAATACTTAACAAACGGATAAAATTAACATTAATAACGAGTGTCCGCCTCCGATCCACATTTTATCTGAAGACAAACTACGTTCCTCATAGTCACACGTGACATCTTCGATGAGACGTTTCGGGTCATTTCCAAAATTTTAACTTACTCGAGTGAATTTTTCCATCTGTGTAAAGTTAACTCATTCTTGTCTTCCGCCTAAGAGTCAATTGATAAATAAATAAAATAATTAGTTTGTTATTTACTTAACTATGGAAGAAAATGATAAAAATAATAGTCAATCTGGTTACAAGGTAATTTTGATAAATTTTATTTCTTTTTTTCCAAGATAATATTTTTAAGTAATTTGTGATGGATTTACAGTCAGAAAACGATAGTAACGACGACGAATTTCCGCGAAGATCTCCAGTGCTATTGGATTTGGATAAAATGGTGAAGAAGTCCCATCAAATAATCGACGAACAGGAGTCTACTGCCAGCAATCTTGAACACCAAGGCTTACGAATTAAAGAGGAACCGATGTTCAATTCCTCTGTCAAAGAAGCTGCGTTTATCCGTCGGCAATCTCTGAGAAGGCGTTGGCAAGACGACTCAATGAGCGAACGATCCAGTACTTCGGGGGATGGTGTTCTTGTTATAAGAGTTCCTGAACCTGAAACTGCTGGACCTCACTCGCATCTAGAAATTTTGCATCAGACAAAAATAAAATCTGTACAACGCGAATCTGCTCAATCTGAGAAAGGTAGTAATAATTTCACAGGTAAAATTATTTGTTGCGTAGTTTCATTATTTTTTATTTTACTTTTAATCTAATTTTTAACTAACTATAGCGGGCTACTTATTTTACGGTTCTTTAATTCTTTATCCGAGTGATAGTGTTGGTTCTTTTTTTCCTTTCGTCCTCGTACTTCGCGCTTCAGACGATGCTTTTCTTTATTGTTAGCCAATGATGATACGTAAGCTTGATAAATATTTGGATTACCCGGTTTAGCGGTGACTAATGTCATTGTTTTGTTCATTTCTTTAAAGTTGTCATTTTTCTTCGATCCTTTGTCACTTGGATTACTACTTCCAAAGTCCCGTTTGCCCACAAGGGATCCAAAAAAATCAATAATTATTCTCCACCAACTTTTATTATTACTATTTTCATGAACTTCTTTCAATTTTTCATTATTACTCATTAAATCTTCCTCCGAAGTTTTGTCTTCAATTTGATCTTTAGCTTTTTCTTCTATTTCTTCTTCATTATTTTCCAGCTCCGTTATTTCACACTTACTATCATTTTTATTTTCTACTTCAACGACTGAATTCTCTTCAGGCAATACTGCTATTAATTCCTTACTTACGTCGGATTTAATAGTCTCAATCGAAGTGTTGTCTTTTAAAATTTCTATCTTCAGTGACGGTGATTCAGTTAAAATTTCAGAATTATCTTGATATCTTTCTTTACTCAAATCTACATAATTAGAAAGCTCTCCAGCTCGAATAATTTTATGAGGACTTACAGAAACTGAAGATTGATTACTTTCATTTTGTTCGTCGTACGACACCAAAGTAATTTCAGTTGAGGGTTGCTCGATGTCCAAATTATTGAACCGTTTTTTCTTCTTAGCGTTGCAGTCCATTGATTTTTTATTATCAGAAAGAGTTGGAAAAATTTTCAACATCGTCATGCGCTTCCTAGTATGAGGTAATGGTCGGCGAAAATAATGAGCATCATTTAATTGCGTTCCTTTACGGCTTCGGTGAATCTTCGTCGCGTCCATTTTAAATCCAATGAATAAAAAAATTTTTTTAGACCATGACTCACAACTTTTCTTCAATAAAATAAACCAAAAAATTAATTTAAATTGTCAATATAAAAATTGAATTACTCAATTAAAAAGCAAATCTATGCATCAACTGTTTTTTTTTTTTTTTTTTTATTTCTTTTTTTTATTTCAATTAAATAGCAACTTCACGTTTTACTACTTTAAGACTACAAATTAATGAATGAATAATTAATAAGTAACAATTAAAAATGAATATTAAATGCTCTAATAAAATTTATAATTAATTTTTCAGATTATAAAAAATCAGCATGTGACCGAGAGCGTACGAGAATGCGCGACATGAATCGTGCATTCGAACTGCTGAGATCAAAATTACCAATTTGCAAGCCGCCTGGTAAAAAATTGTCTAAGATTGAATCGCTGAGACATGCGATTACTTATATAAGACACTTGCAAAGTCTGTTGGAGCCACAGTATCCTTATGCACCGTGTAATACCGATGTGGCTAATTACTATGCAAACCCGTCGCCGACGAGCTCTTACGATGTTCAGCATCCACCCCGATGGGAATCTTTGGCTTACTATCGTTACGACTATCATGGACCTTTCGTACCGCCGCCACCACCTGCCTTGCCTCCACCTCGAAGACTCGCATCCGAATCAGACGAACAATATCGCTACAACCAACACTTGTAATTAATTCTAAATCATAAATTTTACCCAGTGCAATTGTATTATCCAACTATCTATATATCTATAATAATTCTGTTGACCTATTAATAATGTTATTAATACCAAATTATGTATAAAAAAATAATATAACTTTTTTATTAGTATTTTTGATTCTTCATAACAATTATGTATTAAATATTTAATTTAATAAGTAATGACACTAAAATTAGCAGACACTTGACAATTTTTTGGTTTTCCTTAAGAAATATACTAGGTCTAGAAAATTATTTTTAAAAAATTGCATTTATAATTTTTCAGAGCTTCTAAAGATGAAAATTTTCAATGATTTTTTTTTTTTTAATGTTATTTATTTATTAAAAAAATTCTAAAAATTTTATCAGATGTCTCTCAATTTCAGTATCATTAATGTTATATGACAATATTATATTTGGTCTGTTGTATTGATGCATTTGACGGAGTAATCGACGGATAAATATGCAGCGGAAGGTCCCAAACCATCGTTTCGACGTCGAGACTAGAAGGAGCTTTCCAGTCGATTGTGTTAGCCATCGGCATTTCTATAACTTTTGTTGTTGTTACGAATTCAAAGTGCAAACGCCATTTAAGTGTCATTAAATGAGTGAAAAAATCTGGCGTGACATGCAGAGGAATCGGCAATACTAGCTGTGAATATTTTAATCCAAGACACACTTCGTGGTGTTTGTTGTAACTCATCCGCGAAGGGTTCCCTTTTCCACGCTTGTACTCGTCAGCAATATGCTCCTCGGATTGGAGCGCTACTGAGACCTGGACGCATGATACTGTTGCGTTTGAGAAGTCAAATGTGCCGACGATGTCTTCACCTAGTTTGTAGGAATTTTTGAACAAACAAAAACGAACTACTTTTCCTCGTCCATTAGTTATGTTATAGAAATTGGGACTGCGGCGAGCTGTCAGGTTCTGGAGAGTCTGCAGTGATATTTCTAGCGGGTTTTCACGTTCCTGAGTATCCATAAAAGGATTATTGGGACTCAGATCGACGCTATCGTTACATATCGCCACCTCTGGTAACTCTGGAAATGTAATTTAAGTAAAAAAACGTGACTCAAATTTGTCCTTGATTTTAAATAATTGTACAAATATTTACCACTTAGAGATAAGACTCTGAAAGGAATTCGGAGCAATTTTATTGGTGAGTTGACTCGTTGGGCTCCTACAGTTATTTTGTAAGAATATTTAATAGCTTGACCACGATAAGAAGGTGGAGCGTCACTAGGAATTGTTTCTCTATAAATATCTAGACAAAAATTAATGAATATTAGTACAAGTTTTAATTTAATTGAACGTATTTAATGACAATGGCTTACATGTCTTGCTTTCTCCTGGAGATAATCTTAAATCACAAAATAAAATCTTAGGCTTTGTATTCACCACAGCGTGACCGTTGTCCTTTTGCCAGGGTGCAAATGCCGTCTCAGCATTTATTGCTGATGTACGGCTTGAATTTATTTTGTCAGTAATAACTATTTTGTCATTAGCTGAGCACTGACAGTGCAGTTGAGCACTTGCCCAAGCTAATCCTTCAAAGACATCACTGAAACATTAATTTAAATAAATTATTATTATAAAATTAAGTATAAAAAAAATGAAATAATTAAATAACATACTTGTAACTTTGAGACTTTTGATGAATTGGATTCAGTGGGTTACTAAATGTAACATAACACTCAATAACCTCACCAGAAAAATACACTGGCCCTTTTAGTAACCTTCCAATAACTTCTATCATTATTAATTATTTATTTATTAAATTAATATTGTAAATTATTTAATTAGTATCATTATTTACTATTTTTGATAAATTATTTATAATACTTATTGTTGATTGACAAATTAAACAGGTGTAACTTTCTTTACATTTTGATATAAACATTAGCATTCACATCAGCAGTTGTAGACGTTAATTGAGGAATCAGCTGACAGCTCCGTCTTTCGGAACTAGTTAGAGTTATCGAAGTTTAATTTTGTAGGATGGCATTTAAAGTAATTAAAGATTTATTTACTTTAATAAAAGTATAAAATATATTTATAATTTTTTTTATACAATACAAATAGATTTATATATATGTATATAAGTAAATACAATTAAAATACACAAATATATCTAATTATTAGTTAGTTAAAAATAAAAATCATAGCTCAAATAATTTTTTGATTAAAAATCTGTTATAAAGCATCTTAAATTAAAATAAAAATTGCACGTTAAAATAAAATTTATAAATTTGGTTGATTATTGCGATGAGAATAAATCTTGTGAATTATTCTACGATTATTTGTGAATCTTCGTACCTTAAATTAATATCCGAATCATTGCTACAATCATCATTATTATTAGTCAAATCTGCAATCATTTTTTCTTCTGATAGAACCAGTGAGTTCTCCCGCTCTATAGTCTTCGTTATTATGTCAAACATTCTGTCATTAAATACACGACTTTTTGTCTTCACTGGAAGTTCTTCCTTTGATTCCAAGAGCAGATTGTCCATCTTCTTCCTTTTCTTTGGAGTCATAAATTCCACTTCGTTATTTTCTTCATTATCACTTACGTCAGTAGACTTGTCATAAACAGAATTAGTTAATTTTTTAATTTCATCTTGTAAATTTCTTATCATATTTTTTTTAGTTTTTAAAATAAATAAAAATTTTCTGTAAAGCGCATCTTCCATTTTATTTTTAATAGAAGTCATCGTCGTCAATGCCGACTCCATATCACTAATTGTCCGTTTTAAAGTTTCATTTTCTTCTCTATACTTTATTTCATTCTCCTCCACACTAGATTTACAAACTAAAATACCATGGATAAGATTTGAATATGATATTATATCTGATAGCGGTTCACATTTTATGGATGGTCTTTTCCAAATTTTTCTTTTCCATGTTAATGTATTATTTTGTAATGAAAATTGCACCTCGTTATCCTTGCCAGCAAGTTCTCTTCTCATTTCTTGTAAATAGTCTTCTGGTGTCTTTTCATAATTCTCTGCAGGTTCAGCCAATTTTGCTTTTGTAATCTGTAATTTAATATTATTATTACAATGTATTCATACATAAAATAAAAAATAATAATTAATTAAATTTCTATTCAATTAATTAAATTTAGTAACTTACTAATCAAAATTAATTTAACAGATATTTAATAATTTTTTTTAATAAATAAATTTTGACAAAAAAAAAAAAATAGAAAAAAAATTAACATGTAGAAATTTTAAAAAATAAAAAATGCAATTTTTTAAAAATAATTCCTTGCAACAAATTTGTTTGTTAATAAATAAAATTAAAAAATTGTCAAGTGACTGCTAACTTTAATAAGTTACTAACTATATAATAAGTCTTTTTTTAAGTAGAAAAATCAGTATACAATTAGACAGCCAGGTAGTAAAAGGTCAAAAAGGGAAAGTAGAAAAAGCTATAAAATAAAGTGCGGGAAAATTTATATAAACTTCAGACAACGTTTAGCAGAGACATCATTAAATACAATAGGACAATGTCCGACAATCTAAAAGTATTTATTGACCGTAAATATTTTGCTCGCACCTATTGTACTATTGTACCGTAAAAAATAAAAGTAGGTATAGCATGCTAATATCATTTTCAAGGACAAATTTTTAAAGCACTAAATAGGAATGGGATATTTAAAAAATTATTTACCTGTCCTTCAAGTGGCAAATCATCACTTTTTATGATATTTAATTTGACATATTCTTCGCACCAGTGAGTAGTTAAAATTATTAATTTTTTATCAACGGAATTTATCACCCGACAAATAGTTACATCATTGGAATCATCCATTTTATAGTTCTAAAAAAAAAAAAAAAAAACTATATAAATAAAATTAATTAAACTTGTTGCTCCAGATTACTGCGAGTGACAGATTAATATACCTGTCAGTGTATTGAAAAGAAAAGGACTTAAAAAATCACGATTTGAGTAAGACTAGATCAACTGTCAGACACAAGCTTAAACTTGCATTAGCTTGTCTGACTCATTTCTGAAATGTGAACCCGGTAAGAGCCAAGTAAGCTGAAGCCACGCGTCCAACTGACATATGTATACCCTTCTCCGAAACCATTAAATCCCTACTCTCTTTCAATAGAAATCAGCTGATTGTGTGGTCTACAATTGTTGTCATAGCGACGCTTTTTAGATAACATGACTGAGCACATGTGTTAATGCTTCGGAGTAGGTTTTATGATATAAAAAATGTTTTAAAAAATTAGTAGAACTATCAACCAGAAATAAATGAGAAATATATTTTTGACAATAATTGATTTTAAATTAATAATTCAAAGTAAAAACTAAATTATAGAAAATAACATTAAAAAGAAAGAAAAATTCATTTTTTGTAAATGATCTGTTCAAATAATTACAATTAAAAAAAAATCAAATATATTTTTATATTTTTTTTTTTCTTAAAATATGAATAAAATTTCTAAAATAAATTGATAATTTTTCCTAAAGGAATAATAGTCGTAAGATCACTGTCAATAATCAATGATACATATAAAAATAAAAATGTAAGTATTATTGACAGCTTTCATTACATATATAGAACTGTCATGTCTTACTGAGGTTGTCATGGTAACCACTTGAGAGCTAACACAACATAACACGTGGTAGCGTTGTGTTATTCTCAATGAGTAGATAATACGACTTACACAATACAATGACAAGCTTTATACAAAGTATCCACATACGAGACGGAGAATATACAAAAATTATTTATACTATGGTATGTATTAAATTATTTAATTGTCATTTCAAAAAAAAATTCATTGATTTAAATTTAAATACCTTTTTTTTATAGATCAAGGAACAACGATATACAGATAGTATTCATGTGCTGACGGATCTCCTGACTTCTCATCCTGATGTATGACTTTTCTTAATAATTTTTTACAGTATACTTTTAAATAATTAGATACTTATCTGCTGAATTTATTTTCAGTCAAGACCATGTTTATCATTATTGGCTCATTGTTATTTTTACACCCAAGATTTTATCAATGCTGCTGAGTGTTACGAAAAACTAGTGCACTTGTGTCCAGAAGAAAAACTCTACAAGCTTTATTATGCGCAATCACTCCATCAAGCTTGTCTGTTTCAAGAAGCATGGAATGTCTGTCTGACAATTGCTAATCATTCAAATTTAGACAATCAGGTGAAAAAATTGCAAGCAGCTATCAAGTACGGGCAGGAAGATATCATAGCTGTGAAAAATTTAATCGACCAGTGTCCGCCTGATGACATTGACACAGAAATAAATTTAGGATGTCTGTTGTATAAAGAGGAGCAGTATGAAAAAGCATTAAAAAAATTTCTGAGCGCTTTACAGATTGCAGGATTTAAACCACACTTGTCTTACAATGTTGCTTTGTGTTTTTATAAATTGAAAGAGTATTCATCATCTTTAAAACACATTGGTAATTACAATTACTCACAATTTTACTTAAATAAATATTGATATTCTTCATCTTAATTTAATAATTCTCTAAATGGATATTTTTTACAGCTGACATTATTGAACAAGGAATCAGAGAACATCCAGAGCTAAGTGTTGGAGTAACAACAGAAGGAATTGAAGTTAGAAGTGTTGGAAACACGTTAACTTTACACGAAACTGCTTTGACAGAAGCTTTCAATTTAAAAGCTGCAATAGAATATCAATTAAAAAATTGTACGAAAAAAAATTTTTATAACTTTAAACAATTGTTAGTTAGAAATAAATATCTCGGAGTAAAAATAAGAAAAATTTTTTAGATGATGCAGCAAAAGACGCTCTTACGGACATGCCACCTCGTTCTGAAGAAGAATTGGATGCTGTGACATTGCACAACCAAGCTTTAATCAACATGGACACTAAACCGAATGAAGGTTTTGAAAAACTTCAGTTTTTACTTCAGCAGAATCCATTTCCACCTGAAACATTTGCTAACTTACTTTTATTATACTGCAAATTTCAATACTACGATCTCGCGGCTGACGTGCTGGCTGAAAATGTTCACTTGACTTACAAGTATTTAACTCCAGTAAGTATTTAAAATTAAATTAATTTATTTAATAATGAAATATAAATAATAAAGTTTTGTATCTTTAATTTTAATATTAAAATTATTATTAATATTATAAGCAAAACACAATTCTTAAATTAGTCGGAAGGTTTAGATCTAGAGTGTTTACATTTTTTAGAATGTTTTTCTCGATAATCATCACTCGAATCGCTAGAACTCTCACTGTGTTTTCTTTTTTTCTGTTTCGAGTGTTTCTTCTTTTTCTTCTTATGTCTCTTTTCCGTTTCATAAGAGCTATCATCAGAACTGGTGCTAACAGACCGTTTCTTCTTCGACTTTTTCTTTTTAATTTTTTTAGATTTTGATTTTTTCTCACTTTTTTGAGCTTTTTCTTCAGGTACTTCTTGTTGGGCAGGCTGTGGTGGTTGTACTGGTTCATTTTTAATCTCTGGGAGTATATCATACTTTTTGCCATCGATTGGCGTAAAACAATCATGCTCAAAATGACCTTTTAATTTACATCTTTTACAAATAGAATTTAAGACTGCTTGAAGTTCGATGGGTTTTCGTTGCTTCGGCATTGGTTTTTTTCTTTGCTCTTCTCGGTCAAGTTCTACGCCGTTCGGATCTAAGTCTTTGCCATTACCTTGATTTACAAATTTCATGGACAATCCTATTTTTCCATCTTCTCCGATCGATATAATTTTACACCAGACTGATTCTCCACGTTTCAATACTTCACTCACATCATCAACCCATGTTGAACTCACCTAATTGATAAAAAAAAAAAAACATAACTAAAAATATCTGTCACTATAAAAATTTATGACATTAAAGTTAGCTGTCACTTGAAAATTTTTTAATTTTATTTAACAAAAAGATTTATTCCAAAAAATTATTTTTAAAAAATTGCATTATTTATTTTTTCAAATTTCTAAATGTCAATTTTTTTTTTGCCGTAATTTATTTGTTATAAAATTTTAAAAATTATTAAATATATTCTACATTAATTTTCATTAAAAATTTTAACAATTTTACCATGAAAATTAATTTAGGAGATATTTGATAATTTTTTTAACAAACAAATTACAGCAAAAAAAATTTGACATACAGAAATTTTAAAAAATAAAAAATGCAATTTTTAAAAAATAATTTTTTGGAAAAAATCTATTCATTAAAAAAAAATTAAAAAATGGTTTCTTTAAATGCTAACTTTATTGACATAATTTTACCTATATTTTAAAAGTAATTATTTAAAAAATCAATACCTGAGATTTATGTATGAGACCTTGTTGTTTACATCCAGGAATTTCGACAAAAGCTCCATAATTTTGTACAGCTGCAACTTTTCCTTGAAAAATCACATTTATTTCACAACGCGTCATTTTTAGTACCAATTAATCCCTCGTTTCAATTAATAATCATAATTTGCAATGTTTACGACAATTAAAACGAAAATCGATCAACACATTATTTATTTGAGGTTAGAGGGAAAAAACAAACATCAATATTTATTTATATACCAGGGGCGTACTAAGAAAATTTTCGTTTCAAGAAATTAAAAATTACAAAAAGTAATATTTTTCTTTTAATTTCAAATTTATTTTTTTGCAGTATCTTTATGATTTCCTGGATGCACTGATAACTCAACAAACCGCTCCTGAAGAAGCTTACAGAAAATTAGATGATCTTGCTAATAAACATTGCGAGACTTTGCGCAAGTTAGCGAAGCAAGTCCAGGAAGCGCGACTGAACCACGATGAGAATGCTGTTAAAAAAACAGTAAATGATTACGACGAAACACTAGAACGATATATTCCTGTGTTGATGGCCCAAGCGAAAATTTATTGGGAGCTGGAAAATTATGTCCAAGTTGAGAAGATATTTCGCATGAGCGCTGATTTTTGTAATGACCACGATGTCTGGCGGCTCAATGTAGCTCATACTCTTTTTATGCAAGAAAATAAATTTAAAGAAGCGACCGGCTTTTACGAACCGATTGTTAAGAAGAAATATGATAATGTAAATTTATAAAATATTATTACTTCAATTTAAAATTTAAAGTTTTTATAAATATTATTTTTTGGTTTCAGATCTTGGATGTAAGTGCAATAGTTTTAGCAAATCTATGTGTGAGTTACATAATGACAACCCAAAATGCCGAAGCTGAAGAGTTGATGAAGAAAATAGAAAAAGAAGAAGAAACAGTAGCTTTTGAAGAACAAGATAAAAAATTATTTCATTTATGTATAGTTAATATGGTAATAGGTACTCTTTATTGTGCTAAAGGCAACTACGAGTTTGGAATATCAAGAGTAATGAAAAGTTTAGAGCCTTATAACAAAAAACTGGGTACTGATACGTGGTTCTATGCTAAAAGATGTTTCTTATCGCTTCTTGAACAGTTAGCTAAGCAGCTTGTTGTCCTCAAGGATTCAACGATTCAGGAATGTATTCAGTTTTTAGAACAATGCGAAGCTTATGGTAGAGATGTTTTCACGATAATTGAGCAGCCTTATGATATTAATGAAGTACCGTTGATTCCTGAAGCTAAACATACTGTTACTTATGAAGCTCGATTTTTGAAAGCATTGTTTCTAAAAATACAAATGTCTTAGTATTATTTTAATATAATTTATTATTACAATTTTTAATGATAAAATAAAATAAATTAAATTATTATTTATAGGTGACTTATATTTATTGACAAAATTACAAAAGTGGTAGTTTTTGTATGTATAATCTGTACCAAAACCAAGATGTTATTATTGACAATAAGTACCAAGTAACAATATAACTAAAGTGTTCATTCCTAAGATACACACGCGTTTGTCCAGCAATTGGACCACCAGGTGTACCATCACTCGCTACCAAGTCAAGATAAATCGGATCAGCACCAGTAGCCTCTGCCATGGCCCTGAGATCTCTGTGGAACCATAAATTGCTCTCAGGTTTATTCTTGGGCATGAATGGTGGTCGCTCTTCATGTAACCTCAGCAATCCTGTTATCTCAAAAGTGCCTGGAATATGTGCTAACTTTTCAACTGGATACTTGTCTATCCTCGTTGGAATCCAGCCTCGGTTGATCAAAATTGTCAGATCACGATCTTCCAATTTGAATGGAGTAATCACCCAGAAGCCAGTACGTCCTCCGCCTCCAATTATACCACCCCCGCCTCCTTTTTCCGATGTACCAGCACCGTCGAAAATCAAACTTTTTGGACCTACTGTGAATTCTTTCTCATACAAGAATTTTCCCTTTACTTTTATGGGACAGTATTCCATCTCCGATAGCTCGGACAGATTTTCTGGTAAAGTTTTTGGTTCAGAGTGCGTTCTTCTGTGGAGGTCTTCAAGCAAATTTAGTTTCCATTTGCGCCTCTCCACTTGCCAGGTACCAAGAATAAAAGTCACGATTGGTACTCCGAGCAAAATCCATTTTATTGGACCTGAATCATCTTTTTGTTGTTTCTCATACTCGGCTACATCGGCTTTGGAGTCAAAAAGCTTAGATTTTGGATGAGCCTCCTTGAATCTTAAATTAGGCTTTGGTAATTTCTGCTCGCTTAGACATCGTAGGTTTATTAAATTACTTCTGAGTCTAATTACCCGGGATGTAAGTGATAGTAAACTCATTTTTATCAACACTGTTTATCATAACCTCAATGACAGATTTAAATTTATTAATAAATAAATAAATTAATTAAATAGGTAATACTTTTAGTTTTTTATACTCACTAATAATTTTATATATTTATTATAATAATTTAACTTTTTGTTAAACTGTCATTTTTATGATGAAAGAAAATTCTTAATTTAAAAAGAAACTAATAATTTTTAAATGCAGTCAGCTGTAATAAGTACAGCCCTGAACTATCGTTGTTATCATTTGGAGGGAGAAAAAGACCCCCGAGTGAAATGAAATGTTAAATGCGAAAATAAAAACAATAATGAAAATGGTTGTCGACATGGAGCTCGAAGATGCGAAAAAAAATGTTTTAAAACTTATGGAAGAAAAAGATTCTATTGAAAGTAAGCTACAGGAATCGAGGATTATTTTAGAAAATGTAAGTTCATTAAATTATTTTTATAAATTAATTACTATTATTTAAGCACATACTTTTTGATTACGGGATGACTTGTTACTTTTTTTAGCTCAAAAATAATTAAATTTTAATAATTTTTAGAATCATGTGGGGATGAACGAACCTCTGGTAGATGCCGAAGATTTTCCTCGAGCTGATATTGACGTTTATCAAGTGCGACAAGCCCGAAGCAGGATTATATGTAAGATAACCTGTACAACATATTTTTTACTGTCATAATTATTAAAATTTAATAAATTAATTTATTTTTTAGGTCTTCAGAACGACTACAAGACTTTGATGAAAAGAATTGAAGCTGGATTACTCAAAGTACACTCACTAGCAGGCAAAAGTGGCGACGAACCAGCTACTAGCCGAGTAACAGCATCAGAAAATATCCCAGAAGATGATGAAGTTCCAGGGGAACCATTCCTTCGAGTTAATTTGGTGTCTTCTGGCTCTCCTGCTGAATCAGCGGTAAATTTTTTCACCTTTTCTTGATTTTTATTAATTTTTTTTTATATCTCACTTGCTAACTTAAATATAATATTCCAGGGCATCCAATTAAACGATCTTGTCATAGAATTTGGATCAGTAAATGTTCAGAACTTCAGAACTTTGAAAGACATCGGAGATCTTGTGGAACAAAGTCGCTATAAGGAGATTATAGTGAAGGTTAAGCGCGTGGACATGAAAGTAGCCGTTCTGACACTGACACCTCGACCCTGGGCTGGCAAAGGCTTGCTGGGATGTAATGTCATACCTGTAGAATCAGTTGAAAGATAAAGATACTACTTCATATTTTCTACATTTTTTTTTCGTATAAATCTTATTGATTATTTATTATTATAGCATTAATAAATTAATCGTTCTTGTACTTTTCATTTTTTAATATCCCTATCGATCTAATCCCTTGATCAGGGTCCTTGATTTGTAAAACAATACTTATCCTCCTAAGATATTTAATCCTGAAAAACAGTATAAGTAGTCCAGCTTCTAACAAAGTTATCAGTATAAAACAAAATGATCTCACGAGTGTTCTTTGTAAGTTATTAAATTAAATTTTTAGTATAATTAATTATTAATTATTAATTAATTAATTTTAATAGTTACTAGGAGGAGTTCTTCTGCTAGGAGCTGATTGTCAAGATTTTAAAGATCCTAGAACTATTAAACCATGGACATTGGTTTATACTGTACAGCCTTACTATCAATCTGAAGCTCTAGTCAATCTTTGGAAATCTGAGAAAAATGTTAAAATACCTGGTGAATTTTTTGCATGGCCTTCCATGAGTAACCAAGTTCTAGATAAACCTAGTGTCAATGATACTGTCACTAGTAATCAAATAAACAATTCAAATCAACATCAGCACCATCAATACGATTCAATTCAACCTTCTCAGCATCCTGAAAAAAAAGTTATGTCTGAAATTACTTACTGGCCTCCAAGGTATTTATTAACTTAATTTTATCAACTTTTAATATGACACTGAAATTTGCAAACACTTGTAAATTTTTTGAGTTTCTTTTTTTATGTAAAAAATTTAAATTTGTTTCTAAAAAATTGCATTTTTTTAATTTTCTAAATGTCAATTATTTTTTTCTCATATTCTTTGACATAATTTATTTATTAAAAAAATTTTTTAAAAATTATAAAATATCTGCTAAATTAACTTTCATTTTTTTTTTTTTTTCTAATAAACTAGGTCTAGAAAATTATTAAAAAAAAATTACTCTTATAATTTTTTAGAGCTTTTATATATGAAATTTTTAAAATAAATTTTCTTTGCTGGAATTTATTTGTTAAAAAATTTCTAAAAATGATCAGATGTCTCTAAATTTCACTATTATTTTTTAATTTAATATAAATATTTTATTTTAAATAAATGATCTGAATTTTTTCAGAAAATCTAATGATCAACGTCCTCCAATTGTCATCCCTCGTTATTTTGACACAGTTTGAAATAGCGGAGTCACTAGCGTGGACTGTCGCACATTGAACACACGTTAATAAATATTCATATAAATTTTAGTGAACAAAAAAATGTAGTTTTATGATTTGTAAACTTTTACAAATTAAAATAAATATAATATGCAAGTTATATTATTATTTTTATTTCCAATCAAACATTCCTTAGTATTTAAAGGTTAAACATATACCAAGTACATATAAATATTGTTGAGCATAACAATCACCACAAAAAGTTTTATTTCATAAGACAGTTGTCTACATAAAATTATTTTATGACAACTATTATAGAATATTAAATCCAAGATGTCAACGATAACAAGGACACTGAAAAAAGCAATAAAACCGGTAACTTGTTTATATTTTATTATTTTATACTCGAAACGTCAAATTGAGTTTTGTACTTGGTTTTTTTTTTTACTCCATTTAAAAAAATTCATAAATTATTAAAATAAAAAATTTTCAGGTTCATTTGTCAAGATTGAATTTCTTCACATCAGCTTTTAGATTAGAAGGCTCTGAAAGACTACAGAGTAATCCAGAAATTGACAAACGAAAGGCGTTCAGTGAAGAAGAGGAGTTATTGATAGTTAGAACTATCAACAGTTGCTCAGAAACAGATTTCGAGAGGTATGATATAAAAAAAGCCCAGTTAAAGAAGCTTATAGATTACAAAGAGAGGAATGGAAAATTTGAGACCTTCAGTGATGTTCTTGTCACCCAAGATGTGCCTTCGTTGATAAAACTTTGTAAGTCTATATTGGGTGGAAGAAAACCAAAAATTACTATCAAAACTAAACCCGTAAGAGCCATAACTGTGCCTGCAGTTGATAGTGCTACAAAAGAGGTAAGTCTGAAATTTATATTTAATTTTATTTCAAGTCAATAATTAATTTATGTTTAATTTATTAGAGTATAAAATCTGTAGTCGGCTTACACATTTGGGGCAATACTATAAGCTGGGCGCAGCTCCAAAAGAATAATTTGACTCAATGGGAACAACGGAACATTGAAAATCCATCAAAATTGAATTTAGTTTCTTTAATTAATACAGTTAGTAGTATAACCGAGCAAATACCTGACGCAGATGCTTACGTTATGGAAACTGATCCTTATACATCTATGAGTAAATTAAAAAGTACTGCTTATGCATTTTATGTTCAACGACAACAAGTTATTTCTACTGTTATCAGCATCTTGAGTATGCGTCGACGATTAAGTAATAATTATAATAGCAGCAGTACCGAGGACCAAAAAATTAATAATTTTTTTATGATGGCTCCGCGATCTTCGGCCAAACGATTTAATTTGACTGTTGGCAATGAAATAATGCCCCCAGAATCTATTATTAAAAATGTTTTAGAAGGCAACTTACATCACAAAATATCCCATTTTCCAAAAATTGCAGTTGACGCTGACGTGATTTCCAACTATAAGTCGTCCCACGGTATAGATCGTGATCAGCTTCATTCGGCCTTGCTAACTGCTCTGGCTTTTGTTGATGTTGTTCATCAAGATGACACTGTGGCTAAATAACAAAACAGGAGAATCTAGTAATTGTTAAAAATGAAGATTTATAAAAATGGAAATAATATAAAAAAATTACAGGTAGTTGGAACTAATAAATGACAAAGAAAACAATCATATTATTATTATTATTATTATTGCGACGTTTTGACTCTTTATTGAGTCCTCATCAGGCTCTGATTACTTTCATATACTAGTTATGGTAAGATTTTATAGTTGGTTACAATAATTATAATAGAGCGCAATAGAATTAAAATTGTATTTACGAATTTATGTATGTATTTTTTAGAGCCTGATGAAGACTCAATAAAGAGTCGAAACGTCGCAATAATAACAATATCATGATTGTTTTCTTTGTCATTTATTAATTCCAACTACCTGTAATTTTTTTCTATTATTTTATGATTTTGGATGCGATAGAAAATGGAAATGTAAATAATATTTTTAAATACATAAATAATTGTAAGGTAATTAAATTACTATCAATAATCCAGGTCCATTCATTTATTTATTTATTTTTTATATATTAACTTTGATTACACTATCTATTTATTTTATTGTTAGATATTTATTATTGTTATTAAACTTCTCAAATAAGTCTCTTGCTTCAGATAAATTCCAGTGCGCAGTACAGATGCATAAGGTATATTTAGTACATATATGTTATGATCAATAAATATATATGAATTGACAGTGATAAGTTTGTAGAAGCTTGAGCATAAAGACTTATTCGAATAGTCAGATATCTATTAGCTTCGATAATTGGCAATTATATCTTTTATCTTTTTTATTTTTATTATTATTGTTATTGTTATTATTTTTATTATTAATATTATTATTTTTGTTTTTACTTCATAAATAGTTGAGTAAAATAACGATCAACTTAAGGACTAGAACAACTTATAATCTATGAAGTAACAATACTTCCGACGCGAATGCTGCTTATTATTTAATCTGATAAACTTGAGACATTTTGATAATTTTTAATAAACAAAATTAGCAACCCGTGATATAATTTTTTGGTAATTTATTATTATTATAACTATTATTTTGTTGGACTGTTAAATATTGAGTGATATGATTATTTAATATTTTATTATCCGACACGGCCAGGCCAGCTGCACTCGTGCGTTAGTCATTATATCACGACTTGCTAGATCAGCATTCGGAGTCGGCAATGATATTTTTATTATCTTTTTTTTTTTGTTCAAGTTGACATTAATTTTATAATTTATAATGGAAAAAAATTTATACCTCGCCGACAGGTAAATTTCTTAATAGATTTGCTCTCTCATCTCACAATAGAAGTAAATTTAATAAATTTTTTTTTTCATTTTCATATACACTAACTTTGATCTTCTACTTATGATTTAGATAGTACATTAATATAACTGATTATTCAATAATAATTATAATAATTATCTGTCAATAAAGCGCTAGTTGTGTGCGTGAACATTTAAATAAATATAAAATTTAATGACGTGTGTGCTAAGCAACGTAACGTCTTAAATAATGTACACTTGACGTAATGGACACGTGCTCAATTTAATGGACGAAGACATACAGTAAACATCAACCCTTCTTATTGAAATGAAGGGTTTAGTTATATAATTTATAAATTTTTATTTATTTTCTAATTTATCGATTATGATCTTAAACTTTTTTTCTTTCAAGGAGATTCATACACAATGTAAATTAAATAAATCCATCTAGTTATTTATTTTTTATGTTAAGCCATTACGACCTTCTCAAGCAAGCTCATTTATCGATAAAAGAATCATAAATAATAATCTTTACAAGACAATTATAGAGAAGATATTGTTCAATATTGCTTTTGCCGTACATTCCTTAACTTGTTTTTTCATTTTTTATCATAAACGCGATACACACAACCTTCTTTGCAATTGTTTTGTGTCACAAACGTTATGAAGAACATAAAAATCATTCTATATATAATATGAGAAATCTTTTGTTCGACATATTCATTATATCTATAATAGTAATAATAATAATAATAATAATAATAATAATAATAATAATAATGACAATAATAAATTGACTAATATAATATAAATAATAAAACGTTTAACGTGACTTTTATACTAATGTGCCTCGAAGGAAGCTCTTATGTTATTATTTTCCATCTTTGGAAAATATTTATTACAATGACACACATACATGACTTAATAACTTACGTAATTTTAATATTTCCTTTATCTCTTCTTATTAACTCACTTACATATATATATTTATAATTTTTCAATATAATATAATATTAACCCAGACAATTATTTTATATATCATTGCACATATATATAACATTCTTATAAATTCTTTCACGATCATTAAAAACAAATGAGATTATTTGAAATATTTAAATTATATAAAGAAAAAAAAAAACAATAATAAGAAGAGGAACACTTTTTCACACTGATAATTCAAAAAGTATTACTTTCATAATTCACTTATCATAAATACTGTTAACATACATTTAAAATGACAATGACAATTGTAATAATAAATACCAACAATTTATATTAAATATATAACACAATAATAAAGATATATTTATCTTAATAAATTTAAATAAAATTTCAATAAAATTTATCGCTTTTTTTAGTTCTTCTAAAAGCTATTGTACGTAAAGACAATATTTAATATAATTTTAATATATATATAAATTATAATAATACAATGTATGTATGTGCTTCTCGCAATTATTTTTTGAATCTATTTAACTACAAGAACAATGCCCAAGTGATGTCAAGGTAAAGTAGGTACTGATATTATATATATAGGATTTTATATTCCAAGTGTTCAATTGCACACAAAACTTGTTTTCTCTTTTATACCTTTTTTATTTTCAGTTATGATTGGATGAGATCGAATTTACAATTCGATAACATACAATCATCACTTGACAATTTTCAAATCAATTTTTTCTACGTCCTAGTCACGGAAGAACATTGACTCAATAAAAAAAAAAACACGATTAAGGGCAGTAATAACAGGTTAACATTGACATATAAACACACACTCCAGATGTTTGATTGCCTAAATATATTTTTTTTTTTACTTCAGATTATTGAGGTATCAAATTTAATTATTACCCTTATCATTTTTTTTTTGATGGTGAATTTCAAATAGTTGGTATAAAAATAATACAGTAGTTCAATACTCTAGAAACATGACATTATCTACAATCACTACGTACAAATATCATCTTTGATTAAATAATAGACTTCACTTGGCTAGGGTAACATAAAAATCTACTGTACGAGTGATCAAAAGCTCGATTGTTTTGTTTAATTACTAAATATGTAATTTATTCATTTTTATTTTGGCAATTAAAGAGCGAATTGATACGTGATTTAATAAACACACTCTACAATTATCATCAAATCTTCCAAAGATTATTAATTATCAGAGAATTAAGTTTAATTTATAAATATATATATGAGACACGCGAGGTATACATCAGATAGTAATTGCCATAAAAAATCCAGTATGGGTAATTTAATGAAATCGATATAATAAGAATCGACGAGATTCGCTCTTGTAATTATATTAAGTGTGTCAGTAATATTATCCTGCTGTGTACGTTAGTGGCTGGGAAAACGACTCTTTACTACTGCACCTGGATTTACATTTATTTATATTTTTATTGACAATAATGATATATGTACGCGAAATTTATTACTTTAAATGTTCATTATTCGCAAGTGAGTATTTGCTTCGTAGCAATGTATGATCTACCGACAGTTATGATATTTTTTTCATTTTTTAATCTAACAAGCATTAATTTAGAAAAACAAAAGATATTTATACAAATCAATAATTTCCGTTAGCTAGAAACATTATTAGTTTTATTGGTTTTTCTTTGTTATTATTCCTCACATAATTACTAATTCATATCACTGGGAAGTTTCTTGTATTATTCTCACTGGAACATTTACTGCGGGAACAATGAATGAATGTACGTGAAACATCGAATTAATTAATCTATTAATGAATATGCCTCTCATTAAAAGTATTAATTTTTTATATAATATATAGATACAAGTGAGAAAGACTTTAACTTGATAAATTAAAAATTGGTTTTTTTTTTTTTTTAATTATTTTTTGGTCTCGATTCAAAAATAAGAGAGTGGAAAAACAATCGGCACATTCTCAAATATCTCTCCATCTTAGTACGGTAATTGATTGATTATTATTATAATTATTGTTAATATTATTTTATTATTATTATTATTATTATTATTATTATTACTATTATTTTATTGTTAGTTTGTTTACCGTACGGAAGATTTTAATTAAGTCATAATAAAATTGTTTTTTAATACTTTCCAATCCGTTACAGTCTCACGTGATATATTCATAACTTCATTGCGATAATAAACTCTCCGTAATTGTGCTTCCATAATACGAAAGTGATTGTACTTGAAAATTGTTTCATTTTTTTAGATTTAAATAGGTATAAATTTTGTTTAGCTACAGATATAATACTCACATGATAAACTTATATCATATATATATATATTTATAATTAATATTTATACTTTGTTTTCACTTGAGGGCAATTGCGCGAGTGACATCCATCAAGGATGAAAAAAAAAATATATGTATGTATATATATATGTTTGTATACTTGTATATATACTCAAAATACCATGAATGCAATTGTTTTTAAGCGGGTGTTGAAGAATTAGGTGCTTATATCGAGCGTCAGTATATCGTGAAAATTACCATAAAACGACGCGATGCCCTTAGGTTGTTGCCTGCCTGGACATTCATCGGATGTCGGAGATGTCAGTTTTACTGCCAAATATCTTTATTAATTGATCTTCATAGTCGTCGATATTGCGCTTCATCAATTCCATACAAGGACCAAGCAGCCGTTCAAAAGCCTCGACGTCCAAAACTTTAAAGTAAAATTACAGGACAAGTTAGTCGAGGGTTCAAATTAAGTATGGTATATTCACTTAGGCTGAGTAGAAAGTTTAATCGATAAAGTTGATGCTCAGAAACAGATACTAGGAGGGACATTATATTGTGTTGTATACTTACAGGCAAGCTTGACATTTCCAACTGCGTATGCAGAGGCAGCGCGTGGCTTGTGTGTGACTAGAGCCAGTTCACCTAGATAACCACCAGCGGGTACACGATTGATCTAAAAACAAAGATAATGATGTACAAAGTTTAGTTATCTCAATAATATAACAATACTAACAACTTGTCGGCGCATCAATAAATAGGATGCATCTAAATGTCAACTTACCTCTACCTCACGACCGTTTTCACCGATAATCGTGATCCTAACAAGCCCATCCTCGACAAAGTACATCCCATCGGCCATATCACCTTGACGGATAATCTGTTCGCCGTCGGAGAAATGCTTCGGAGCTAATGCGTCAGCGAGATTCATTCGTTCATAAGTCTATAATAAACGAAATTCATATCATGTATTTGTATATATAAATATATATGTATATATTAGTTGAATGGGAATAAAAAATCAATGACCATGGCATCGATTCGTAACAGCAATACAAACCTCGAGCGACTTGAGCATCGGGACTTTGTTGATCAAATTCTCGTACATTTTACGTTTCTTGTATGCAGACTTTAACAATATACGTCGGAATGTTTGCCGATCCATGGCCCACAGTGTGCCTTTCGTGAAGGCTTTAATAGTTGCTGCACGTGGCATATTGTAAAGAAGCGCCAATTCTCCGAATGCTCCGCCGTTATCGTACGTGTGGATCAACATATCCTTGCCTGATGGATCTTTAACGTATACCTCAAACTTGCCTCTTTAAATAAAACAGATAAAACGTATAAATAAATAAAGTAAAAATAACAACAACAAAAAATCCATTTAAATTCAAATCGCATTTAGTTTGCTTAAATGTCATTGGTCGTTTTAGTTCAAGGCCTACCTCTCAATGACGTAAAAATTATCACCATCATCGCCCTGACGTATGATATAATCTCCCGGTTCGACGTTCTTTTCAAACATCGCATCCAGTACATCTGCCATTTGTTCCTGAAAACATTTGAATACAAACCAGATTATATTTTATCGGCGTTTGACACTAACGAAATATCGGAAATATTGAACGAAATTCTAGAGTACTGTATACTACTTCTATTGTTATGCCTGTATACATATATGTATATTAATATTGGGTTTATACCTTATCGAGAGCACGGAATAGAAGAATATTTTTAACGCTCTCGCTCAGCCTCTGCCGCTGTTCGTCGCTTTTTGGATACACCATCTATTTAAAATAACATAAAAAAAATATAATAAAATTGAGTCATTAATATTTTATCAGTTTTATCAAAAGATTCTTATCAGATTTTTTTTTAATAAAATTAATTAATTTAAAAAGCGTAGTAGGGAGCATGAAATAAAATAAAACTTAACTAGAAAAAAAAAACTTTAGAGTTTGAGAAACTACAAGGCATCTAGATAATTGTTACTTCGCGCATGTCATGTGCTTCTTTACATCGACCCTGCGGCTACATCACCTGTATCTATTTTTCATGAAAGACAAATAAAAATTTTTAAAAATAATAATTATAACAATCAAAGAAAATTCTTTTAGAACCTTAGACTTATTTATTAACTCGATAGCTTGATAAAAAGTTCTGCTAACGCGGAAAATATAAGTGGTCGTTATTATTGCGAATTAATTGAAGAGGTCATTACGGTAATTAGAAATAAGATTGTTGACAATAGATGACGATGATGATAATAATAATAGTAATAAATATTATTATTATTATTATTATTATTATTATTATTATTACTATTAATATAATACTAATAATATTTGATGAGCTAATTAAAAGTAAAAGGAATATTTTAGCTGAATGAAAACGCTAGGCCTACTCTACGTGTACATTATATTGGACAACCTGTCGACATCATATCGCTTGAATTGTCCCGTACACATTACGTATATGTATACCGGGGTTATCGAGCATGTACCCTGACGTCATAAAGGCTTTTTTATCACACGCATGATCGAACAAGGCAAACCTTTTGTAATTCTCAAAGAGAATCAGGTGCAAATGACGAGAAACTCTCTTGAAGAGAGAGCGCTCGGATGGTATAGCAAATAAAGTGAAAACTAAAATTTTGTTCGTATCTTGTAGAGGAATAAAATATCTAAAAATAACAAAAATCCTCGTAATAATATTCAATGAATATAAATAATCAATAAGTTAACTAATATGAGCTGATAAAATAAAATTAATTGTAATTAAAAGTTATTCAAATATATTATAATGAATTTCACCTTGGCACCCTCATCTTCTTCATCTTCTTCTGGATCATAAGTTTCTGCGAAGACGCTTTTTCTCCTTATAGCAAATCTACCAACGGGTGGCTCTGAAAATTTAATACATACAAGAAAATTAAAGTTATTTATACCAACAAGTTAAGTCTTACGTGGGTTTATCAAACTATTGAAATCTGTCATCAGATTCAATCTAAATCTCAATCGCAATTTAATCGACAACAATACACGTTATATGATCGTTTTATTTAACCCAATGGATAATAAAATGATTAACGTAGCGTAATAACAAGACGGTAAATTTTGATGACATTTCCTGATAATGTAATACCAAGTATTTCTCTGTTGTATATTATTTTAATTTATAAATAAACAAATATATCTTGGTAGTCGGGTTTAAATGAAAGATTAAAATGAAGTTTATAAATCACATTCATAATCATAGTCCTAGCATATGTATATTAATTTACATAAATTTACGGAATAGTATTTGCACAGATGTTAACTTAAGACAGTTACAATTTTCCCTTGTAATTTCTATTTATATCAAAGTACAAATGTACTCTGTACACCGCCTTGAGGAATGTCCAATTGTTGAATGCCATCAAAAGTGGAGCCAATTAGAGCGAGTACTCTCTCAAATAACTACACCTGTTTGTTAATATCTCAAGCAGAGAATTCCAAATGATAAATAAACAGTGCAAAAGAAGGAAAAAAATTTAAAATAAAATAACAAAAAAAAAACAAAACTCACCTTCCTCGACAGATTCGTCGGGTGTTGATGAACACGTAGCATTAGATTGGATCAACATTGTTTGTCGATTATCACGTAAACGAGTAAAAAATTCAACAGCATAATCAATTATGTCGCCAGGTTGCTCGAGAAGATAACTGATCGTAAACTCAAGTAGTATATTCCTGAGGTCTTCGGGCACCGTGATCTTGCCAGCGTTTCTTTGGCAACTCATCGTCGCGCCCGGAGAAAATCGAAGCCGACCGCCGAGAGTAAACTCGTGCGCCGAGGACGTGAGGCCGTACACCACCACTTTCTTCTCTTGTGATGATTATTATTATTGTTATTATTATTATTATTATTATATAGGCCTCTATAAGCTTATTAATACAATATGTATAGAAGGTATTGTATATATCTGTATATCTCCTATATATGTGTATATATTTATACAGACTTTTTTTCACCCAAGCCGTTTATTCATCCGCAGTCTCTTTAAGCGGATCAATCTCGTCCAGTAATCACCAATAAATCTTGAATCTTCTCACTTTTGTAACGTAACTCCAAACTGTTTATAAAAAAAAAAACACAAAAATTTTTTCAATGATCAAAAAGTCAAACGGAGATGGACTGTACGTCCTCTTGAATAAAACTCCCCTCTTACCTTATAAATCCTCAGGATAAATAACCCGTTCTTATCTCAAACTACAGTCCAATATCTTCTAATAATAAATATTAATTTTTAACTAATCATTTAATTGTTTACTGGTAATTTTATCACTTATGAATCTTTGGATTGAGTTACTGTAATTTTTTACGCTTCAATAAAACTGTGAAACACCCACAACCGTGCGACCCACGGCCCGACTTGACGTCCGCCTGCCTGCCTGCTTGCCTACCTCGAAAAATGGCGACGACACTGTGTGATCGACTTGACGAAAGTCGACCTTTTTTTTTGGAATAATTGATTTATTATTAATGCATACTTGCGTGTTTCGTCATAACATTAGCTGTTAATTTTAAAAAATTAATAATTATAAACAAAAAATAAAACAAAATAATAATAATTATTACCGCGCTGGAATAATTAACTTTGAATTGAATCAACTTATTTGTAAGTATATATTTAGATCAAGATGGCGATATATATTTATATATATCATTTGAATATTCGCGGTTAAAGGTGACTTCCGGTTTCAATGTAATGTAGAGTACATAAATAAACTATAGTAAGTGGTTGTCATGGATACCGATTGCGTATGGTGTAATTTGTGTGAATTATAAAAATCAATGAGCACGTGTATGTTTTAATAATAAAACAGTAATTAATTAATTATGGATAAACCACAATTTGATGAGCTTCTTGGTGGATCAGTATCTCTGCCACGAGATGTTGAAATAAATAAATTAGCAGCTGCTCGTGCAAATGAAATAGCTGCTATGACGTATGCTATAGGTATATAGGTTACATTTATTATTAAAGTTATATAAATTTGTATCATAAATAATAAAAATTAATTTAGCATATATCTAATAATTTTATAATAAAGAAATTATGGCAAAAAAATTGACATAGAAATTAAAAAAAAATGCAATTTTTTAAAAATAATTTTTTAGAGTAAATTTTTTTGTTAAAAATTGTTAAATGACTGCTAACTTTAATGTCATTCATAAATAACATATGTTAAAATTATTTTAGAAAATCCTCAGCAGACCAAGCTGATTTTTCAACGATTGCCGATACATATGCGAAGACGGGTGATGTCTCACAATGCTAAGCGTATGCCTAGGAGACTCAGAGAAGCACATAAGACACAAATGGAGAAATCTGGGAAACCTGGAGTGCCCAAAAGACCTTCTAGGAAATACCGACGACGACCTCATAATTTGTTGTCCGAGTACAAGAGGAGACAGAGAAAGAATTTGTGGCTGGAGACGCATATTTGGCATGCCAAGAGGTTTCACATGACGGAAAAATGGGGGTTCAAAATAGCGCATTTCTCTAATGATAAAGCCAGTCGCTCGAGTTATCGTACGGTAAAAGGACACTGTACTATTCAGGATGTTTCTTATTATAATTGCCTTGAGTTAAAAGGACCGGAGGATGTATTAGTTACGGCTTTGAAGGTTCATTGTAAATACGAAAAGTCTTTTGGAGCTAATGCTTATAAGAAAGGAGATAGAGAAGGGTCTTTGACTTTTTATAGGTCTAATGGATGTCCTGTGGGAGTAATTAATTTCATGTGGCGACCAGATTGTTTGGGTGATAAAACAATGTGGATGTGGGTTCACCCTTCTCTGATTAAAGATGTCCTGGATGAGCTGGTTTCAAGCTTTAATTTGACAGAAGTATCTCCTACAGCAGAATCAAGTTTATCGACTAAATTATTTGTAAATGCAACTGGTTGCAGTTTAGAATTTCTGACGCTTAATAGATTTCGATTAAGGGGACCAATGGCACCGACTGTGATAACTGATGCATTGCGCTGTCCATTAAAATTTAATCAAGTACCGAGTAGCCTAGAAAATATGGAAGTAGATATTGCCCAGCCGTGGCACAATTTGTGGTATCAAGAATTGAGTCATCAAAAATCATTTGACAAGCAGAAAGATAGCTTTGATAAGTTAAAAAAATTAAATTCACCAAATCAATTTCCGCGACATGGTATTCTAGGGGTGACCGTGTTGGATCCAAGATTCTTTTTTCCTCCCAAACGAACAAAAGTAGAATTTAAATCATCCACTCAAAGTTATGAGATTATTGATGTCGATCCTTCTTCAGCAGCCAGTCCACTGTGGGAGTCATCGGTCCGAGGGGATGTTAAAAATAACTTTAAGTCGACTGAACAGATTAATAAGCTTAGAAGTGGTAATTTAGTTCCGGGAGTTGAAAATGATGAAGGATTTAATCAAGATATAATTACCAAAGTTCCTATTATTTTAGTACAACATCCTGGTACGGAAGCTGATAATAAAAGTATTGGTAAGTCTTGTTTGATTAATTTTTTCTTTAAAAAATTTTTAATATGCTTATCAAATAGAGGCTGAGCCAAAGCATTCTACATATTTAACTTTTTTTTTTTTTATTTTTATAATGAAACCCGCTTAAGAGCTTTGCTGTAGAGTTCAATGTATTGTTTGAAATAAATAAATAAATACTGTTTAATAAATTTTAATATTAAAAATTTTTTCAGGATTTCACTCAGGTATTGATATTATTCTACCTGCTGGATGGGCGCTTCCGTTTTGGTTGAGCTTTATTTACAGATGCGCTCGACCTATTGGCCTCCGTGAACACCGATCAGCTATTTTCGAAAGCATGATGCTTAATCAACCCGATATACATCATCCTGACACCCCTGAATATAATCGAGAAGCTGAAGAAACACGGATAAAATTGAAAAATAAATATTTCCGCTTCCCACCAAACAGGAGAGTTAATTTTACAAAGCTTTCAATATCAAGTCCATTTAATTGCGAATGGAGAATGCTGATAAAAGAGTGGACTGATACAGACAATGTTCAAGTATTACGTGATCCTAAAATAATAGATGCATTGTCTCAGGCATTTAATAGTTTCGTCAGAAAAAAACATAAACCTCTATCTTTAAATCTTCATGAATCTACTGTTCTTGATGAATCATACCTAGTAACTGTGAAAGTAACTGTTGAAACCAAGGGAAAGCCTAATAATTTTTCTATTATTTGTCTGCCCACCGAAGAAGATTTAAAAAAATTTAATGAGGATAGAAAATGGGGTGGGCCTATTGAGATAAAAAGAATTGACAAGTTTGAGGCGAAAAGAAAAGCATTGAGGATAAAACATAAACTGTTATTGAAAAGTGAAAGAAGAAAACGAATTCTAGCCAGAAAAACAGGACAGCCTCCTGTTCTGAAGGCCTTTTTAGAAGCCAAAAAAATAGAGCAGAGAAAAATCATGGATGAACTTTATTTACAACAATGTACTGCTGTTAGAAAATCATGTGATAGAGAAGTAATCGGTTACGTAGCTCAAGGAGGATTTTCCTTTTCCGAATGCAGCTGCTTTGGGTGGGGATATGTTGTAGCTCTGCCTTTATTAGAATTATTAAAAATGAAAAATAATATGGTTCTTGTTAGAAACATACAAACAAGACAATATCGATTTGCTAGATTAGATATTGTTAATTTGTATTCGTAAATAGATATATCCATGTTTTTAATTTTTTAATAAAGTTTAATATTTTATATATTATCCACTGCTAGTGTTTTATGATACCACTCTTATACATAGATAGAAAATTAAAAAATCATTACTTGATAGATTAGTAGTAGATAACAATCAGAACGTAAAAGTACATTTTATAAAATTTTATTGGACCCGCGGAACAATTGAATAGCCAATCATATATAAAATCACAATCACGTGATTTAGTAATATTCTACAACTACCAACTACAGCTAGAAGAAATTGAATTGAAGTTACTAGTTGAATATAAATTTGTGGTAGTGTGTCCGTCGTTCCCCCACTATAACACCTCGTATTTACGAATTTGACTTATCACAGTGCTCTTCCACGCTTTTTCCATTTTTTTGGAGCTAAAAGTCCAGTTTGCAACTAACCAAAAAATAATTAACTAAAATGACAACTCCAGTAGTAATAGCAGCCACTACTAGACACACAGCAACGGTAATATTTATTTTATCTTTATATTTTATTATTATTCACATCGCTCTACATTTCATAACCAATTAAATTAAAAACTCTATCTGCATTAACATCACACGTAACCTTTTTTTTTTTTTCTTCTAAAATGCAATTTATCTTATATAATTTGTATCAAATGCCATTTATCATTTGCTTTCACTTTATTAATTACTCACTTTCAGATCATATTCATTCTAAATATTTATTTATTTCGATGTTAATTTACGTGCAGATAAAATGATAGATCTTGCGACTAATCTGTCAGTGGTACATAGTAGATCTATTTTAAGCTTATAATAATGAACGCAGAATGGCCTTTTTTTTATACATATATATATATAAGATTGTATACAAAGTCACTAATATAAAAATTAATTTATATTTTTTTTTTATTTTAGCTAATATTTTTCCATGGCCTTGGCGATACAGGGTAAGTCCATTTCCATTACTAATAAACAATAATATTTATTATTACAATTTTTTTTTATTTATGGAAATTCTGTAAATTAATAATTAATATCAATTTATTAAGTAATACTGAAATCAGCTGATATGTGATAATTTTTTGAACTTTTGTAACAAATCAATTGATAGTAAAAAAAAAAAATATTTTTAAGAATTCACACTTATAATTTTTTTTTATACTCTGCATGTAGAATTTTTTTACTGAACTTTTTTACATAATTATATAATTGTTTCGAAAGCAAAAAAAAAAAAATTATCATTTGTTTGTTAATTTTAGTATCATTAAATAAACTATATTAAATTTCAGACATGGATGGGCTACTTCAATGGGCGCTATTAAAGCACCCCACATGAAAGTTATATGTCCTACTGCGTAAGTTTAACATAAATACCTAAAAAAAAATTTTTTTATTATCAAATATGTAATGAAAGTATGTCTCCACAGTCCTACAATGCCAGTTACACTCAACGCAGGCTTTAAAATGCCTTCTTGGTAAGTCATTAAATATTCATTTGTCACCTACGTCAATGAATTGATTGACACAACTTCAATAGACACTAGATACTATATTATTCATTTTTACTGACGCGGAAAATGTTTTCAGGTTTGATTTACGATCTTTAGATGCGACTGGTCCAGAAGATGAGGAAGGAATTCGCAAAGCTGCAGAAATGGTCCACGGTATGATTGCTGAAGAAGTAGCTGCTGGTATTCCATCAAAACGGATTGTTCTCGGTGGATTTAGTCAAGGAGGAGCTTTGGCGCTTTACAGTGCTCTAACTTTTCCTGAACCTCTAGCTGGTGTTATTGCACTGTCTGCTTGGCTTCCTCTTCATCAAAAATTTCCTGCGGTAAGTTATTTTAGCTGATTAATTTATTGTTTTTTTTTTAATGATAACTAATTTAGCAGATATTTGATAATTTTAAGAATTTTTTTAATAATTTAAAAATAATGCAATTTTTTTTAAATAATTTTTTGGAAGAAATTTTTTTGTTAAACAAAATTAAAAAATTACCAAGTGACTGCTAACTTTAATGTTATGTTTATTTATTATCGATGATCAAAGTTGCTTAAATAAATTTATATTTATTTTTTATTTTTCTAGAATGCTGTAGGAAATAAAAATATACCAGTATTACAATGTCATGGTGATTGTGATCCTATTGTTCCTTACAAATGGGGACAGATGACAGCGTCGCTTCTTAAACAATTTATGTCACAAGTAGAGTTTAAAACGTACAGTGGAATGATGCATTCATCCTGTGATCAGGTATGTTAAATTAATTATTAATCAACCACAAAAATTCATTTGAATTTATCAATATTATTTTATTTGTTTTCAGGAAATGCAAGACATGAAATCTTTCATTGAAAAACTCGTAAAACCGTAATAAATATTGATTTCAGCAGTCTTTAAATTGATATTACAATAATTCATAAGTCAAGATTATTATTAATATTACTTCACTATAATAACTATTTGAATAGCGTCAAAATATCGGCAATAGCGAGTGAAACACTCGAAAAATCATCTGAAATAAATAAAAAAAAAAAATAAAAACAGAAAACATTCCTTTAGGCCAGTGTACAATCGATTCCACAAAATACTAAAAATTTATCTATTTTGTCCTTGTGTGCAAAAGAGGCTTATTTAAAATAATTAAATTATGTATGATCAAGTTGATTATTAAAAATATTGAGATTAATTCTTAATCGTAGTAATTATGCATAGACTTGGACGCATTTGTTATTACTGTGATTACAATAACTTAACGCTTTGATAATCAATAATTTATTAGTAATTGCTCCAATAATTGATCCTTGTAATCAATTTATTTATTATCTTCCAAAAATTGTAATATAAAAATTGAACTGATGAATATTTGCTTTTTTTCAACTAATTTACTGAAGTTTAATTTAATTTTAAACTTCCTAATTTTTAAGTCTTTGTTTTAATTATCAAAGCTACCTTTATTATAAGCTTATAAAAATTGAATATAAAATTATTCTACTATGTTAGTTTCAGTAATTATGATAAATTTTCAGTGTAATTATTAATATTTATATTTTATTTTTCAGCTAGATAGTATTTATAGATATGTAAGCGGTGTTTCTCTTATTAAAATAGAAAATGTGTACAATAATGATAATAATAAAAAACAGTCAACTAATTTGATTAAATTTTTAGAGAGTCTCTAAAAAATTGTTCAAGAAATTTTGATTAAAATTATTTACTCCACATCATGGCTATTATTATGATTACTGCCGCCTTATCAGTGCATAAAATATTACTGCAGTAAAAAATATTGCTAAGAAATTCCATGAGATGTCTCTTCATCAAACAAAAAAATTTTAATGATTATTTATTATAGAGTAATCAATTATAAATCATTTAATTGAGTAAATATTTAGTATTTATAGTTCTGTGAATTAGAAATTTGATACACAAATATTTAACTTAATTTTTTTACCGAGTGAGTTTTTATGGGGTTGATAATGTTGGTATACATGATAGATGCGATAGAGTCGCTTGGAGCGGAGCACCCATCTTTTTTTGTACATAGCTTAGCTTACATACCAGTTAGCTGATTGCCAGCCATCGTTGCACTTGGGTTTATTCATAAAAAAAATAATACCGCTTACACGGTGTGTTTGTTTATCGTGTCAGTTATTTATTAAAAAATAAATAAATACAAAATGAATGCCGAGGAAGAGATAACAAGAATTCAAAAGAAGCTTGTTAAAATGGCAAATGGTGACGGGACGGTGAGTGAGTGAGTGAGTAAATTAAGAAGTTAGGCTGAATAAGTATAATCTCAACATATCCGACACGTTGTTGTATTTTACTCTATATACAGCGATTGTTTGTTACGATTATACATAAATTTAACTTAGCAAATTTTTTTTTTTATGTTTTTCTATTTTTTTTTTCTACTCATAAAATTGTTCCATTATATATTTATTTGTTATTTATTATTACAGGGCCAGGAACAAGCGTTAGAGTTGCTAAAAATTCTCCAAAAACTTCCTGTTGACTTGGAGCTTCTTACCAAAACCAGAATTGGAATGAGTGTTAATTCATTACGAAAATCCAGCCAAGATGATGAAGTAATATCATTGTCAAAAACACTTATTAAAAACTGGAAGAAATTTTTATCTGGTAAATTTTTTATTTAATCTTTTTCAATAATTTATAATTAATTAATTGGTTGTATTAACTCATCGTAATATTTTTTATTAAAAAAGGTCCTAATAAAGATGGTAAAGACTCGAGTTCATCGAGTAACTCAAAGAAAAAAGAAGAACGTTCAGACAAAAACAGAGATGACAATGATTCGAAAAAAGACAAAGATAATTCAGACGGCAATGATATAAAAAGCAAAGACGATAGATCATCCAGCAAGGATTCTCATAAAAAACAATCATCATTTCCTTCGACCACTACGACAGACGCTGTGCGGCTTAAATGCCGTGAGCTTCTGGCTTCAGCTCTTCATGTTGATAATCTGTCTATAGAAGCTTGTGGATCTCCTCAGGAACTCGCTGAGGAATTGGAAGAAGCTATTTTTCTTGAATTCAAAAACACCGACAACAGATACAAAAATAGAGTAAGCATTTGACAACTTATTAAAGAATGCTTTTTAAATTGAATAAAAATTTATTAATTTATCTATTTTAGGTACGTAGTCGTGTTGCTAATTTACGCGATGTAAAAAATCCAACACTAAAAACTAATTTCCTGGTTGGTGTAATTCCACCAGCGCGTCTTGCCAGTATGACTGCCGAAGAGATGGCTAGTGATGAAATAAAAAAATTGAGAGATAAATTCACAAAGGAATCAATTAATGATTCCCAACTTGCAACAGTACAAGGTACTCAAACAGATCTACTCAAATGTGGTAAATGTAAACAACGTAATTGTACTTACAACCAAATTCAAACTCGATCTGCTGATGAGCCTATGACCACATTTGTTATGTGTAATAATTGTGGTAATCGATGGAAATTTTGTTAAAAAAAATAATCTTTAAAATTTGTAATTATTTATCTATTATTATTTGTGCTGTATTTTTTTTTTTTCAATTATCATTATTAAATTACACATGAAAATGAATCAGAGAAACTGATTACTTATCAATAATTAGTGTGTACAGTTTTTTTTAATATTCATCGCAAATAATTTAGAGGATTCATTATTCATTTTGAAATTGATATTCATAAAAATAAAAACTGTGATAATCCATCAAACAAGAAATAATTAATAACAATCCACAGGATTAAAATTATCTTTAAACCGTATACTGTAGAGAAATGAATCGATTTCTCTGATTCTGATATTATCATTATGAGTTTAATTAAAGAAAATCGTCTTCGATGAGATACACAAGATTAGCAGTTAAATAGTAGTTGAAAAAAAAAAATTTGCTCAGGCTATTTTTGAATTACATATTTCTGTTTATAATTAAAAAGGCATTTATTTCTTTGAATGACAAACTGTTTAGTTGACTAAAATGGAAAAAAAAAAATTCTATTAAGGAAATCAAAAATATATTGATTTTCATTGAGTTATTTTATATGTAATTATAAGTAGCTTCTCTATAATAGTTGTTTAAATTCACATCAAGTACAATACGTTCAATTGAGTAAATTTATTCAACTGTATATTTTTTTTTTTGTTTTTCATTCATTTTCGTGAATAAATTGGTGTGTAAAATATAAAAAATTTTATATAAATTTACAATCCTCACTATTGTATTTTTAATTTATTATGTATTTACAAACTTATCTATTTACCTGATTTGAGAGACAGCAATTATTCGCAATAAATAAAAACAAAAAATTGCGATAATAATTCAAAATTTAATTATTTTTTTGTGGATCTGGAGCACTGCGACATATAATTGATATTCTTCTAGTTTTGTTAATTTTTTTATCATTAAAAATTGAATCTTCTGGTCCTAATACTTCATGGTTGTATTTATGTCTAGCAACACCACTGTAAAAAATCATCAACATTAAATTAACTAAATAACATCAATTAAACATTCATAAAATTACCTCATTATATAAAGTGATCTTCGAGGTAGGAAAAAATCTTGGCGAAATTTTTTTTCATTACCAACTTGAGTCAATCTCATCACACAGTCACTCAACAAACTGATTCCAGCAATAATATCTCCACAGAACTAAAAATAAAACCATTAATTGTAAGTAATTAATTAAAAAATTAGTTATAAAAAAAACATTAAAATAATTAGTGTTTGTACCCGAACACTGTCAACATGAGGTTTTATTTTTCCCTCAGCAGCGAGGTCCAAAACATGAACTAGACCCAGCTCAGGCATACCCGGTGGAAAAGCCATTGCTTTGACACGTTCAATTATTTTAGAATTATCTTCATTCCATTTGGCCCTTTCAGTCTCACGGTAACCATGAATCGCCTGTAATTAAATCATAAAGCAACCATTCAGCTGAAATTACCATTAACAATAATACTAACATCATCCCAGTGGGAAAATTCATATCGCAGACGTTTCATGTATGGCTCTACTTCCCGAAACAACGAATCTTCCTCTTCTGGACTGATAAAATTTTGAAATATTCTCATAGTAGCCAGAAGTTCTGTTCTCCAATTGTCATCATCTTTAATATTATTTAAATTACCTATCGTTGATGTTGTCCTCGCCGATCTCGAGGCATTCATCATTCTACTTATTGATTGTCTTCTCAAAAGAATCCTGGCTGCCATGCTGTCATTAAAAAATAAAAAAAATTATTATTATTATAGTTAAAAAATAATTAAAGATAAAAAATATAAATTTTTAATAAAAGAGTATTTAAATACGTTTTAATTGTTTGAGGTTGAGGAGACGAATCATGCAACAACACGGTCTGCAAGCGTGTTAGTTGTTGGTTGTTGTCTATGTCTCTATAACGTATGAAAACAATATATATAAACTTTCTCTGGGGATATTTAATAAAATACTATTGGCAAATGATTTGATGACTAACTAGCTCCCTGGTAAAAATTATTTTTATCTCGCGAGTGCGCTATTGCTCGTATCACACCACTTCTGACGGTGATTTGAAAATCACATTCACTTACACTTTATTACATATACCTATATACTGTATCATATAAATTTCATTTCCCCTCGTTCCTCGTTACCTCTTTGTAGAGTGGCACGGCCACTGCTACTGCCTCCTTTTTTTTCTTCATCATTTAGTGGGGTTATGTCGCTCCAAAACAAGCTCGCGAGTTTTAACGTCAACTCCATATACGATCAAACCAAGTCTTGATAAAATTGGCCACGAAGGCAGATTTTTCTATAAAAGTAATCTATGATTTAGTAACAGAGACTACAAAGTACCATGTAAGTAACAAAATATATTTTTTTACATCTTGAATCTACGGATTCAAGATTTATATTAATTAATCTAATCATAACGGAGATTCATAAAAAATAAATACAAGTACCTACTTAATATTCATTAATATTTTATAAGTGTTCTACACCTCAGCCAATAAATCATAATCATGACCTTGCACTTTGCTCCCAGATTATTATATACCATACTCGGATTTTGATGTATCATCAATTGTCTCTATTTAAGTACTGATTAGAGGTATGCATTATTTATAATATTTAATTTTTACTTCTGTAATTGTAGGTTGAGACGAGTGTTTTTTGTCTCCCACTGGATGAAACGGTAAAAACGTCGGAAAGCAGAAAAAAAAAAAAATTACCCAACAATGTGGATATTAACTAATCACCAGTTGTATTTAATGGTTCACTTGACGCAAGAATCCAATGATTGTAGGGCTGACAGATGACTTTACTTAATGTTCCTGGCTTGGAGATATATTTATTAATTTGAAAATGGGCCAGTCCAGTAGCTTACATTCTGGAGCAAAATCAAGGCGGTCAAGTTTGAAGCAAATTACTTTGGCTGGATTTGGACGACGGAGATTTCAGAATTCCAAAAATTTGTCCCATACATTTTCCGTACTTGATGATACACTTAAGGTATTTTTATTAATTAAATATTAACATTACAAAATATTAATTTTAGAGTCACTTTTGTGTAATACAATTTTTTTTTTTTTCAAAAGTGATTTGCAGAAAAATAAAAAAAAAATTTTAATAACTTCCTTGAAAAAAATAAAAAATTAGTTCTAACAATTGCGTATAATTTATTATATCAAGAATATTTAAAAAAAAATTCTTAAATATGATCATTAAATTTTATTGCAGTGAAAGTTGTAGACATAAATTTTTTTTTTTTTGACAAATGTCAATAGCATTTTAATGATATTTAAAAGCTGCTTACTCAGAAATTTACCAATGTTTATGTATCTTTTTCTAATAATTTGTATAGATAAAAAAAAAACAAGCAATTGTTGGACATCTATTATGTTGGTATAAAATTTTTATTGTGGCTTGGAATGCAGTAAAAAATTTATTTACAATAATTCAATGTTTTTCTTTAGAATGATAACAATTGTTAGATGTCAGCGTTTTTCATTGTCTTGTTTATTTTTAGCCACAATTATTAAATTTAAATACCGCTACTGAAGAAGAATTGATGACATTACCTGGTATTAATCGTCACTTAGCAGCTAATATTGTCAATTACCGACGAGTAATTGGGAGATTCAATAGAGTAGAAGATCTTGCCTTAGTTTCGGGGATTGGTGCTGATAAATTAGAAAGTATTAAAATGGAAGTATACGTACTAACTGGCAATGACAGTGGTACCTCATCGCGAGCATCGACAAGTTTAAATTCTGTCGGAAATAATACTAATCAAGTAGATGTTAATTTAGCTAGTGTGTTTGACCTTCAAGTTGTACCTGGAGTTGATCAGGTAAGATCTATTAATTTTAAAATAAAATCCATCAGAATTGTAAATAAATAATCATTTTTTTTATTGATGAATTATATTTAAAAATAGACGTGAATTAATCATCTGTAAATTTAGTCATCATTCAATGATTCGCTTTTTATTTCTTTCAATATCAGACCCTGTCCCTTGAATCAGCGGCGTACTGTATATCTTCCCAATGATGCTGTCAATCTTCCAATATCGCCTATAAATGATTTTATTTGCGACAGTTTGACTTATAAGTGTGTGGTAAATAGTTACTGCTAAATTACCCGCTTTTTATACACTACTGAGTACACTAAAAAATAATCAAATAAGAGCTATCACAAAAAAAAAAAAAAAAAAAAAAAAAAAAAAATCGTTACGCTTTCTTCACTATCCTGCATTCACAATTTTATTTTAAATTTCATTTAAAATTAAACAATAACTGAAACAACTAATCATTGTAATATTTTTAATTAATAATTTATTTATTATTCCCAGGAATTAGCATCGAGGATTGTGGAGAAAAGATTAAAATATGGGTGCTTTAATTCTCTGGACGAGCTCGCGAAGATGCGAGGAATGGGAAAACAAAAGTTAGCGATGTTACGACCGTACCTTAAATTAAGCAGTATTTCAAATGGATCAGCTGTCCATACCTGTAGTAATGGAAGTCCTTCGTCTTCCTGGAACATTCCTCAAGCTTCCAGTACACCTCGAGTTAATCATGCGGGCCGCAAAGCAGCTCGTGCTAATCGTGAGCGCGTTACGCCCTTAAGAATGTAATTAATTTTTTTATTAAAATAATCTATATTATTAAGAGAATAAGCAAAATTTTGTGGCCAGGGTATTTATATGATAAAATGGGTTTTAATGGTTAAATTTGGTATCGTTGAAAAAAATAGTCAATTTATGATGATAAGTATTTAGGCTGCATTTGAAAATGCTTTATCTCAAAATACATAATTAAGAAATGACCTTGTATCTCGTAAACTATTTATATTTTTAAAGATATAAGCTCATCTCGATGTTACACTCATCAAGACCTTTCATTTGAGTATCCACATCAATTTTTCATATATTTATATATATGTATATATAAAAAATATATGAAAATGCATGTGGGTACTCAAATGAAAGCTCTTGATGAGAGTAACGTCGGGATGAGCTTTAAAAACGTCAATAGTTAAGAAATTACAGTGCACTTTAACAGAAGTCATTATTTAATAAAGCAAAATTTTATTTATTTATAGTTCACAAGTCACGGCAGTCACATAGTGACTGCAAGGTTGCTAGTTGATAATTAAATTTATTTTATTTTAATTAATAAAAAATTTTTCCAACAGGCCTCGAATAGATGATAGTGAAAAAAATGTAGATTTAAGTCCTGGGATTACAGAGGAAGAAATTTGGGAATTATTAAGTATCGCTAGTCCAAGACCTTGCATCGAGTATAATTTCAATGAGTCTTTGGATCGGACGTCGATTAGAGTGGCCTCTTGGAATTTGAATGGTTTCAATAGTGACAAAGCTAGCAATCCAGGAGTAATGGAAGTTATTTGTAGAACCATCTTAGAAAATCGGTTAGTCTATAATTAGATTTACTTTTTATTACCCTCGATTAAACGTAATCATAAGAGGGTAATCACTGATGTGTTTATTGAACTGTTAACAGGCTTTCGTTGTTGGCACTTCAAGAGGTCAAGAGTTTAGAAGCCCTAGATAAATTAACGCGAGAATTAAATACTCCTGTACTAAAACGTGTTAAGGACTGGCGTGGTAATCATCGGCAATGGCGCTCTGTACATCTTGGCGCTGGTCTTGCTGTTTTATGGGACGCCTGTCCAGATATGTCTATCAGTCTTCGCGAACAACCTCCAGCAACTACTGTTTTTCTTCCAGTACTTGCTTCAATTATATTTCACGTAAATATAAAATTGATTTTTTAATAAAATTAATTTAGTCATCATGTTGAAGTAATTGATGAAATTTATTTTTTTTTTTTTTTTTTTTTTTTTCAGGTAAATAAATTCGATATTACTTTAATAAATGTCCAGATGCACGATCCAGAAGACAATAATATTATTGAACGATTTGTAGATGCCAAAAACTCGATATTTCTCGGTGATTTTTCACTTTCTGGTGACACATCGAATATTTACAACGACGTACTTTCCGAAACTAATACAGCTTTCGACACTGAAAAATATATTTTCAAAGATAAAATTGTTTGGGGTCGAGGATCTAAAAAATTATTTAATACTGGGTTGTATCGAGTTGTAAGACAGGGGCTTACACATTTGGGTATACCACAGTGCTGGCGTTGGGGTGGCCCCGCTTCAACTCACTGTCCAATTTGGTGTGAAATTTACACAGAACCTGGTGATCCTTGATATTGTAAATATTTAAATTATCATGATGATATGTTTTTACAGTTTTTTGAAGCTAAAGTGTGACGTTTTATGTTAAACTCATCCAATTTAATTGGACTATTTCAATTTTTTTTTTTTTTTAATTCTATTAGATATAACGAATTAATTATGACTTATAAAGTTAATTAATATATTATACACTATCAATTTAATAAGTCTACTTAAATATTTTGCTGGCGAGATTTCACAATTCCAAAGGCCTCTGCGTGATATTATTAGGTGTGACATTACGATTATTATTATTCAATATATTTAACAAAAAAGAAAGATTTCAAATCAGTTCGTATCAGTGTCCTTTTTTAAAAAGGACACAGACTGAATATTAAATTCAATTAAATGTTATTATTATCGTGACAATGCGATGCTGGTATATCGCACACTAAAATGTACTATATACTGTAAAATATACAAGAGAGTTATTTTCTTACTGTGCTTTTTATCGAGCCAATTTCCCAAAACAAAATATCCACACTTAAATTGATCAATCCACTATCCTTAAAAATAATTAAATAAATAAGTTGACACGTATTTATATATTTTTAAATTTTGGGTGTATAAATTTTTTGTGTAAACTTTTTTACAGTCATATACATTATTTACATTTATTCTATACATTTTTTTAGAAAAATATATAATTAGCATTCCCTGTAAATAGTCAATCTAAAGACTTTACACAAAAAAATGATTTCAAAATAATTACTATCCTTAAAAAATAACTAAAGAAATCTAATACTTTGACCGCTGGTGTATCCAGTCAAATTTTTAAAATATAAATTGATTGTTCTTATTAATTAATAATGTTATTCATCTTTGACTAATCTTAAAATCATATTATATAACAATATAAAAAAAAAATAATAATCAATAATTATAATTAATACGCTCATTCATTCGTTACATGCGTCGGTGTTTCACTCTGCAAGCCCTCGATAGTTCCAGGTAGTATAATATCCGCTTGGTCAGTCTCTTTGTGAAGCGCTATTATAATTTTATCTTCGCTTGAAGATTGACTATCTGATGAGCCTTCTTGCGTGGATGTAGCAGCTTCCTGAAATATTCAAACAAACAGCTCTCATATTAAAAAACAAAATAAACTAAAAAAAAAAAAATATAATAAATAAATGAAAACTCTCAACTTACGGTGCTTCGTATTTTAGTATGCGTTTTTATGTGCTTCGTTAGATGATCTGAACGCATAAACTTCTTCGTACACTCAGGACACTGGAACCTTTTTTCACCCGTGTGAGTTCTTCTATGCCTTTGCAATTCATCCGATCTGGTGAATTTTTTCCCACAGAATACCCAACTACAAACAAAAGGTCGTTCTCCAGTATGCCATCGCAGATGAGCTCTCAAGTGACTCGTCTTTCCATAAACTTTATTACAACCCGCAATATGACAAATATGTTGTCGCTTATGCGTTATATCACGTGTCCTGTCACCGTCACTACAATTGGGACAATTACAGGCAACACGTCGTCGATGCTGCTTAGGCTCACCTTCCCCCGTGGTATTTATTGTCGTGGTATTTTGTTGCTGCTGCTGCTGCGGTTGTGGAGCTGGAGTAGCTGGAGCTATTGTACCATTGGTTTGTATTGTTTGAAGTATTTGCCATTTCGTAGGATCACTGGAGTCCAGATGAACTGTTTGTCCAGTAACAATTGGAGTACCTCCAGCACCGGTTGGCAGTGTTTGGACAGTAGCAGGCTGTAAAGCACTTGCTGGGATCACTTGGACATTGCTCAGCCCGGGAATATTTTGTAAAGGTATCGATTGAAGAAATCCATTGGGTGTATTAACACCACCAGATTGGATTTGCATTAATCCTCCATTTCCAACGTTTATGCTTCGCATCATTCCTCCCTGGGGAGAAGCTAAATTCGTTAACGCAGAAGCTGATATGAGAGTAAGTTGCTGGCCTTGCGCGCCTGTTATTGTAATAGGTTGAATTGTCTGCTGTCCAGCTTGTGCGGCAGGTATATGAATAACTTGACCAGCAGCCAATTGACTTGCATCTAAGCTCGTTAATTTTAATTCATTTTCAATGCCGTCAGCAGGTCTTGTCAGAGTAGACAGTTCTATTTTTTGGCCGTCTTTTGTTGTTATCACATTGGAATTTGGTCTTCCAAGTTGGCCAATACCTACTACTTGAACATTGCCAGGAGTCGACACGGACGTTGACCAACTGGTGCTAGACGTTGGTGTTGAAGCAGCAGCCTGTTGATTCTGAACTTGCTGCTGCTGTTGCTGTTGGGCTTGTTGTTGCGCTTGTTGGTGTTGTTGCTGTTGTTGCATCACCTGCTGAACGACTTGTTGAACTTGCTGGTGCTGTGCTTGTTGCTGAGCTTGAGCTTGAGCTTGGGCTGCTGCTACTTGTTGTTGTTGTTGTTGTTGCTGTTGTTGGACAACTTGTTGTTGGGTTTGATGCTGGGCAGTGACTTGCTGTACGACTTGTTGCTGAGCTTGCTGCTGAGCTACTTGTTGAGCAACTTGCGCGGCAACCTGCTGACCTTGGAGATTTTGAAGCTGGGATAAATTTGCTATTTGAACTTGTTGAATTTGACCATTGGGCGTTATTATTTGTGCCATCTGTGGAATCTGCTGAAATAAAATTATTTATTTATCAATAATATTAATAATAAATTTATTAATTAGCAATGTTTTAAAAAATTACCTGCGTTATTTGGGGCATCATCTGTGGACCCATATTAAAAACATTAGACAGAGCTTGAATTGGAAAATGTACCGTCTGATAAATCGTTTGTCCATTATTCGTGGTAACAGGTATTTGAACAGGTACAGTTTGTTGGACATGCTGAAGTGGAAATTGAAGCGGCCTCACTTGAACACTTTGTCCTGAAACATCCACGGTTGCCTTGGAATCTGCGCATTTATTATTGCATAGAAGGCGGTGGTTAGTGAATAAAAGCGTGAGCTTGAAAGTTGAAAGTGTGGTTAATTGTTTGGAAAGATTTATAGCGGTATATACATACACCAGAAGTATTACTCATGACATTAGATAAAAAGTTTATGTAAGAAAAGTATTGTGTGAGAAATGAACCATTAATATTTAAAATGATCCGGAGTGAAGGAAGCTAGCTACTAAAATAGTAACAAACCTGTAGGTAGTTGTACTGTTTGACCTCCGATATTTTGTATAATGGAAGTTGGAAAAACATTAGGTGCTCGGATTAAGCTGACAGGCTGGGGTGTAATTATTGTTTGACCATTTGCCAATTGAACTTGAGAAGATGCTAGTTGGACCTGTTGCCCACTAGCTGTTGTGAATTGCATTGTCGGTGACGACTGATGGTGAGTAGCCATGGAGGTCATCGGTGAAGACGGAATAAAAAGTGCATCCTGGCCATCAATATTGACTGTCTGCATTTGTGGTATTACACTGTAACTCAATTGCTGTTGCTGAGGCTGCTGTTGACCTTGTCCTTGAACTTGTTGACCATGTTGCTGCTGTTGTTGCTGCTGCTGTAGAGCTGCCTGATTACTTATCAACTGAGCACCCTCAAAATTAATAAATATTTAATAAACAACTCTAAAACTATTTATATAACCACATGATAAAAAAAAAAAAACTCACTTGTAAAAATTGCTGGGGTAATGTTTGTACTGAAATAGTTTGAGGTCTCTGTTGATCATGCTGCTGCTGCGACATGGGTACAAAATTTTGCAGCTGTTGAAGGGTAATAACCTGCGGTTGTCCATGTTGTTGAACTTGCTGTTGTTGCTGCTGCTGCTGCTGCTGTTGTTGTTGTTGTTGTTGCTGCTGCTGTTGTTGTTGTACTTCTTGTTGATGCTGCTGTTGTAATTGTTGGAGAACACTGGCATTGAGAAACCGTAACTGAGGTTGAGGCTGCTCCAATTGCTCCTGTCCTTCTTGAGGCTGAGATTGAGACTGCAAAGGATCTTGTTCCTCTTCAGTTGTCTCCTGTGTAAATGGAATAAAATTAATAACCAAGAAATCTGTTAAAATTCACTGGGAATAAATTACATAAACTATTTTTAAAAAAATTTTATCTTGCTCACCAATACTATAGTTCTCCCTTCCATTCTATCTAACCCACTCCTTTACCTCCTTATCTTAAGTCTAAGTCTCTCTCACTTTGGACTTTCTCAGTTAACACCCTATTGCATGTTCATGTAGCATCATGTTATCACACACATACATTTATCCATATACACACGATCAAGCATCCACAGCCACTTTAACATTGTGTGTCCGTTGGCGTCAGTAAGTTTTAATTTTAATTAAAATAAAAAATTACAATAATATCCAACAACAGTCACAAAACTTTAAAAAATACAAAACAAAATTTATAAACAAATAATTGTTAACTCCTAATGAGACGCACAAGCACACGAGGAAGTTGACGATACCCCGGTGGTTTATCACGGATGCACGTGCGAGGGGTTCAGCCAAGGAGTCGCGGTACAAAGAAGGCCCTCCTCGAGGACCCGATCAAGGAACGCCTCTCTACGCCCCTGTCACAAATCGTGCCCACCCGTTTGGTTCTTTGAAAGCACACACCAGCAGTCTCGCTCTCTACTCGGTATTTCTCTACTCTAAGCATCAGCACATTCTCCACTCTCTACTCTCTCTCTCTACACTAGTCTTACTCGACACAATTTCGCATCGTATATATATATATATATATATATATATATATATATATTTGATCTTTATCGTAGCTGGCTTCCACGACCACTCTACGACATCCAGCTCAACACACCAAAGTGTAAGGTAGTGGTGTATAGAGTCTGCCGCGCTTCTCGGCGAGGTCGCGATACAGCACAAGTACAATACAAGTACGAGGAGAGAAAATCCAAGTAAAGGTATGGTATATAATATTACAGTTGGGTTTACGTCTAAGTTGTATTGAGAATACAATTCAACGACGCGCACACACCCTCTCCGCGCCACACCCGCCCACTCGACGACGGCCTGACAACGCGGCCCCCGTGCCGCCCGACATGTATATATACTCCGCGGAAAGCCTCCACGGCCTCAGCCTCCACCCACTTTCCACTCTGGACTCCACCTAACACGCGAATCGACACGTGCGCTTTCTTCTGGTACTCAACAAAATATCATACACCTTTTGCCAAAACATCATCCTCACATGTACTCTAATTTCCAGCAACATACCACAGTGCCGCCAAACATTTCTATATAAATTTAATAAAACTAAAATTATTCCAACGAAAATAAAGAAAAATGTCATTTAAAAAAATAATTACCTTCTTAGCTATCGGTACCATGGTAATTTAAAAATTAAAAACACGTCTGGTGAAAATAATATTTGGATATTTATTTCCAAACGTTGCGTTATTTTCTTCTACACGGAATTCATGAAGCTCTCTCCACATTCCAAAGACCTGTAAGTATACATACACTGCAAACACTTGTACAGATCAAGACGTAAATACATATATATATATATATATATAAATTTATAAACGTACACTGACGAAACACATGTACCACAGAGAGGATGTGGCGTTGTAGGTTAACTATACGTACTGTATATACATGTATACAGTTAAAATAATCACAAAGAGGCGTGCTCGCGCCCGCGCGCTACACTTTTGAGACCTCGAGGATAGGAACTGTCCGACGAGGTCGGCCAAGATGTAAGTGGATCGATAGCACAAGCCCACGTAGAATGTACTATACAGGATAAACTCTCACTCCACTCCCAAAGACAAGCTGGTTGTGCTGTTGTCGCTCTGTCTCTGCTCTCTGCTAGTTCTGCTAGCTGTGACTGCGCCGCTGTCTGCTAATTCTGTTTCTTTTCCACCAGCCAGCCGGCCATTTTCCCTCTCACTTGCTTGCGCTCCGACTCAACAATTAATAGGGGAAGAAGGAACAAAAAACACTGAGAGAGACAACCAACTGCTGCTCCGTGTCCTTGTTGCCAAGTTTCCGTATTGTGAGCGTGCGCTCCGGCTCAACACTACCAAAGCTACTACTGTATTAAGTATATACACAAGTATTAACAGTGTGTTTGTATAGTTTCGTCCCTTATTTTCTATCCACTTATTGTATATACCCAATAATAATAATAATAATAATAAAAATAATATACCTACCCTAGGTACTTGCTACTGTACCCAGCACAACCTAAGAAAAATAAAACCTTGAGGTTGTATTACAGTATGCCGGGTATTATATCCATTGGAGATTAAGTCTAGGTAGTTAAAAATAAAATTATCCGCTAAAGAACGAGACATAAACTGTACTTTGATGTTGAAAACTGCAACTATAGATATGCAAGACAGAGACAACAATAATATGCCTGATTTCTTTCCCGCTCATATCAATGGTAAGTACCATGCGAAATAAGTACATATGTGTGATAAGAAAAGTCAGTATCTGCTCCTTCTGGTTATATCAGGTAAAATTCGAGTGTGTGTGATATAATATGACTGTTACAATAAATTGCAGGTTTGCTGGCGGCTAAAGAGAAAGACTGGTGGGGCGTTGCGCATATGGCGTTATATTTCTGGTAAATAGCTGTCAGAGAAAATATATTCCATCCTTGTCAGGTTCATACCAACTGGAATGCCTTCATTGGTTGACTAAAATAATGCCAGCCCCGGGTTGGGATTCACAGGGGCGTACGCAGGGGCTGCTGGCCGCCCACCCCGACTTACAGGGGGACGCCAACAATCGAGTTATCCTTCCTTGGTCCTGGTCATGGTGAAACATCAACGATTCTTCAAAAGGGTACTCGTAAGGGTAGAGTACTGAAGACGCGTTTGCGCTTGAGTTCTGTTTTGTTCTCATCCTTGGTCTGTTTGTACGTGGGATCGAATCAAGTATGCACACTCCACTTTTGTTTGTATATATATATATATGTATAAAGCCTGGCTGGCTTTGCTTGTGCTCAAGGCTTTGCTGGGGGATACGCAACGCTAACTCTTCCTGCCCTCGACGAAATACAATCTCGTACTTTTTTTTATACCAGCTTGTGCTGATGTACCTAAAACAGGCTGGCAGATCCCATACACCGGTTACCCGGAAAAACATTTGCTGATGGGGGGGAGGAGTCGCTTGTGGACTGCCGCCCCTTGATAAGCTGAATGTGGCCTATATTCAATGAAACAGCTGCTGTTTCTGACCCTAGGCTGGAAGAACGCGCTCGCCTAACTATAACGCAGTTGTACGTGAATTTTTATAAAATTCACAGTCGTTTTAAATGATATAACTTTAGAAATTCTACTGAAAAAAATATTCACTCTGTAGAAAGTTAATGCTCTATTGAAAGTAATATTTTTTTTTTTTTTTTTTTTTATGTCACAGGTCTGCTTGGAGCAATTTTTGGATGGATTTGTAAATATGAATGAGCAAAAACAAACAATTGGAGAGGTTTTTTTCAGATTGCATTTACAAAGCAAATATTCTCAGCCAGGCGTATACCTAGATATGAACCTTTTAGTAACCCATTGGCGTAGGGAAAAAAAAAATTTTTTATACACTTTAAAAGTTGAGTAATACAGGGGGAAATATTTTACGAAAGAGAGATAAGATAAATGTAACATATATTATTATAGAAATAGATTAATAATTAGTTAACAAACAAGGATAAATCGCTTGCATTATTCGTATAGTTAAAGTTCAATTTCCATTTTAAATTGAAAATTTTTATTAAAGTCAACAGTAATTAAATTGAGTAAATTATTGTTTAATGTTGATATAGTTAGAGATAAATGTTATCGAATAAATGTAACGTGACATTGACAGTGAGATGAAATAAATTATATGTACATATTTTTTTTTCGTATATATATATATATATATATATATATATATATATATATATATATCTCTATATATATGTATATGTATAATAATAATAATAATAATAATTGTCTAATATATCCTTTGATTTTTAACACTTGACTTTAATCCCGATATCATTATTGTAGTATTACAATTAAAAGACTAGAGATATCAATTTGTTTTTTATATTATTGTGATTTTTTTTTTATTATATCTTAATTATAGTTTATTATCCTCTTCGCGCGTTATTAAATTATCAATTTATAAAAGCGCAAGACGGCACCATAATCAGTACATTATTGATAATAATAATAAAAATTATTATCATCATCGTTATTGGTATTATTATTATTATTATATTTTTTAAAATTCAGTTTAAGCTTTTGGAAACGAGTTCCTTATTAGTAGTGAATAAGAAAAGAGTGTTTTCTGATAGTATTTCATAGCAAACGCAATGGTTTTTTATAATCTGTACGATGCAAATTATTATTAATTAATAATAATTGTTTACTGTTTAAGAATACTACTGCACTTTCTTACTACTTTTCGCGTTGTTTTATGATTATTATTTTTATTGTTACTGTTAGTGTAATTATGATTATTTTAATTGTTTATGATGACCCAGTCATCGGAATATCTGGGCATTAAATTAATGTCTACAATAAATATTAAATAGAGTGTGATAGTCGATAAATTTTTCTCGATGAAGTGAAAAGAATGCATAACAAGTGAAGTGTAAAGCGTTGCAAACTTTTCGCAAGCACTTCATAGACCTCCTCCTGATCTCTCAACACTTATTTTCTTCTTTAATACGTCTTTCTCGTGTTGCGCTTCTTCCATTTCTGCCATTCGCGCGAATCGTGAGTAGGCAACGTGTCCGGATTTAATTGCTGACATCATCTAGATGGAGATAAAAAATAAACAATAATTAATAAAAGTTAAATTATTCAATTTAAAAATTTGTACCAACAGAGTAGCATTTAGTACTGTGTATTAACAACTGTGAAAATAAATAATTAATATAGGGCGCTAGTTTGGGGAGTATAAGAAATAAATAAACAATAATGCCATGCCGTGTTAAAAAAACGCTTAGGTGACTAACGATGGGTTTAAAAACGAGTATTCAAGTATGTACTGTAATTTTAAGTAGTCGGATATATACGTAAATAAATAAATACAGCAAAAGCTCATGCACACTCGAGTTGTCTAGTGTGCTACTGATATGTATAGGAGTAGTTAATGATAACAACAGTAATTAAAAAATTAAAAGAACAGAATGTATAACAAAAAAATTATGCAATAGCTTTAAAGAATAATAAAGTGTGTATGGAATGTGTGGATACGACAGATTAATTGAAATAAATAAATCTCAACAACGCGATTAAGAGACTCCGACAGACCTGAAGATATTCGTCCAGCTCGACTTGACCGTTCATATTAGTGTCGATTTCGCGAAGTATTTCGTGGAGCTCTTCGCCGGGAACGTCCTTGTCGCCAAATAGCTACAAGGACAGAAAAAAATACCAGTCCGGTTAAAATAGTAAAATATTAAATCACCTGTAAATAATCTTGCAGCTCCATTTGCCCATTATAACTGAGATCTATTTCACTGAGTAACAAATGCATCTCGTCTTGATGTAGAACTATTCCAAGAGCCTAAATTTTCAATTTTTTTTTTTTTTTATCCAATTAATTATTAATTTTTCAATGATTAATTTAAATTTTGCTTAAATGGAAATGATATTAATAAATTATTATACCCAAATTATATCAAACCTTAAGTCCTCGGCGAATGTCATTAATTGATACGTATCCTTTGCGATCTTTGTCGATAATTTGGAATCGTTTGATGTACAATTGAATTTCATCCTTGGTGAGGTTGATTGGAATTTTGTCACGCGACGCCCGATTCACCATTTGTCCCATTTCGTTAGCTAAAAAGTCACTAGCTTGTTGCTGTTGCTTTTTCTTTTCATCCGCTGACCATTTCAATTCTTCAGCCATAATATCAATGATACCAGGGAGAGCTTCCTGTGCAGCTTGTACATTGAGGAAAGCGAGCCGTAGTCGTCGGGCAATCATATCAATTGCGGTTCTTGCATATTCCCGACAACCATATCGGATCTGAAACAATAAACATTTTATTAAAATCATTTAATTTAATTCAAGCAATATATATTTGATAATGATTTAATTATTACCTCAGCGTCAATGTAAGGGAACTCTGGATGAATTTTTTTACCAATAATAGGCCAACGTTTTCCGGTAAGTGATGCCATTTTAGCGACCGGGAAAGCTCTGTCACCGTAACTTTTAGCCAAGTGTTGTGCTACTTCACACTCTAATCCAAAGTCCTGTACCAATCGGATGTACATAGTAGGACTCCATCCGTGAGCACCCTCCAAAAGCATTCCATCAGTTTGACATTCAGCAGTTGGCTCCAATTGACAAGCTAATAAATTATTGATAAAATTATATTTTAAATATGGTTTTTTTTTTTTTTTTTTTTTTTTTTTTTTTTTTTTTTTTTTTTCCTTAAAAATATAATGATAAAAATAGTTCTAACCATCGATAGCTGCATCAACAGCTTCTTGAGCCATTGCCCGGTAAGTTGTCCACTTTCCTCCGGCAATAGTAATAAGATTTGTCGGGCTTACGTGGACAATGTGATTACGAGCGAGAGATTGAGTGTTTGGTTTATTTGGGTCAGATACCAATGGTCTGATGCCACTCCATGCTGACAATACGTCACCACGACGGACTTCAACGTCAGGATTAAGGTAGTTCTTAACTTCTTGCAAGATAAACATAATCTCATCTTCAGTTGGCTTCGGGTTGTGAGTTACCTGGCAAGGTAAGTCTGTGGTACCAGCAATGGTTTGCTTCTGCCAAGGCAGGAAGAAGATAACACGGCCATCACTTGTAGCTGGATCTAATAGACCCATTTGATCGGGGCTGAAGAAAATATTAAATTAAAATGGTATAATACTTACCAGGATTACAATATTTTTTTAAATATTACAATAGAAGACTATTGTAATAAATTAATTTCATTATTGTTTACCTGTAGTATCCAGGAAGTACAATGTGAACACCAGAGGATGGACAGCAAATTTCTGGTACTGATTGGTCATCCATTTTTCTTATAGAATCAGTGAATGGTCCAGTAGCGTTAATAATAGCCTTAGCTTTAACATCCCACTCTTCACCGGTCATTTCGTCTCTAACACGAGCACCAACGAGCACGCGTTTACCATCCTTGTCCAATCCCTTTAGTAAATTTAAAACCTTCACGTGATTTACTACCGTTGCACCTAAACGTGAAGCTGTCAAGGCCACTGCGAGATTCATCCTAGCATCGTCTTGTTGACCTGGTATTGTGGAAGAGAAAAAAATATAAATTTTACAGCTATTAAGGGAAAGTATTTATGACAGCTAAGTGAAATTTAACATACCGTCGTAATAAACGATAGCTCCAGTAAGTTTGTCTCCTTTTAACATCGGGAATAATTCGAGTGCGTTTGATTTACTTAAATAGTATGAAGATTTAACAGTTTTACTGCCAGCTACAAGATCGTACATCTTAATACCAAACCAGTAGTAAGGGATTTGCCACCACCTGTAATTTATTTTTAAATTCCATTTATCAAAAGAATACTCATAAATTTTATAGATGCTGACCATATAATCAATGGTTTGTTATTTTGCATCGCAATACATACGTACGTGTAAACAGGTAACATAATAGGTAATGGGTGTGCCAAGTGTGGAGCACTATGAAGCATTTGAGCTCGCTCATGAAGAGCTTCTTTAACCATTTTATACTGCTCAACATCCGCCTGCATGATAGCTTTTTGTAAATATCGTACACCACCGTGGATCAATTTTGTGCTTCTTGAAGATGTACCCGATGCAAAATCGTCACCCTCTATCAAAGCAGTCTTTAAACCTCTTGTGCAAGCGTCCAAAGCACATCCTGCTCCAGTAGCACCACCACCGATAATTAGGACATCGTATTCGTCTTGAGTTTTCAGCGTTTTTACTTGATCTTCACGTGTAGGCAGCTGTCGTTTTATTGGTTTGTGTACTTTCTCTGCTAATACCTGAAAAAATTATAAATAATTTATCAAGCAAGTACAAATAACTTTTTATGATGATTTAATTTATTTAATCAATTGAGGTCAAAGTCAACCCATATGAATTTTTATCAAAAAATTAAATATTTCTGAATTTGATATATTTTTTTCTATACATTTTAGATATAAGAGTGTGTAATATTTGACTTATAAATAAAAATTTCAAGTTCTCGGGTTCACTGTGATAACATTTTTTTGTTTGTCAATTAAATATTTGATATAAGATGAAAAAAAGATCAGTATTTATTTTTTTCTATCATCGATGCGAAAAAAAAATTAATTAAACACTGTTATGTCGCTTTTATCTCATGTAATAGAATTATAAATAATAAATAATGGATATATAGTAATAAATATAGAAAATAATTGTCATATTAAATGTCACGATACTCACAGGGGAATCCGATGTCAGATAATAAGAAGAAAGGACTCCAGCTCCTACTGCACTAGCACCTGCAGCCAATAACCTTAGGGAGGCCATATTTATTCCTTTAAATTAATTATTTAAGCCTGAAACAATAAAATTTTTTTTTAATTAAAAAAACGCATTAAACATTCAAGCTTGTTAATACACAAGAGGCTTATATAATAAATGTTTGTCAATAACTGAGTAGAGGGAATTTAACAAAAGCATTTGGAGTAAAACGCAATATGCTAATCAATAACTATAACAAACAGTGCAATGTACGATTCCAATAAATGGTGTAAGCATGTTGATTTTAAACGATCTCTTTTTAAACATTGGCCAACTGTTTCAATGTAAGGGTCATAAATCAAGTTTATATCTTTAAAGTAAAGTCTTTATCCAAACACCGGTGTAATTACAACAGCCTTGAAAGCTTCCGTGTGGAGTTTATTGATAAAATAAAAATGTAAAGTAATTAGATAATTACGAAAACCTTAAGCGATAACAATGACTCGATATCCTCAGGGTAAAAAATCTATTGATAACTATGTATTTATCAGATAGTAGATTATTTTGACTTGCACATTTTAATGAAATGAATTAAAATAGTCAGGTGAAAAATTTGACCGGTAAAAACCGGCATAAAAACGCATGACTATTGCTCATACTTAAACTGCGTCGTTTTAGTTGGTGGATATATGCACATTAGACCTTGATATAGCACAGTGAGCTAACACGTGTTGTGAGCTAAAATTACGTAAGAGTGTATATGTAGAATGTAAAATAACGTAAGTATCAGCAAAGGACGGAGACGGACACTCCCTCTTTACCCCGAAGACGATACACTTGTCATGCCAAAAATTCTCAATTTATCTTTCATGTCTCCCGGGGATTTAAATCTGAACACATACATGTTAATGTTATTGTTGCGCTCTGAAATAGTTACACAATTATTAGCATACAGTACAATTCAATTAATAAATAAATAAAATTTAATGTAGTTGACAGGTGTAGATAATAATAATCGTTAAAAAATCAAACAATCAAGTATCATAGATAAAAATGCATTGGCAAATAATTATCGATTGCAATACGTACACAAGTTGTATTTACTACAATGGTTGATAAAAATAAAAAGAAAAAAATGTTTTTGCAAGCTTGGCATGAAAAATACCTGAGAAAAAAATATTACAGATGATTACAATGTTAGCAATAAAAGTGTGGCGCAAGGGTTTTGAGTTAAAAATGGGATTCAGCCTCGTGCCAAATTATCCCAAATGTCACGAACACGCAAGCAAACTAGACTTTATGACTAGTAGGTATGACATTCATCTTCAACAGTTCATCTATCAGTTAAACATTTTTTTTCCAACGTAGTGATTGTATAAAAAATGACCAATGACTTGTAACTCGTGACTATTTAATAATTTTTTTATAGGTAATTTTATAATACAATCACCGCATGACTAAGTGTGTGATGAAATATACCATTACGGAAAACGACATTAAACTGGCAAGGCTGAAAATATATAATTATAATAATTGGTTTTTGATGCACTTAAAATTTAATGAAATTTTGTAAATTATTTATCCACGGTTTTACTTAAAATGATTAATAGAAGAAGGCACTAATTTATCACTTAAAACATTTATAATTGACATTGGATGATTAAACTTGGCACATCTTACTTTACACTAGGTCGATGATGTTTGTTAGTATAGACCCCCTAGACAGTCGTAGTCACTGTTGGCATTTAAGAGTTGTTAATTTGTTTAATGGAATAATAATTGATAATTACACAATAAATGCTATTTGCAGGTGACAAATTATTACTGATGAATTGTGAACTGATTTAAACAAAAATAATAAATTGTTAATTTACAAAATAGCGCGTAAAATTTTACCCCTATGATGTCTAATCCTCCCCCGTTGGCTACAGCTCCTCACGAAGCGGCAGTTAACTGTGGATGATATTCGATCACGTTCGACGTGCACATATGCAAGGAAGCGCCTTTGAAGGTGACAGCGATGGCGCTGGCTGCGAAACCTTATCGACTGATCAACGGTAAAGCGGCTAGAATTCTTCTATTTAAATACTTGGTTACTTTGATATTAATTTCAAATATTATTTTCTTTGTTTTTTTATTGGATTTATCTTATTAAACTAATTTATTTCATATATTTATTTTTAATAATAATAATAATAATAATAATAATAATAATAATAATAATTTGAGAGGGAACCTGAAAAAGGAGGGGTAATAATATATAAAAATGACATATATTTATCAATGTCTGAAATAATTTAAATCTGTAATCATAATAATAATAATAAAATAAAATAATAATAGTATTAATAATAATTATTTAGTAGATATTTCTTAAAATTTTAATATTGGAACTTATTTTAACGCTATTACATATCGATCACGATATCTAATATGATCCAAATCTGGCAAACTTCAATAATGAGGGACAATGATATTCTCCCATATTTTTTATTGTTTTTTTTTTTTAAATATTATTTTGCATTTTTTTAGTGGATTTATTCTTCGCTTTTAAAAGTTGATGTACTTAGTTGTTTCTTTATTTTGTCCTCTTAATGAGAATTTGTGGCTCGGTTACTCACGTGTTTGTACAAATGCGAGTGTCGGCTTAAGCGACGTAAGTATAAACTTTTCTGTTAAAAAAAAAAAAAAAATTAATATGATTAAATTATAAAATAATTAAATTTAAAAATTAATTAGGAGTTATTTATTACCTGTCTTCGGGTGTTCGAGCTAAATATTCACGTTCTATCAGACCTTCGATACGCTTTTTAATTATCATGGGGGATGGTAAAAATCGCACTCGTAATTGTTGCGTCACTTCTGTTACAAGAATATTGTGCTAGAAAAAAAAAAAAGTAAATACAATAATTTAATTAAGACAAATTGTAAAAAGATCTTTCTTTGTAAGTTGCTTAAGTACGTACTGCCATTCGTTTACGTGCTTTCATTATTCGAACAATAGCAGCTTCAATTTCATGTTTACGATCTTCGTCAACTTTATTCCGTGTCTCCTTTCTTTCAGGCTCTGATTCACCTTTAGCCGCTACTGTTTGAATTTTAACTCTAAAGAATAAATTAGAAATTGTAATAAATGATAATTTAGAATATTAAAATTAAAAAATGAGAAATTTTTCTGAAAATACCTGTGTAATTTACTTGTGAAACTATCATTGACAGTGAATAAATGTGAAGGCTCGATCTCTTTGGATCGCGGTTGTTTGAGCAAAACCCTTTGTGCTGCTTTTCCCATAGCCAGTGATTGCAAAGCTCTGACTAAATCTCTTTCAGGAATGTCTGTCTCATTTTGAATTTCCTATTAAAATAATTACCAAATTAAAAATCGATACTTTTATAATGTCTTCAGCCCAATTTCAAAACACAGTAACTGACAATTTTAAGATTTTTAAAAATATTTCTTGTTAAAAAAAAAAAAATTTGCGCGCCTAATTGATAAAAAATTTGATTTATGAATAGAAAATACTTGAAAATAAATATTTTTAAGAAAAAATACTTGAAATTAAGGTCTAAAAGTTATAAAAAATGCAGCAATCCTAAAAAAAATCAGGTATAAAAATTTTGCAGTTACTGTGCTTTTAAAATTGAGCAGTCGTTCATAGATTAGTTTTCATTTATATTATAAAATTTTAATAATTATAATTAAAATTATAAAATTTTAGAACATTTTCTATAATACTTAACATTTAAAAAATGTTGAGTCCATAAAAAAACTGCAAGTATTAAAATAATAGCTGATTTACCTCGTATGTTAATCGGTCTCTATTGTTAAATAACATAAGAACACACATTTGGTAGGTGGAAACTTGAATAATATGTTTTCTGGGATTCCCAGTACAACTATTACGTTGACTAACGACACTTCCACTGGTCGAACTGCCGTTTCCATTACTTATTGAGCTTGTAGATGATGGGGCTGCTTCTAGCCCATTTTCTTCTTTTTTCAGTCCATGAAAGACGGCATTGAGATCAGCAGAGCCAAGTTGTGGCTGCAGAGTCAATTGTCGACCGCTGTGTTTGGCAAGATAGAAACGACGGAACGTATCAAATGCATCTCGAGCTGCTGGAGGCATGCTGCATTTAGGTGTTGCTGATTGTGTTGGCCAGAAACCAGTCGTGAGTACACGAACACTCAAATCAACACCTCGGAGACTTGCCTAAAAATGATAATTAAATTTTATCAGTTATGTCTCATAGATTAATTTTTTTTACATCAGATGAAATTAACTTACTGCAGTTGACGCACTCTCTTTGAATTCGTCCATTATCGTATTGCTGACCGTTATATCCTTAAACATACCCTCGAGCTTTGACGTAAATTGACAACCGCATTCAGTCTTAAAAAAAAAATATTTTTTGTGTTACGCGTATCATTTGAAAATATATAGATATTACTTTTAATAAATAGATGGTAACGGGATTAAGGAAGATGGGGTATTATTTCAATGTTAGGTCGGCCGTGTGAACGATTCTGGTTCTCATCATTTCGGATCCGAGATCTTTTAAAACGATACAATTTTCCATTTATATCATGTGTGCTACCTAACTGGATAAACTAAGATCATGATACCAATCTAATGTAATTAATAAAGTTAATAACTAAAAATAATAAAAGATTTCTCATTTAATACCTTCAATTTTGATATCATGTTCTTTTCACTGTCGTCAGATACTGATTTATTTAACAATAAACGCTTTGCCAAGTGCTGCTTGTAGTACCGTTCAAAAACATCTTTCTCTTGCAAAAATCTGAATAATACCATTGTTTTATCCAAAATTCCTTCGATTTCTTGTTCAGTCATCTAAACAAAAAAAATAATAATAATTGAATAATAATCTTTAGTCAAGTCTATACCTATTGAAATTGTAAAAATCAACTTACTCCTTTGACACCTTTTTTTAATTTATCATCAATAAATAACGACAGATACTCAGGACTCTTGGTATTCAAATTAAGAAAGTGTTCAAAGTCTGACACCATCATTTGTTTGAAAAGTTTGTCGTTGTTAAAAGAATAATGAAGGAAATGATCAAAACGTTCTTTTAGGTCCAACAAATTTTGGACAAAATTGACTGCATTCGTTGACGATTCTTGTTCTTCGGCAACCATAGACCGACCTTGTTCACGAAGAAATTGTGATACACATTCACAGACTGTACGAAGACCATCCGATACCCGGGAAAATAATTTGTACATGCATCCCAGATCATCTGTTTTCTGGTTTTTGAGCATGTGAACCACTCCACTATTCTCCATCTAAAATACATTAAGATCAATTAAAGTTACTGTTGACTTTCCTTTATAAGTTTTAAAGTCTGCAAAGAAAACTTTGTTAAAACTATATATACCTCTACAATAGTCTTCATATGAACTTTTATGAGCTCATCTTCTACAACTTCAACTATCCGTGACTCTGTCGATTCATCCAAGTAATGTTTTGCTCGTTCAGACTCTTCGGCAATTCTTGCCTCTACTTTTTTTATGTACACCGAAGCGCTATTTTCAGCCAAAAATTTTTGTGATTCCATCTATGGAAAATAAAATATGTTACAATATACCATATAAACAAGTATCAAATTTTATTTATAAATAATTAAATAAAAAAAATTAAATTACTCTATAAAACTCAGCGCTCTGTTGTAGGAAAGGCCTCTCGAAGTCTTCTTCATACACCAAACGATTATTAATACCTAAACGCATCAACATTTGACATGCATTCTTTATAGCCATGCGATCAACAACTTCGCCTCTTCGTTCACGAGCAACCATTCCAAGAAGGGTCTCTCTTAAGTGATCTCTAACACATCCATATCGGACAACCTAGAAAATAAATTTTATTAGCAAGCTTTCGCCTCACTCTCTTCTAGAACATCAATAAATTTTCATACTTGATCACGAAATATGATAAGACCAAGATTATAAACGTTGTCAACATCATTTTGTTGAACATAAACACGGTCCATGTACATCAAGATGTCTCGGATCATTGTCATAGACGTGGTGTGGTCGTTCCATGCCTGATTTAGCGTCTGCAGAAAATTATTATGAAGTGAATGGAGAACATCCTCACGGACTTTATTCTCCAGGTGCTGTGTGACGACCTCCTTCAGTCCTGTATAGAGGCGCTCACCGTACTTGTGAAGTACCATTGTGTACGCATTTCGGTAGAGCTCTTCAAAACTCAGTCCCGAATTGTTTTTCTTCTGAATTTCTTGTATAGCATTTTTCAATAATGCCCAAATGTTTTCCACGTACTTCTCATCAACTGAGGTCTGAAATTACAAAATTACAAAATTATCATTAATTATTCAATCTTGATTCCTTAACATAGTGATGAACTAGATAAAACTTTGATAAAGTGATATAATGATGTTTCTCACAAGTCCAGGAATAACAATAATCTTGGAACGCAGAGCTTGAGCTTGTGTTGTTGTAACTAGACTTAAGTTAGTCATTTTATTGTTTTTATTGGACCCACTAGGTATATTAAAATCCATCATTTCAATTTAGATATAATTTATTAACTTTTAATGTTGTCAATCAGTATAAACACACATATCTACGTAAATAATCTGACAATAACCACCATTGATACTCGACATGATGATCTAATAGTTTATTTACAGAAAGAGTTCATCAAGTATCTCCGCTAATCTACCGACTTTTATTTTTAATATTTTTTTTTTTTGTTTTATGTACAAACTGTCATATATTTTGTACTAAAAATTTAGAGTAATACATCGCGAAATTAAGTTGACGAATCGCCGAGAAAAAGTTGACTAACTTAATAAATTTTTCTTGCAACGATAGCAACTTGTTTATATAATTAGTAAACACAATTTTTTCTATTAAATACAAAAAATAAATGTGAATTTTTGTTTAATGTGCATTATTTATTTAATCGATTTAATTTAATGAGTTTATTTTTGTGATAGCGAAAAATCATTAGAACAAAAATATCGATTGTAATTAAAAAAAAAAAAATAATGATTATAGGACAATGTACTTTATAATCATGATAAAAATAAATGAAGGCTATATAAAATTGTGAAATTTGTGACATATTAGTTGTACATAGGTTGATGATCTATTACAGATGCGTAAAAAAACTGTCGACATGATCTTCATGAATGTAATGCTATAAGCATGGTTACAACAGTAATAATGATAATAATAATAATAATAATAACAAAAACAATACTTACCGGAAAAGCACGTATACGCATTTTGCCTTCTTTTTTAGGCAGAGCACCTCCTTTCATCATCTCGAAAGACTTATTATTAAATATAATATCTCAACAAAACAAAAATAAATAAAAAAAGTAATAACTTATATCCGAGTTACTAGCCAGCAATGTCAGCCTGAAAAAAAAAAAAAAAATATTGACATCACTACAATGACATTACATTACACTGAGGAGGACTAAAGTTATTATAAAAATAAAGTATCAATTTAAATATAATAATTGGATGTTGGGTAGACTGATGCAAGTGCAATGTTGAAAACAAGGCAAGAAAATAAGAAAAATAGAGAATCGCGAATAAAAAGAATAAGAAAGTAGACAGCACAGCCAGAAATAAAGAGAAAGGGGATAAAAGAAAAAGAGTGAGAGAGTACTTTAAAAAGACTTCTTACCTATATGAAATCTTGAGGTAGATATTATAACGTTTACTAATGTTTCATTAACAACACATTTATTAGAACAAAAAGGAGACATTAACAAATAATTGTATATGCCCAGTGGGCAGGTTGTAGGGTGGTGTAAGAGTTCCAAACACTTTACTATAGATGTATCTGTGTATGTATATACACTCAAAGTACGTATAGGGCGTTCAAGCGCGTCAGAAACTTGAACGAATTGTCGCGGCCATCTTTGTATAAGATTGTGTGATATCCACAGCGCTGCCGACGCCAGTGTCCCATACTACGTCGCGATTTAATATCGAGAGTGTTGGTAAGATCGTCTTTTTTGTTGATCAGTGAATTTACCACTGTACCAATCACAAATTGTTTAGGAAAGAAGAAGAAAATACAAATTTTCTCTTCGATCAACAAGTCAAGGTAAAAAACAAATTTTATTCTTCACTTTCATAATTTGAATGAAAATTAATGTAGCAGATATTTAATCATTTTTAGAACTTTTGTTAACAAATAAATTATGGCAAAAAAAAAATAAGAAAAAAAAATTGACATGTAGAAATTTAAAAAAATTAAAAATGCAATTTTTTATAATTAATTTAATTGTTAAATAAAATTAAGAATTTGTCAAGTGACAGCTAACTTTAATGTCATATAATTTGATATTTTGAATTTTAAAGTCCTATTCATAAAAATTAAATTAGCTGACATTTAAAAATTTTTATAACTTTTTTTTTACTGAAAAAATGATTACAAAAAAATAAAAAACAATTTTTAATTGTAAAAAAACTTGAAAAACAATGCGAGAAATTTTTTAAAAATATTTTTTAGTTCTAATTTAATAATTAAAATAAAATTCAAAAATTAAAAATGTCAGCTATTTAGTAATTAATTGACGTTTTTATAAAATAAATTTAGAAAAATAGATGCTAAGATTATTTTGTACGCCTCAAACAGTTCAATCTTTTTTTTTTTCTTGTCACGAGCTTCACTCGCAGAGTTAGGCATGACATTAAAGTTAGCAGTTGCTTGAAAATTTTTTAATTTTATTTGACAAACAAATTTATTCCAAAAAATTATTATTGAAAAGTTTTATTTTTAATTTTTTTTTAATTCTTACATGTCAATTTTTTTGCCATAATTTATTTGCTACAGAAGTTCTTAAAATTATCAAATATCTGCTAAATAAACTTTTATGATTTAAGTATGTATATTGTTGATCTTATACGTGGAAATTCATATTTTGAAAGTCTGACAAAGAAGAGTGAAAATTTTTTTCTTGATTTTTTTGAAAGACTCTGAATTTATCAAGTTTTAACTTTTAAAGGAATCATCTTAGAAAATATGTTAGTGTATCGCTTTATCTAACAGTGTTTCAATTTACATGAAAACCTTTTTTAGGGTTTATAGACTATCTAAAGATCCGTGTACTCCAAAGGATGAGCCAGAGGAAAAAAATTAAATTGGGTGTACTTGGGACGCTACTATCAATAAAATTATGTTGACCATCAAGTGATGAATATAAAAAAGGTAAGCTAAGCTGATGGTAGGTGTTCGAAAATATAAAAAAAAAAATAAAGATTGAATTATGAGTAGCGGTAAGTAGAGGAGAGCTATTCAAGACGATTTTCATCGCTGAGATCTAGACCTTGGCCTATTTTCTATTTTTTTTTCCATTAGAGCTTTCGAGGACACCACTTATCCTTATATGATGTTTCTGTGAATTACGATTGGACATACTAAATCGAATTATCGCGGATTAAGCAAATTATATGTAAGTTAGCGTACTGGGTACTGTTACTCTCTAATACTATATTTTATCAAGTTATTTTCTAGCGTACAAGGAATGTGAAACAAATGGCAACATGCCATTCAAATTTTAAGAACTAATCCTTGAAAGTTAATTGTGTTGGTTTATTTCGTTCATATAAAAATTTATTTTTACTTTCATATCCAGAGAAAGAAAAATATATTCAAGGTACTTTTAATTAATGAGCTTGGCAATAATTTTAAACTTTCTAATTCTTTTTATCTAGATAAAAAAATATTTATAAAATTCATTTTCAAAAATTAAATTAAGGTATCAAAAGCCTTAAGGTTACTTAATAATAATTATAACTGTGATTTCAATTACAATGAGAATTGTTTATTCAGCTGTATAATTTAATAGAACATCATCTTGGTGTGGTTATGGCGATAAACTGAATAGAGAGTACGTGGTTAAATTGCTTTTGCCAAAATGCTTCATCGGGTCCCAAGAGATACATCGCTTGGATGGTTTTGTTCCTACTTCTGTGAATTGCCAACACTTGGATAGTATATATTCTATCAACGGAAATTCCATCCGAATTTCCGGAACCTATGTAATCCATCATACTTTTGAATAGTTTCAATTCATTTAATATTTTTACCATACATCATATCAGCATCAGCGAAATCCAACGTAGTCTGTTGAAAAAACCCGAACAAATTTATTATTTCAGATAAAATTGTTTGTGGTCAGAACGACGATAAACATACATCAGAATTATTAATGCCTGACATGATGCGTCATGTCGGGAATACTGTAACACATTGTGGATGACACTGGATGGTACACGATAATTATTAAAATTGTCATTTGAAATTTTCAATTATCGCTCAACGAGCATCGATCTTGCTGTGAAATTTCGCTTTGTTATGTCGCCTGGTTTTGTATCACTCTGTGATCTCTGTAATAGCTGAAAAATTCAAAGTATCGACGAGTTAAAACATTCCTTCCACAATTATCCGGCTGATTATTATTTTCAGCAAAAAAAAAGATTAAAGGTCAACTAAAAATAAATAAAAATAGGATTAAAGTTGATTTTTTTTATAGAAAAAGCCAAAGTCATGAAGCTTGATAAATAATTTATCAAAGTGAGATACCGAGTATTGAATTTGTGAAAGCTTTTACCAACAAATTTTAAATTCTAATCAAAATAATTAATTAAAAAATTAATAAAGCTTTACAAACATTAAAAGAGTTTATTCTATTTATTTAAAGTGGCCAACGATGACGTTAAAATGCTGAAAAAGCCCCTAAGGCATCGGAAGTTGTTTTGGAGAGATAATACTGCGATAAATGCAAGACCCGGAAGAAAACTTACAGACCTGAGGGAAATCATTGAGTCCAAAAAAGAATCCAATACTACATTTTTTAAAGTTGTAAGCGACATTTTCTTTTATTTAATATTGACTTCGCTAAAATTACATTGCAAGTTATTTATTTTATTTCTTGTACTCAATTATTAATACTATTATTTTTTCAGTAATGTTAAACAACATGCTTAAAGTAATTGACAACGAGTAATAACTTATTATTTAGTAAATCAAGTTTGTAGAAACTTGGTTAAGCCTCAACGTATTAATCGGTTGACTTCTTCACTTGATGTGCATCCTGATTACTTTCATTTCCCTCTTACAATGACACCATGACCTGGTGAACTCTCGCCCTCTTCTCACCGAGTTTTCCACTCTAATACACATCACATAACTTTTCTTTTACCTACTTGAAATTGTCAGTGGATTATTTTCAGAGGTAAGGATACTTGAATTTTTATTTTTTGTTATACTATCTAAAATTAAATTTTAAAAAACACGTTTTTCAACGAAGAGTACTTCTATATTTTACAATATGACTTCTTCATTCTAATTATTGTAAACAATAACTCTAATGATAATGATAAATTTTATTCTAGAGAACGTTCTGGAAAATCTTGCGACCATGAAAAAGTTCTAAGACTACTTTAACTTGAGTGAATAGATAAAAGAGTGAACGACGTTAATATCCATGTAACATGAAACGTCTGGATTACTTCAATTGGTCAAGGATAGAAAGAAAGAGTTAGAGCTTATAATCTTTCTTTTTTATTATATAAAAATGGAGTGATATCATGAAAATGTGATATCATACGTCTTAAATATAGAAAGAAGCAACTACTCCCGTAGAGCTGGGATAAATATGACACAGGTATCCTGTTACTATGTTTAGGCTTCAATGTTCAGATATTGAAGTATTTCATTCATGCATTTTCATTCATATCATGTATATAATATTCTTCAGAAATTCCAAGACAATCGTCTCTTTGCTTTTTACGTTCAAAGATCGATAATAATATACTAGGAAATGAAGAATTCCGGCTTTGATAAACTTTTAAAGAAGAAACGACGCTTCTGAAGCAAACAGGTCAGTCTTTGATTCCATTACATTCTATTAATCTATTTATATACTTTCATAATCATAATTAAACGTAGAAAAAACAATCTTTCGCCTGTACAAAATCTCAGCAAACACTCAGACTCTTTTATTACTTCCTGAAAGCTTAAAGTAAGCTAGATTAACCGATCCAAATATAACTGTATCTTTTTTTTATCAGTAATGTAACCTCTTACAGATAGTTAGTTATCTTCCAAGAATTGAGCTTCAATCTCAAAGTCTATTAATATTGGCTATTTCAATTATTTGTCTGTATCTTGCCTATCTTCTTATTTCTCTTCTTTATAAATTTAGTATTATTATTGTTGTTATTATGATTATAATTATTATTGTTATTATATTGATACTTAACTTAACAGACTTTTACTTTCCACGTGGAGAAACAAACT